GTCCCCCCGACTCTTGGCCTGAGGAGCTAGCGCGATTTGTCTGGTCCGTCAAGGGCGACTCTGATTGGTCCGGGTTGGAGCCCGACTGTGATTGGTCCAGGTTTGGGCCCGGGTTGGGATTGGGTTGTTCTTGTGGGTGCTCGTCGGCCATGGTGGGTTGAGAGCGTAAAGCGTACGAGCGGGTTGGGACCCAGGTTTTTCGGGGTGGAATGGTGGTTGTAGGGTGGGTAGGTGGGCGGCAATCAGCCTATCGGAGGTCGAATGAAGATGTATTTCTCTGTAAGGGTGATGGTAGGTGGCGTAACCTATGGGCGGTTACGTGGTGGATCCAACTATGGGTGCTGGATATCGACCTGGGACAGGCGAGGTAGGTGAGGATGGATAAAGGTGATGAGGAATATACGGAAATACATCTATGAGGAAAAGGATATGAGACGCGGCAGGATGTATGTATGTACGGGGAGCCTCCTCTCGCCTCCGCGCCTAACTCGTCCCTGAGAACATAGCGGCAACCCATAATACCAGACTCTGCGTTCCAACGTACACGTCACTACATCTCCTTTTACTGACCAGTCTGTACCAATCCCTTACACAAGGGAGCTTGGGTACTTCTAAAGGACGGAGATGTGGATGGGAGCGTTGGTGGGAGGTTTTCGTTTGCTGACAGATATCACAGCCAGCGATGTAGAGTTCGACATCTCGGCGAAGCCCAATCCAAAGATAGTCTCTGGAGATGAGCTCAAGCGTTTTAGTTATGCCGGGGTGACCAGCAAGGCGAGAGTCATGCCGGGCTCTGAGAATCTTTGCGCGAGCGTCGTTGATATCGGGGACATAAGTCTTCACCCAGCTCTCATACTACTGACAGTCTGGAGTCTTTCTGACAGCTGGCAACACTGTTATGCAGGATCGAATCATTCGGCTTTCCGACGAGGCCAACGACGGGCGAAAGCTCTCAGACGTTTACTATGTGACAGTCGGCGAATGTGGGATCCTCAAGATGGTACTCATCGACTATAGACTCACATGAGTACATCAGCCATCCGTGTTTATTGCTGCAGCAGGTCTTGATCAAGCAAGTTCAACGATACCTAGCTTCAAGAGATTAGTGGCCTCTTGACAGGTACTTGCTTGTGGCTGAGCGTCTCTTTGTTCCCCATTCTCAACAGCCTCAGGGTTGAAGTGTCCCTCCAAGACCCAACCAAGACCGCATACTGCACTAAAGTAAAAATGTTAACTTGATCTCAGAACTAAATAGGATACAACATTCTGTTTAGCACAAACAACATCGACGGCCATAGCCTCCTCAAAGTACCGCGTCCCGTCTGATCCGCGAAGTCAACTAGGAGAGCGCTCGGTTAGTACCAGGGTGGGGGACCACCTGGGAATCCCGGGTGCCGTCGTTTTTGCTTTTTGCTTTGTTCTCCTTGCTTCGCTTCATGATCTGCATTTTTGAGTTCAGTAAGAGTAATCAATGCTCGTGGATGTCATGTCTTCGCCGAAGCCACCTCCTGAACTTCTCCAACTTTGCCGCATTGTCTTCTTCACATCTCAACAAGCGGATCGTCATGTCAGCCTGTCTAACAATTGACTCGTACCTGATCCTGTGATCTTTTCAAGTCACCATTTCAATAACTCGTTGGTCGTGGTGAGGGTACTTTTTAGTGTACAACAATATTGTCGCCCGTACGGATTGACCTCTGTCAAGGGAAGAATTTATCGAACATTGCGTCCGTCTGTCCGTCTGCTTCGCCCCCTACGTATGTGCTGCATCAAAAGATTGGACGTCGCTGGGCCTAAAAGGCTTTGTTGAGCCTACGAACACAATACGTACACGTAGAAGTATGTAAGCACCTGTACCGGCAATCCGGCTCTGATTCCGTTATCGTCTTATCGAACAATCGTCTTCATCGGCTGAACCGACCATGGTCCATGATCATGAGGGCTTATGGTCGTGCTGTCGTACGAAGGCCATATGATGGCGAGTACGAGACTTGCCACTTCCAAGCCTCACAGGTGAATTCCCTGCTGGGGTGGGCAAGTTGCCCTGAGGCCTGAGTCTGAGATCTTTTGAATGCAGTGGAGAGTGACGATGGCCAAGCTGAGACCGAGAGGATGCTATCTGCATTGCTTATCGGGCTGCTGCCACTGGCCATACAGTTAGATACGCTCCCCCAAGAGCTCCAGCTTGGCGCACGTAACACAGTCCTGCAGAGAGCGTGGCTCATTAGAAACCGTGTCAACAGCAGTTTGTAATCCAATTAGAAATGCGATCGAGATCTCGCTTGTGTTATCAAGGCTCAGCTGATGCTGCTGATAACAACGTTTGTTTGCCAAGCGCGTGCCTGATCCCCGCGTGGTGCTGTCCCGCTCGAGTGGCACAACTAGGGGATCCAGATTCGTTCACCCACAGGCCCACAGCAGCGCTCCTATCCCCGGCCCGGCTCTTGCAAATACATCTCCTTTTTCATCAACATCTCTTCCATCCCGCCACCATGAGCGTCGTCCACAGCAACGAGGAATACCTCCCGTCATCATACGACAAGGGCGAGAAGGGCGAGCAGTATGTCTACCAAACCGAAACAGGCGAGGAGAATGTCATTCCCAGGGAGGAGGAGACCCATCGAGCTCTATCTCCTCGACAGCTCAGTATGATTGCCATCGGTGGTGCCATCGGCAAGTTTGAAATGCCACTCGGACGACTTTCAGCTGAAATACTCCGCAGGTACTGGTCTTGTTATCGGCTCTGGAACTTCTTTGGCCAGAAGCGGTCCTGGATCGCTGTTCATCTCTTATGTAGTGATGGGTCTTACCTGTTGTGGTGTCATGGTATGTCTGCGGAACGGTCATCATGAGCGGGATACGGTGACTGATCCGGCGGAACAGATGGCGTTGGGCGAGATGAGTACCAAATTCCCGTCAAGAAAAGGTTTTGCCGGGCATGCGACACGCTGCGTTGACCCAGCGTATGGTTTTGCGACGGCTCTTGTCTATCTGTGCAAGGTAAGTCGATTGTTGGTTGAGCAAGTACGCATTGTCTGACATTATGAACAGTACTTGATCATTTCTCCAAACCAAATTGTCGCGGGCGCTCTTGTGATTCGTTTCTGGAACGACAGCATCAACGGGGCGGTGTGGGTGACCATCCTCATTGCCTTCGTGATCTCTATCAGTGAGTTCAGGAACAGCCCGGGCTGCAACACTTGACGAAAGGATGTCTGGCTAATCCCGCATGAAGACTGTCTTGGTATCAAATGGTTTGGTGAACTAGGTGAGTATCTCTGAATACACTAAGACATGATTCCGATAGCCTCCTAGAGTTCTGGCTCTCATTTATCAAGGTCCTCACCCTTACCGGCCTCATCCTCCTCGCTCTGATCATCGACCTCGGTGGTGTGTCCGGTCAAGAGAGGCTTGGGTTCCGATACTGGGAAGACGGCAAGGCTTTCCTTCCTTACAAGACCACTGGCAATGTCGGCAAGTTCTGTGGATTCGTCAATGCTCTCGTGCTTGCTCTTTTCGCGTATATGGGTACCGAGTTGATTGGTGTCACCGTCGGCGAAGCCAAGGTAAGTTACATCCCACAGCATCGCCTCCCGGGCTAACACGCGTGACAGAACCCAAGGAGGACAGTGCCAGCCGCCATCAAAAAGACCTTCTTCCGAGTCATCTTCTTCTACATGCTCTGTATCCTCCTCGTCGGCATGATCGTCGACTCCCAGTCTCCTCTTCTTGCGCAGGCTGCGAAAAAGGGTACGGGGGGTGGTGCTTCTGCTTCTCCGTTCGTGGTCGCCATCCAATCCGCTGGTATCAAGGTGCTTCCTGCCATTATCAACGCTTGGTACGTCTCACGTGATTACCCGAAGCAGCCGGCACTAATATTTGGTTCCAGTCTCTTGATCTTCACCATCAGCGCTGCCAACTCCGACCAATACATCGCTTCTCGAACTCTCTACGGTATGGCCAAGGACGGCAACGCCCCCCGTATCTTCACCAAGTGCAACTCCAGAGGTGTGCCTTGGGTTGCATTCATCTTTACGGGCTGCTTCATGGGTCTTGCGTACCTCGTTGCGAGCGACGATGCCTTGAAGATCTTCAACTACTTGGTCAACACTGTCACCATCTTTGGAGGACTTACTTGGGTAAGCTTGAATCTAATGAATCTTGACGGCCACAAGAAAACTAAGCTTGAATAGGTGTCAATCTTGGCGTCTCATGTAGCGTTCATGCGCGGTATGAAAGCCCAAGGCATCCCCCGCGATACACTCCCCTACAAATCTCCCCTCCAGCCTTACCTCACCTACTGCGCCCTCTTCATGACTTGCCTCGTCTGCTTCTTCAAAGGCTTCGACGCGTTCATGCCTTGGGATTACAAGACGTTTATCACCAACTATATCGGTATTCCCGTCTATGTCATTGGATACTGCGGGTATAAACGTACGTCTCCTCTTCTTCATCAATTGCCATGTAAAGAATACAAGCTGATGGGTGGTGTAGTTATCCGAAGGAGCAAAGCTGTCAAGATGCACGAGATGGACCTCAGCACCGGCGCGCGCGAGTTTGACGATATCGACGAGGATGAGGAGGAAGAGATGCGCTACAAGAGCATGACGTTCAAGCAGAAGGTTATCTACAAGCTCAGGAACTGGTAGATTACTCTTGCGATCTGTACCTGCATAGTTTGCTGTGTCTTGGGGATTGCCCCTCTTGCAGGGCTTATAGGTTGGTTTATAATGGATGGTCCGAGGGAAGCAGGCGACTCTGGGATTCAGAGGTTGTTTAGATTTGTATGCTCGACTTCATCTTGTAATGCCGTAAATGCATGGTGTACACCTTAAGGCAGTTTGATCCAGACCAGGTGCCTCTTTCGCCGTTGTTGATGCTCAGATGGTACCTTGGCTGGTACTGGTGTATTTTTCTGACCCTTTGATTGACAAGTTCTCTTGATGCGCTGTTGGATGCTGTTGGCCATAGCGTTCGATAGATCTTTATCATCATGACGATATAAATGCTAGTCTATGCACCTGCCTCCTGCAGAGTTCAAGTCTACTCCTCATCAGAGCTCTCTTCCTCCTCCTCGCTCTCATCGTCCTCATCCTCACTCTCCATAGCCTCCAACACATCCACATACCCCTTGCCCTTCGCCCAAATCTCCTTCCAAACCGCCTTCTCCTCCTCACGCACATTCTCACCCTTGCTCTCCTTCATATCTCTCCACTCTACGAGCTCTTCCTCGGCGACGAGGTCGGCTTCATAGAAACCTCGGAGGATGATACCGAACCACGGCACGTATGCTGGGTTGTGCGCGGTGTACGATTGGGCATCGAGGATCATCAGAGTAGGGTCCGAAGTGAGGTTGCTTATCAAAGGTCCCCATCGCGTAAAGACCTTTGTGGCAGAACCGAGGATACTCACCGCATTACCAGAGATATCCACCTTGCTCACAAAGAACTTGACGACCTCTTCCCTAGCACGGTCGAGACCGGCGTTGTAGCCCATGACCAGCGTCCTGAGCTCGAGCAAGGCATTCTCGATCTTGTGGTCTTCTTCGTACGCTCTTTGGAGGGAGGCAACAGCTTCGTGGTAGAATGCTGGTGGTGGGCCAGCGTTGAGTTGGAGGGAGGGCATGTCGGGGAGGGAAGTTGATGATGCCATGGAGACGGGAGAAGACGGGGCAGAGGAGGAAGCGGCAGAGAGGGTGGAGAGGGAGGTGGCTGCGGATGAGAGATTGGAGAGACGACGGCCGAGCTGGAGAAGCTTCTTGTTGGCGGGATGTTCGTACAGATCTTCGTCCTCGTCTTCAGAGTCGCTCGCCGGCTCCTCTTCCTCATTCGGCCAGAGGAAGCCGACACTCTCGTCCCCCAAAAGCTCGGAAGAGCGGGCCTTTGAAGCAGCCTCTTCCTCCTCGAAACCCGAATCATCCGAGTCGTAATCTTCGCCTCGGTACGGTTCTCGTCCAATCCTTGCAAAGTCTGGTACAGACACATTCTTGCCGAGCTTGACACCGTTGCCCAAAAGCACACCCCTGCCAATCTTGCACCCGGCCCCGACTACCACACCCTTACCGATCATGCACTCTTCGATCAAACATCCCTCGCCAATCCGCACATCGTCAAAGATGTATGAATTTCTGATAGCGCTGCCGTCGCCGACTTTACAGTTGGCGCCGAGGGTGGAGCCTTGGACGAGGGTGTTGTGGGAGAGGGACGATTTGGGGCCAATGAGGAGGGGTCCGGTGAGGGTTGTCGTGCGGGAGAGGACGACGGATTCTCGGGCAATGTAGACATTGCCTGCTCGGAGTTCGTACTCGACGCCTGAGGGTTCGTTGAGGTCGGGAGCAAGAGGGAAGGCCCAGCGCCGGAGGACGTCGCGGCTGCATTCATGTCAGCAGAGTCTTGAAGAGGTAGAGTCATACTCACGTAACCTCGCCGAATGTCCGTGTATCTCTGACCCTCTCAACGTATCTACCACCACCTGCTCGAGCATCCATCTTTTCTTCCTCTTCGCCAACCATATGTACGGCAATCTTCTTGCCCAACAGCTCACTCGTCAAGACACCGTTGACGAAATGTCTCCTCAAATCGTGATAATCAAAGTTCTCCGTACATAGCGCCGGGACATCTGCCTCGCAAATATCCACACCCAGATCTCTGTATCCACCATTGTCCGAGACCGAACGAGGAGCAGTCCCAGACCAAATCTCGTACGTGTCGATATTGACGGGGAAGGGATCCGTAAACAAGACTGCGGGGAACTCGGCCCGGCCTTGGGCGGGAGAGAGAGGGTGGGGAGAGTAGTGCAATAGTCGGGATGAAGGAGGGTGGACGAGCATGACGGGGGATTCGGGATGGGGTCGACCGCCACGGCCGACGCCCATGGTCATGATAAAGTTTTTGTCGACTTCACGGCGTTTCTTGTGGGCGTCGACGATTTTGGAAAGGTCGTAGTTGGAGACAAGAGGGGAGTGGACGAGGATGAAGGGGTTGTCGGCATTCAAGACCTATTTTCGAGTTAGTCAAAGTCACTCTTTGCAGAGTTCGATAGACTTGCGTGCATGTCGTCCATTTCACGGAGCGCGTCACCGGCTGAGCGAGCTGTTTGGGAGGCAAGGCAGTGAATATCCAAAGTAAATCGGTATGGCGATGTTCTAATGACTTGATAAATTTCGATAGAAAGGCGAACAAGCGAAAGACTCACTCGAGGAATGCCCGGATCTGGTCCGCATGGACACCACAGAAGATGAACACCTGTTTCACCTTACTCAACGCCAGACTTTCCAAAGTCCAGCTCAGCAGCGGTGTGGAGCATAGCGGGAGGAGCACTCGGGGTTGGTCGGTAGCGAGTACTTCGAATCTCCGGTTGTACGAGTCGGCGAGAATGACTGCCTGGAGGGGCGCTTCGTCGACCTGGTCCTTTGATTTTGGTTCGTGCTTTTGCTGCTGCTTCTTGGGAGGCATGGTGGCGAGTGTTGTTCGTCGTCAAGACTCTACTTGAGATTGAGCGGCGCAGGTTATTGTCAGTGGAATTTCGAATTTCTCAAAGACAAGGATGTGCGCGCTCATATGGCCGGCGGTGAACTCCGACTCGAGTTGACAGGCAGCGGACATAGCCGCTTTATTTGTTGAACGTCACTTTCCCGCTTTTCTCCCGGGCGGAGACGTCGCTGCCAATGGCTAGGCGCATATACCACAACAGCCATATCTTATCACGACTCCCCCAGACCCTACAACACACCATGCCTGTTCCTTGGGAGGTAAGCTAGATATTGGTTTGAAAGGTTTCCGAGCTGATTTGACTTCTTTAGGCCCTTATTCCGTGTGGTACGTCGACTATCAGGTCCGAACGCGACAACAGAGATGGTCATCAGAAGGAACATATGATGTGGGTGCTAATGTGATATATTTGCAGGACTTTTGGTCGCCATGTTCGGTGTTACCGGAAACCTTTTCTCAGCCGCCAAGTTCTTGACCAATGATGGCAAGGTAAGTTGCGCGCGCATCGCCCTTATGTGGACACTTTGCGCACTCCGCTTCGTGCCATGTATGCCTTATTTGTAATATGCTGACAATGGTATTAGGCCCCCCGATACAACATTGACACTTGGGAGTCTATGATGATGGAGCGTGACAGAAGATTAACAGGGTCCTTAAGAGGACAATCGGTGAGCACGGATGATCTGTGTTTCTGAGCGTTTACTGACATCAACCTTCTTCCTTCCTGTCCTATTCCCACCACCTGCCCTTGTGCCGACCCTCTACCCCTCTCCGATATTTGTCATCCCACAGACCGAACCCATCGCCCCCAAGGCTTTCGCTACTAACTCTATCTGGGAGACGGAGAGGATTCACTAGAGGTGGATGGGCAGTTTACGAGCATGGATTTCTTTCTCTATTCCAACGTCGGAAAGGTTCACTCAAGCATGCGGATTGTCCAAGTGGAGTGTATGATTCAGGATAGTGGAATGGGGTGCATCGGGACGACTTCAGCGAGACGTAAGTAGCGGGAGTCGGGAATTCAATACGGGCTTGCATCCGCCTTCCAACTCGAAATCATCGGGGTAACAGCTCGTACATAATGAGCTACAGTATCCCAATTATCTGCCGCAGTCCAACAGCGAGGCCTCTCTTCAAAACTCTACAGCTTTGACGGCCGTGAAAGGCTGTGCCAGCCGCGTACCAACATACTCTTGGAAGAACTGCAGTGGTATCATATTAGCCGTGTCACTGCAACTCTAGCTCTCTAACACTCGCTGAATAGAACTAAAGACGAAACGTCAGGGTTTGTCCTCCGTATCATAGGTTTCTTGCATCACATACCGGATTAGTTCGATGAACGTCACTCCAGGCTTCCCGAGTCTCGAACCTCTCTATGATCACGAACACCGTCTCATCTTCCTGATCTTGCATCACATGCCAGTCTATCGTCTGTAAATTCATTGTCATCAGTATCGACCTTCATAGTAGACGATAGTCACTGCTGAGTTTGCGAGCTTGACGCACCCCTTGATCTTTTCGGTATATCGCTGCGCCTTCTTGTAGTATCTCTTTGATGTCTTGTACGTACTCCTATGCAACAGCGGGGTCAGCTTCTAGATATCTGACCACAGTCTTAACTTCAGGACCTACAGGAAGGGCCTGGCCAATGACTACGATAGTAAACACCATTGATGATGATAAGAACAAATGTGGTAATATCTATGATCTGTCGTTTCTTGATGCCAGATATGATCGTGCTATTGTCAGTACCTCGGGGCCCTACAGATAGAGTGTGCAAGTATGGCCTCTCAGCAACTGCACGAGTACAGAATGGTCTGTCCATCCATCCCGCTCCTTGCCGGTCCGACTCCGGTAGATGGGAATTTGGTTCCGTCTTATTTCGGATGCCCGCAGTGAGGCTAAACTTCAATGCTCTACGCTCTATCCTACACCTGACAGAGACCCACAGTATATCTGTGTTCTATCTATTGAGTCGCAAGTATCAGATGAACCACTATCCGGAATCCCGAATGGTACCAAGCAAAAAAGAAAGGCAAGATAGATAGGTACCAACGTCAAGAAGGCCGTGACGAATCTTGAAGTTGCTGCAAGAAAGATTGACAATGCATTCTTGTTCTATCGATACATTTCAACACGAATTGGAAACCGTCTACGATAATACAAAGATGCAGGGACAGTATGCAAGAGTTTGATGATATATGGGCAGTCAAGCGAGACGAGGATCCATTTCAGCTACACCCACCCAAAGTTAGCAATAATGTTCCACCCCCAATGATTGTCGGTACTCACAATCCACATCCACAACCCGGACAAGGTTCCACCCCCCTCCCATTTGCGAGCTCCACTCCCTCCGTCCATAGTTTCCACAGACCCTCGTCCCAATCCATACTGGAGAGTAAAGTGTCGCGGACTGCGTCTATGCTAGTGCTGGAGCTGTCGTATATCCTGAGGAAGCGGGGGATCACCCATGGTCGTCTGAAAGTAAAAGTCAGAAGAGGAAGGGATGGTTGTTTGAGAAGAGACTTACTCTCGGGCGTCGACGGGCAGCTCGGCCATACCGTGGTATGTCTTCAACATCGACGCGATCGACTCGAATCCAGCTTCCGCCTCAGGCTTCGACGGGTCAGAAGGCGGGAGGTAGATCCGCATCTCCTCCGCCTGTACCGGCAATCGTAAATGGGCAGGGTTCACATTGTGAAGACACACAATCTGCCCCTCGTCCAGGCCCTCATCTTCAATGTCTTTTTGGAGAAAAGGCGCTAGAGCAGCCGTGGGGACGTCGAGATGGTCGATATTGGGAAAGTGGCAGCATACGTTGATGTGTCGGTTGAATTTACCAGCGCCGGAAGACATTTCGCTGAAGATACCTTGCCAGTCAATTGTGGTATCTCTCATCTCCCGCAAGACTTCTTCTCCAAGCACGAGCCACTCGAGGCCGTAGAACAGCGACCATTGACAGCTTTGCAGCTCGATCAACTGGTCCCCTTCTCGTTTGTATCTTGTTGGGTCCCAGATATCTTTTGGGCGGTATGTGACCCAGCTTTGAAAGCTGAGGATAGCGTCGCGGGTGATAAAGACCGACTTGGGATCAGATAGGATGAGGACGTCGACGCAGGAAGCAGCGTAGATCCGCCGCAAGATGGGGGACGGGAACCACGTTCTCGGACCCCAGGAGAGGATCGTGTTCCCGACGCCGATGAGGTACTCGTAGAGCTTGTCGGCGTGGGGATCCAGATCTGCGGCGATGTCTGCCTGGGTGAGGCCTAGCACATGGCTGAAGAATGGCGCAGCGTTGGTAGCCGTCAGACGGACTCGGCTGTAGAGGTTGTCGAAATACTTCAGGTAGTTCTTTTTGGAGGTGAGGAGGACGTTGAGAAGTGTGGGTTTGTGGGAGATATAGCCGGCGAAATCGAAGATGATCTCGCGGATTTCGGGAGGGAGAGGATGGAGGGAGGTTAGAGTGTAGTTGAGCGGAATTTTGTCGTAGGCATGAGTGGCGATGAGGTGGTTTTCAGAATGGTCGATCTTCGGGATAACTTCCTGGACGGGGAGAACTGCTGGAAAGCGGACGGGCCGGGTATCGCAGTAATCCTAAACAGCTCGTCACTCGTCAGTCTTTGCTCAATGCTGGTACGCCTGGCAGTCTCAACTCACTCGTGCTTCTGCTCTACACGAGAAAGTCTCTGCGAGCCCGGAATTCACGTCCTGTAGACATATTAGCCGTCTTAATCATACAGGAGTCTCTGATTCGAACGTGCCTGTTTCAGGTCATCATGATGACAATCGCACGTCCTATGGAGCCCAAGCTGGGGCCCATTGCGAATTCCGGTATAGCGTGTGGGTTTCATACAACTTTGAGGGGTTTCTATACACATTTTTATCGGCGAGTTGATGGACAAAAACACAAGAGACGAGATCAATTACAGCGATCAGGCTGAGTTTTGACTTCGATCAGCCTCTCGGCTGTATATTAACGGCTTACGTGTTTCAATTGCGTTTATTGGTGGAGGCAAGTGGAGGTTGCCGACAAACGCAGCTGAAAGGGAGGAAGGACCAGACCGTACGTGGACGTGGCAGGGGTCTAGAAAGCAAAAGAGACGCCGAGCAGCGAATCCCATTTGTCAGCAGTGATGAGTCTGAGGTGCAGAGGATATATCATTGACAAGAGATACATAGACGCGAGATGTCGCAAGGCTACTATCAAGAAACTGGCTATTATGGGGTCCGAGGACGGGCCAGCAGCTAACGAAACCAAGCAATTTCTCTGTGCACTAATTGAAAGGGTCAACCTCGTAGAGAGAGGATGGTCCAGATTAACGAAGTGCAGTCACTGTAAAGAAGAAGAGCAAAAGAGAAAGCGAGATAGAAAATTTCGGGGGACGGGGTGCAGAGGCGGACTATGCCGTAGGAACGTTGTCAGTTACGTAACGACGCGGTTGACTGGACCGGCGCGCTCGAGCCTCGGGAGGACGACGAACATTACTTTTTCGGCACTCTTTCTTTTGAAACTCTCTCTCACTCAACACAGCCCGCCGCCCGCAAGGGCTCATTGATCGATAATGTCGCATCAAAACGGCTTCCCCTACTTCAGCGCAGGGCCAGGCTACGTCCAGCAGCCAAGTCAGCCGCACCCTCAACCACGCCCTCAGCCACAACCCCAGGCTGCTGAGGCAGAGGATCCAGGGACAATGTTGAACGTCTACCCATTTATGACTTATGCTCCTACTGCTAGAGGTAAGTAGATCTCGCATTGTCTAGAGCTACAGCGCCCTTGGGGTCATGTCAAATGGCGTCCAGATCTGGTGACAGAAAGGTACTCGGGGGCGATGCTTTTCGGCTATGTGGCAGCAGTCTCGCCAATACGAGAATATGGCTAGAAACAAAAGTCCGTACGAGCTATAGGTGCTGATCCTACGTCGTAGTTGCACAACATCTCTCCTCTCATTCTTCCCTTCCCCAACCTTCACCTACCGCCCATCAAGTGTACCCTCATTATACGCAAAGCTTCGGGAGGATAGAGCAACCTCTAACGCCAGGGGACTGGGAGATGCGGCAGGCTGCAGATATGCGTGTAAGGGACGTACTGGAGGCGCAAAGACAGCATGGCGGCAGCTACGGCTACAGCAACGCGTGAGTTGCAGCCTGCATACCTTTCATCTCTAGCTAAAGCTGACGTCTTCTAGCCCATTACCGTCTATGCGACAATTCAACTACAATCAAGTTCCTCCCACGCCTGTACCCGATGTCAATCCATACGGCGGCTATTCCCAGCCTCTTTCCACCTCATATCCTTTTGTCCCGGCGTATATGCCGCCCCCAACACCTGTCTCTTCTGCTGGAACCCGCCATACTCATCCCGCAACCCCCGATTCCATGACTGGGGATTCTCCGGCCTCTGTACCATCGGGGAAGGAGTACTTTGAGGGCTTTGTCAATAACACTTTGGCGAGGCACGTTTCACAAGAGAGACCCGCTCCTGCCCGATCACAGAACGGGACTCCCAGTAACCTGCCTCGGCATGTTATATCGCAAGAAGAGCTCCGAGGGTACGACCAATACCGGAGCTCGCCAGAGATCCGACCTGCACCCTATTCCCAGCCACAAAATGGTCAAACGCCGCCGCAATATCCCCCGCAGATGTCGTATTCGCAACCCCAGCCTCTCCACCAGGCGCCAGGGAGAGTGCCGTTCCCTTCTCAGCCCATCTTTCAACACGGCGTGGACAAATCTGCGACTTTGCCGCTAGCCCGGGGCAAATCCCCGGCAAAGCGGCCATCCATATCCTCCATGGCTATGCGATCGCCTCATCCATCATCGTCGGTCACCTCCACGCCTACACACGAACGTGTCATGTCCTCTCCCTACCCTTCGTCTTCTCCTGATCCTCTCGGGATGCCGACACCATCTCCTTCCAAGAAACCGAGGAAGAATAGGACTTTTTCACCGAGCTTGGCGCGGTCGGGCAACCTGGCGAATGATAATGCTATGGGCATTGACTCTTTGAGCATGCGCGAAAAGTCGGTTAGCGTGGCGTCTAATGCGAGCGGCGAAGAGCAGAAACAAAAGATCATGCTTCGTCTACCCATGCACCTTGCCACCCCTCAACGTTCACCTGCCCCGGAAGAAGGGCAAGATGAGGATGCGGAAGGTGATGAAGAAGAGGATGGTGTCGATTGGGGGGACGATGGCGTGAGGGATGCTGAGGGTGATTGGCAGATGGAAGAAGGGAATTCGAGTGGGACTGTCTATGGAGGCGCTGCCGGTGCGCAGATACAGATGAGCGGGAAGACAGGGGAACGGGATACTAGGAGTGAGTCGCGTCCACTGGTAATGACACTTGGCTGACTTGTTGTAGACTCGTGGCAGAAGCTGCAAACTTTACTGGAAGATATCTCGGAAGAGAACGACTCGTTCACAGCCAACCCCACGCTCGAAGATCTTCAGTCATCCGACATCAAGTTCTTTGGCCACGTTTCAAGAGACGGCTCACAAGCCTTACTCTCTCAAAAGACAATGTCAAAGGTCATTCGATACGTCTTACGGGTGCAGTCTGGCAGAAAACGCCCAGGTCAAGAAGCAAATGGTCCAGAGCGAGTGTGGGATATTGCACTTGTATCTACCTTGTTGCGCTTGCTGGAGCGGAGTATACGAGACGTTGAGAATATTGTCGTCTTTCCCGATGATCGAAAGGCGGCTGTGGCTATTGAGGAAAAGGCTGCCAAGAAGAAAGGCAAGGGCAAAGCTGGGAGTGCTTCGCCTGCCAAACCGGAGGACGCAGAAGTCAAAGCCGAGATCCCTCTAGCAGACATACAAGCTTGCGAGGATAAGTTGATGAGGGTCAAGAGAAGTGTTGCGGCCGCCGAGTGTAGTCTGCTTTTGCTCGACTCTGAAGGCATATCAAAGCAGGTAAGCTACAAGTGGTCTTCATAATTTTTTTTGGCATGGGCTGATCATGTTTGTAGCTGTATTCAGAGGAGCTACTCTCGACGTGCGTAAAGACAGTGAAGGATCATCTGGAACAAGTCGTTTTGCCCGTCATCCAGGGCCTTGCTGGTGACAGTGAGTTTATGCGCAAACATCGGGCGAGACAGAGCTGATTGGCATGTAGAAATTGGCTCTAGCTACCTTGCCCGGCTGGTCGAACAAGAGTACAATGCCGTCGCACCCGAACCCAAACTCCCCACGTCTCTCTCCTCACATTTCCACCATCACACTCTATCAGCCATCGCCCAATCAATCTGTATCACCCTTCCGCGCCTGACGTCGCTCATCTCTAGAGACGACTTCCACTTCTCAGAGGGGCTACTGATTCAGACGGTATACCTCGCGAAATGCCCACTGTTTGTTGTGGACCCCGTGGTGGGCAAGAAGAAGGGTGATAAGGACGGGATGGCTGTGGTGAAAAGTATGAGGATGGAGGGACTGAGCTTGTTGCGCGGAGTGAGTCGATCGTCAAACTTATCCGAGTATGTGCTGACGGCACGGACAGGTGTTTGCGAGATATGAAGAGCAGCGCCAATGGATCATCGAGGAAGTGCTTAGCTCACTGGTCGGTCAAGCGGGCCAAAGTCACGATCAAGCTTTGTTCCAGTGAGCATCTTCATGCTTGTCGCGTTTGACCACTCTGACAGTACTGCAGATTATCGAACGGCAAATCTATACACGCCGTCAGTGCTCTTCTGCTCCAACTTATACAAGCTTCTGCCTATGGCGCAGTTGCGCAGGTAAAGAAGGTCCACACGGCTTCCACCGAGATGGAAGTTCTGGACAGGCAAGAGACCGAAAAAGTTGACACTGTCGCTGAAGAGAGCAGAATCTGCGGCGAGACCATCGAGTCAGCTCTCAAGTCTGCCACAATGGTGGCAGGCTACATTCTCTCCAAGGCCACTACTACTCGAGCTACCAAGACGTCGCTGGACACCGACTATAAGGTCATTCTCAGCCTCTTCATCAACGATCTGCTTGCTGTCTTGTACAGGCCCGAATGGCCCGCTGCCTCTCTCTATCTGAGCGTCTTCTCAAAGATCATGATCAACGCTTTAGACGAAAAGAAGACGGGGACCGAAGCCACTGCCGCAAAAGGTGTCGCGCTGGATTATCTCGCAGATATCGTGGCACGCCTGAAAAACCTCAGTATCGAGATGCTTGGCGAGATCAAGGTCGCTACGATCGACGAGGTGATTTCGGAGGCCAGCGTCACTGGTCTGACCAGACTCATCAAAGCCCAAGGCTCGATTCGAGCATTCCTCACCTCTGCTGCCCGAGACGACGGATCTTTCGCTTGTTCTCTCGATATGGCTTCGATCGTTTGGGCGCAGGAACTCCAAGCCGGCGTCAAGAAGACAGCCTCCGTGCTCGAAAAGTTGGCGGTAGAGAAGGACGACGAAACGAAGGCACTTGGTGACAACCTCAGGACAATAGGCTCAATGTTGAGCGACACGTTGAGAGGTGTCTGGTTGTCCGATGATAGCCTCTTTGAAGTAAAGTGAGTCGAATCATACTGCCAAAGGTGTCCTTGTGCTGACATCAGACTCAGTGACCCCAAACAAGGCGAACAAGCCGTACAAGCGTCCATCGCCGTTTCTCGCGGTAGATCATTGCAAGGCGCCATAGATCCCATAATCCACACCTTGCTCTCTACAATGAGCAATACCATCATCGGTCTCCGAACCAAGGCTCTGAGAGGGATTAGTTCCATTGTCGTGGTTGACCCGGATGTTTTGCGATTGGTATGTGTCTTTTGGTCCTGGATAGCGACACAGCTGAGCCATTGTAGCCTCAAATACGACACGCTTTAGAAGAGCGACTCTCGGATGCTTCCCCTGGTGTACGAGACGCAGCAGTCGAGCTTGTCGGAAAATACCTCATCCAAAAACCGGAACTGGTCCCGCAATACTATCATCAAATTGCTTCTCGTGTCATGGTAAGCATATCGTCCTGGGGGCTGTTATCTCGGGTTGACACCTATAGGATACCGGCCTGAGTGTACGTAAACGAGTCATCAAAATTCTCAAGGGCATCTTTGCGACCATGGAGAATAGAAAGATGCAGGTCGACATTTGCTGCCGGATGATCGCTCTCGTAGATGATAAAGACCCGGGTATCAAAGTAAGAAGGGCGTTGTGGATCCACCCTCTCGAGCTCACACTTCTACCATAGAGCTTATCCACAAATACCCTTGTCGACATGCTCTTCTCTGGAGAAGGTGGTGATGCTGCTCGTTTGTTTGTCGATATCCTGAGCAACTACCGAGGGACTTATGAGGTCATGGAGAAAGCGCTGGACGAGGTACGTGCTATTCAAGTCTCATGGGGACGGGCTGATATGTGCACAGGTTTCTAAGGAATGCGAAAGTGTCGGTCAGAAAGGTCGTTTCGGTACCACCATTGACGACCTCATCAACCGTCTCATCGATGCGACAGAGGAGAACGATTTCGATTCCTTGAGCCACATCAGGGCTATCTGGCTCTTGGCTGAAAGTGATCCTTCTCAGATCGACATGCAAAAGGCAAATGTCTTGTTAGGGTACTTGCGCCCTCCGGCCAATGTGAGTAAATCTCGCGATTCGAAACAGCATTACTGATTGGAGAATAGGCCGATGATCAAGCAACCAACGAATTGCTCCTCAAGGTCTTCCAGCGGTCTATCCCTGCAATGCCTCGAACGGCTTCGACCTTTGCAAACAGCCTTACCAAGACGTTGATGCCGATGATCAGCAAACCTGCTGGTGGCTTCACCGCTTTGCGAGAGATCATCGGTTGCTTTTGCGCTGTCACCAACCACCTCACCAAAGATTGGCCAAAAGCCATCAACGTCCTTCGAGCTTGTGAGGCAAAGATCAGATCGGTCAGGCCGGGTGTCAAGAATGGCTCTGTGACGACTTTGAACCCGGCAATTGCCATGATGCTGTATATAACTGCGCTTTTGGTCGAAGGTTGTAATCTGGATGAAATTGCAAAGCAAGACGATGGTGAGTCTCTTTTGGCAAAAAGTGGGCAAATGCTAATCGACCCCTAGCGATTGACGCTCAGGTGAGAAGAATCAGTTCCCAGCCTTTGGCTGTCTACTTCTTCGAGCTGTATCTCGATTTCGCATCCATGTCGACTCCTCATTCTGCCCCTACCATCTGTCTCGGTGCTCTGTTCCGAGCATATCCCTCTTTATTGCAGCTCTCCGAGACGACTGATTGGATGAAGAAGACGTTCGAGTCCAATGACATGGACGGTCAGTGTCGATTGTTGGGTGTCTTGCACCAATTCCTGTCGTCAGAGGTAAAGAAGAGGGCAAGTGCGGGGGTGGCAAACAAGGATGTGAGCTTGTTGATTGGCAACTCCAAGGAGCTCCAGGACTCGGAGTACGTATCGAGCCCCGCCTCTATTGCAGTTCGTCATAACTGACACGATATCTTCAGCTATTCCACTGTGATCGTGCAAAACAACATTGAGCAGATCTTCAAGTGTGCCAGGTCGCAGCATGTGCCTACTCAGAATGCTGCGCTCGATGTTTTAACATTTGTCGTCAACCAAGGCCTCTATTCGCCTGTCCATGTAAGTGTATCTGTATTCATACACGTACATGTCAGCTAATGTCTGCCAACAGACTGTGCCAATCCTCGTCACCCTCGAAACGGCCGAAGATCCAATCATCGCCGAACGCGCTCTTGCCCTCCACTCCACCCTCCACGACAAACATGCCAACCTCATCCACGTCTTGTTTATGGACTCGGCGAGAGCATCGTATCAATATCAGCGGGGCATCACCGCCGAGCCTTCGGGCCATCGTAATGGGATTGCGCTCTTGTCGAGTTGGTATGAGATGTTGAGTGAGAAGAGGACTTGGAGGCATGATTTCTTGAAAGCGCTTTGTCGGGCATTCGACAGCGATCTGGACGCTGAAGTGGTAAGTTCACGGTGACTTTGCAAAGCCTAGAGTCTGGGCTCATAATTTTCTAGGATATCGGATTTGTCCTCTACATTGCCGAGAATCTGGCAACGATGGATTACAAGCTTCAAGAAGAACCCATGACAGTCGTCCAAGCCCTCAGCAGGATAGTCTCTACCTGCTCCCACCTCGCAACTCTCATGGAGGAGGCCCACATCAATGCGCCGCCTGAAGAGTCTATCGACGGACAAGCTATCAATCTCGGAAAACTGAGTGGTGAAACAATCAAAGCAGGGAGACTAGCGGATGCCAGTATCATTGTTGGTCTGGCGTTGATGCTGAAGAATCATCTGGTGTCTTTGTATCATCTTCAAGAAGAGTAAGTCTGCTCCTCTTGAATTGCCAGGGAAGATACTGACGACGGGGTATAGCAAATGTGCAGCTCATGTACCAGGCAAAAAGTCGGCCACGGGGGACAAACCATCCCAGAGAAGAGGCATTCAGGTGTTGGACCTCGACAGGATGTCGATGGTGAGAGGTATCGCTACGGTGGGAGACTTCAAACAGCAACAAACTGCCGTTCGTTCTTCTGCTTTCTAGGTGGAATCTTTGCTGACATTGCTGTATAGTTTTTGGAGTTGTTGAAGGAGGACGGGACGTTATCTGAGAATGGGGATTAGGCGGGTGTCATACGTGCATGATGATGGGGGTGTTGTATTGTTATGCTTTTCTGGGTTTTTGTCATGTCGCATTGTATCTACAGATTCTTATGAACTAGTTTGATGTGCTGTCAAGTTACTAGATGATCGCTTCATCACAGAAGCGACGAGTTTCGTCGGGTTGATCTTGGGAGAGAAAAAAGAGCCCCGAAAGAGAGATCAAGCTCAAGACGAAAACGTCGTAGAAGGCTTGAGTGTCTAATGCAATACATGTAAATGCCAAATATGCCTTCTTATCCCTCTTACGCATCAACCCCCTTCGCCCCCTCCCCAACCCCACCCTTGCTCAGCTCCAAAGCTCCCAATCCCTTCACAACCTCCTCCACCTCCCTCTCCTCCCTCTTCAACACCGTCTTTCTAGCTCCGCCTTCTTCCTTGGCGTCCATCCATGCGAGGTTGTTGGGTACGGGCTGGGCGGCAGGTGGGGGTGTGAGGGTGGGGGAGGAGATGGAGCCGAGGCGGGGGAAGGAGGAGGTAGTTATGAATTCGGTTTGGAGGGGGAGACGGGCTTGGGCGAGTTTTAGGGCTGTGGGGTTGTTAGATGATGCTTCTTGCAGGACTCCAACCGCCTGGTCGCACAGTCCTATGTATCATCGCAGGTCCTGCAAGAAACCTCACTCCAATTCCACCTCCCCGTCATTCAAGACTGGCTGTCCGAACTCGCCTCGGGCCATCTGCGTAAAATCAACTTACCAGCCTTGGCGACTTCCTCCCTGATATTCCCCCCCCCCACTTCCATGATGACCTTCCCCGGGCTAACTCTACAGCTCCAATACTCGAAACTTCCCTTTCCCTTTCCCATTCTCTGCTCGTTACCCTTCACACACACGGGGATATCTGGAAAGACGCGGAGGTAGAACTGGGCGCCCTTGACGGGCTTGATTCTTCTGCGGACGGCGGCTTGGCAGGATGTCAATTGAGCGGCGGAGAGTCGGACAGAGGAGCATGCTCGGAGACCGAATGTGCCGTGGTGGAGTGTTGAGCCTTTCAGAGAACCTCCCTGTAGTCGTAAAGTCAGTTCCATATGTCCTCTTTCTCCTGGCATGACTAACAGTAGGTACTTGTGTCTACGCATTGCATCAGCTCGAGTCCATGAAACCGTATGCATGCACTCACTCCAGGAGCTCCCTTGCCAGCCTTTCTATATTTCGTTCTTCTCGGCGCCAACTGACCCCTAAACCTGACCTGCCCCTCACCGACATTCCTGCCGAGCAGCTGGGGGAGGGCGAATGCTTGCCTGGGTGCTGAAGTCGATGGCCTGAGGAATGCGAGGGCTGCCGAGAACATCGTTGTCTTTGTCGTCGTCGATGCATAGGCCAAGCTCGAAATCAGCTCAAGCAAGAGGAGGGCGGAGAAAATCGGCGTTTTAAGGTGTGGCTGCCTCTCGGCCGCTCTCTCTGACTTCGCATCCCATCTCGCATTCCATATTCCATCCCATACATACACAATGTCCTACCAGATTGCCGGCCGTGCTATCAAGGTGAGTGAGCAGGGGGGAAGACAGAGCACTGCTGACTTGAATCGTGCAGAACGAGTACCTGTGCGTGGAGATGGAGGAGAAAGAGGGATGGCGCTAACCTATACTCTACCTCTTTCAAACGTCCCCCTCAACCCCACTTGACACCCCACACCCAACTACATGTCTCCTACAACTCCCCGAACCGCACTATGATATTGTAATAAACAGCGCTCTCGGTACCATCATCTCCACCATCGGTATCGCCATGGCCGCCACTGGCGGTGACAAGGCTGCTGCCCCTGCCAGCTCTGCCCCCGTCGCTGTTAGCGATGACAAGACTATCACTGGCGAGACCCCCGAGGAGGAGGACTTGTGAGTTTCGAGTTTTGCTTGTGTTTGGATTTTGGGGTGGGTGTGGAGGTTGTGGGGTGGGAGATGGGTGGTTGGAGAAAAGGCGTGATGGGCTCGCATGTGGGCAGAAAGCCTGGGGAGAAAGTGGGGAGGAAGGATGGTGCGGGAGAACGGTGTGCGCATTTGCCTACTTGCTCAACCAGTGGTGAACGCGGTCGAGCCGGTGAGCGGTGGAGCAACGGACAGCGAGCATTTCACTCCTCTATACTTTGCTCAACACCTGCTGGGGAGGAGCTATCTGCCCAACTACCCCCTCCCCCCAAATCACCTGGTTGTCCCACAAACACAAGCTAACCCACTTCGCTATAGCATCCGACAGTTCGTCTCCGAGGCTGAGAAGCAGCACTAAATGCACCTAAAACGTATTGGTGTAGAGGAGGGAGGAAGGGATGGTGGAAAGGTAGAAAAAAACAATGCATATTGCATTTGAAGTTATTTGGATGCTTTGCTTGGTCTAATCCTCGTTCTGGAAGGTGGGGTGCGTTGGAGCCTGTGTATTGCACGAAAAATCGCCAACCGACATACACCTGCTACTCACTTACTCAAATTCTATGACCCAAAGACGAAACCATGTGCAGAGAGCAGTTGAAGAAGAGTGTTCGATACATTACTGTCGTCTGCTACGACTTTGTATGGTTGAGAATATAAGATCACCCTCGTCCCCTCCTCTTCTCTTCCCCTCTCTCTTCTCTTCCTCTTTCCCTCCTCTCTTCCTCTCCATATCTTCTCTGAAATCATCTCGCTGAGATCCTTCTACCAATACTTCCCGCTTAGAGCTTCTCCTTGGGCCCCTCCGGCGTTTTGGTCCCCGGCCCACCAAGGAACCCGAGCAGACTACCCTTCATCTCTGCCAACTGCTTTTGCTTGTCTTCTTCGATCAACCTGTCCCACCTTATCAGCAAATGTCCTCTCTACCCACTCAAAATTATGGATGGAGATGGGGGAGGAGTGGTAAGGAAGAGGGAGAAGGACTCACTTTTTAAACTCGTCGGCATTCTCGGCCCAGTACTTTTGCTCTTCCTGGTAAATCCTCTGCGCCTGGGCACGTTTCTGCTCGAGGTATGTCATGGGCTGGTTAGGCCTCGTCTGGCCGGGCTAGTTCATCCCATCAGCTTCTCCCCTTTTCTCCTGCCCTCTCCACACACCCCACCCCCCACTCCCCCCAAACAGAGAAGGAAACAGTACTCACAGCCGAAACACTCCCAAACATACTACTCAAAAACCCGCTCCCCGCGCCTGTCGCAGCCGAAGGATGCGCCCGCTCCCACTCTTCCACAGCCTTGGTCTTGGCCTCTGCTTCCTTCTTGGCATATTCGGTGGGAATGTCTTTGCCGGCGTAGGCTGTGAGGATTGGGCGGACGTCTTTGGGGGCGAATATGCCGATTGCTAGTGTACATGTTAGTTTGAGTATAGAGGGGAGAGGAGAGAGGGCGACGTACATTCCAAGAAAGGAATCAAATCAACAAGACCCTTATCCCCAGCCCTTCCGTCCCAGGGGTTCACAACAATCCCATTCTCGGGCTGTGCGCCGACATGCTCCGCGTTGGTATCGAGGATGACGACCTTGGACGGGTCTCGGTTGAGGTAGGAGATGTCTTTGACGACTTTGCCGTTCAGGTAGCGGGTGGATTCGCGGAAGAGGCGGTAGGGGATGTAGGCTTGGTAGGGGTCGATCTTTTCGGCTATGGGGCCGCCGGTCTACTTCAAGTCAGCCTTTGACAGTTTCAGAAGGAGGAGGGAGGGGACTTGCGTAGAAGGGCTGGCTGGTGAAAAGGACAATCTCGTAGAATTGAGAGAGGTAAGCCAAAAAGTAGTCTGCTCCGGGACGTTTGGCAGTCCTCCATCCGTGCTGCCTGTCCCAGGAAGAGTGGACGAGGAGACCTTCGAGGTCGATGCAGAGGGTGTAGGGGCGTTGGTGGGGTGGGGGAAGAGGGTCGGGGAGGAGTTGTTTGAAAGCGGGTTTGTTAAAGTACTGACACCATCATCATTAGTATAAGGACGTTGGGATGAGGAGGGGGGCGTACATCCATGAGTTCAGAGACGTTATTGGTCACCTGCGTCACAATCCCCTCACTCTTCCCGGCCCCTTCAACAGGCTTCGACTCCATCGTCAAAATCGCCCCAATAGCACCCACAGCCAATCCTCCATAGCCCAACCTGATCCACATCCTCCTGCTCTTCTCGTGCGACGAGACGTACTCCTTCTTCCCTGCGCCTGTCTTCTTCTTCTCGCCGCCTTCGTTTTGCTCGGATTTGGGCTGCTCAATGGCAGCGGGGGCGGGGAGGTCGGGGTCGATATCAAGAGAAGGGAGTTTGGAAAAATCGGGAGTGTCGGGAATGTCTTCAGCTGCAGCACCAGGAGTAGCAGAGGGCTGAGAGTTGAGGGTAGTCGAAGTGGAAGGAGGTTCCAGAGGAGCTTCAGCCTCCTTCCCCTTCGCAGCAGCGGCAGCTTTGCCCGTGCCAAGATCAGGTGCACCCCTCACCTCCTGCCCACCCAAGTCATTCACCTGCGTCTCAACGACCTCTGGGTTCTTGATATCCTCGGGAACGTGGGGAGGCTTCTCGGCGGGGGAAGGGGCGGAGGAGCGGATTCGGATGAAAGAGGCGGGGGTGGAGGAGAATGTCCTGAGGGGGAGGGAGCGGGGGAGGAGGCGGGATGTTGCTGTGCGGAGCATGTTGTGTTGAGTGATGCAGAGTCAGAATGTCTTATAAACAGCGAAATCACCAAGATGGAAGAAAATGACGGTACAATGGAGAGAGGCGGAGGGCGCCGCTCCTTCTATGTTCGTTGACTGAACCTTGACTGAACCTTGGGGGGTCACGCCTCGGCATGCCATGCACGTATCAATAGTCTTTCCATATACACCGTTACTTACCAAGTTCAAGCGGCTGAAAGCTTCATATAGCTCTTCAAATAAGGCCACGTACGAACTGCTGCACCCCGTCTTCAATGCTTATTGGGCGTATGGTCATGCGTCGTCGCGATGAATTGACAAGCTCGAACTTTCAGTATATATCATTGGCAATGTCCAAGGCATGCGCATGTATTAAAATGTGATAGATATTCTAAACCATTCCACCTCTCTCAGCATCTCTCTAGTATACGCAAGACTGGCTACGGTAAAGTGGGGGCGATGAAAAAAAGTTAACAGAAGAAAGACAGGATTTAAAAGACGATTCCTGAATCCAGCGAGCCGTTCTCCTGTCCTCCAACAAAACCATGTCCAACATCCTCTTCTTCTCCGCAAACAACACCTTTTTCTGCTTCTGCTCGGACAACTCTCTTTCCAAGGCTTGCCTAGTGGACTTCAAGCCATCCATCACCTGCTGGCATGCCTGATCCAGGTTCACGCTCGCGCCCTGTCCCTGGGTGATGTAGGGTTTGGTGGCCATTCTGGCCTCTTTGAGCTTGTCAAAGGACCTAAAGTGGACATGGGCAAAGCGAAAGTATCCAGCCTTGCCGTGAATGCCATGGAGGTCTTTGATGGCTTGGTGGACGGCCTGCTTGGCCTGGCGGGCGGTGCGGTAGATGCCCTTGCCATCCTCGGTGGCGGACGCAAGAGCGTTCTTGGCCACAAGATTGAGGATTCGTTGAATGACGAGGGCGTCGTGGCGATCTTTGTAGGATTGGTGAGAGGCACGAGGGGAGCAGACCTCGATGAAGATATCTGGAATGTCACCGTCCGCGCCATAGACGACAGAAGTGAGGATGAACCCGTCGGGTTTGGTTTCGTAGATGGTCTCGGCTTTGGCGAGAATGGGGTGAAGGGTGCGGGAACTCGTGAGTGTGACGCCGGAGTCTGTTTAATCTCGTCAGTATATGAAGTGGGTCAGGAAGCAGCGGGCTTACTGAGACTCTCTTTGCTAAGAGGAGAAAAGAAACCAGAGATGGATTGGGGAACCATGGTGGGCAGTATGCGGGATGTTGGTTATGGTGTGTGAGGGTCTTTGCCAGAGCTGGTGTTTGTTTGTGAATGACAGCAAGATGGATTTGTCAGTCTGGGATGGGGGATGGAAAGAAGATAAATGCTCTGTGGATCCCTGCTTATATGCCCAGTGGTGCGTTTCCGCAATCGCGTCAGCGAAAGTTGAGAAATTGTAGTACGTCACTGCGGAAACGCAATGTCGTTCGCAGGCAGAGAGACAGGCAGTCATCAGCAATCCGAAAAGAGCCTGAGACATCCTATGGATCGCTCTTGAGACTCGGATGCATGCTGGCGAACGCCGCAGCTTGCTAGCGCCCGTAGGCAACTACGGGGGCGGCGGAGACTGCAAATTACCGGGTCAGCATTGGTCGTGCATGGTAGACACAGTCGTTTTCTACGACATTTGTGTATGTCGTAAGAATGCGACGCTGTGTTTGAGATCACGAACCGAGAAACATAGCTGGTGGGGGAAAGGACAGACCAACCATAGACTGGAACCCGCCGCCTCCATCGAGAAGGAGCAGCTCTCCAGAGGGTGCCCAAAAAGGGCTGCGTCATCAGCCTCCGTAGTTTAGTTGGTTATAACACCCCACTAGTATTCATCATCACTAATGGGGAGGTCTGTCGTTCGAATCGGCACGGAGGCATTTTTCTTTTTGCCCCTTCTCAGCACTCTTGCATTTTGTCGTTTGTGATGACCAGTGAGACGTTCATTGACGCTTACCATCTTGATCCATACGATATGTTATCGAGAAGTCGAGCAGCTCACTTGTCTGGCACGTTGGCTGACAAGGGCACGTGAAGTGATAATGTTGAATCATGCCAAGCTGCAGCCAAGCTGGGAAAGGTCACTTCTGGTCGATACATATTCATTCTTCTCTGTTGTCGGTAGCAGTCTTACGCTGGTATACAATACAGTCTCTTTTCGAGCATCCCTTCCCCTCACCATCCCTCTCCTCCTCCCCCCCACACACATTCAACACCTCTCCAAAACAACAGCAATCCCCTGCCCACCCCCAATACAAGCGGCCCCCAACGCCCACTTCTTATCCATCCTATGTAAGTTATGGCTCAGATTCCCCAAAATGCGCGCGCCGGAGGCAGCGAGCGGGTGGCCGAGGGCGATGGCGCCGCCGAATATGTTTGTTTTTTCTGTGGGGAGTTCGAGTTCTTTTTGGACGGCGAGCCATTGGGCTGCGAACGCCTTGAAAAGTATTTGTGTTTAGCTTTCGTTCTGAAGCAGGAGAAGGGAAAGAGGACTGACTTCGTTGAGTTCGATAATGTCCATATCACCCAACCCCCTCCCCGCCTTCTTCAGCGCCTCCCTCACCGAAACGACCGGGCCGATACCCATAATCTCGGGCTCACAAGCACTCCACCCATACCCCGCCACCCTAACCAACGGTTCCACCCCCCACTTCTTTACGGCGTTTTCACTCATGATCACATTCGCTGCTGCACCATCACATATCCCTGATGCATTGCCCGCCGTGACCACCCCCGTCTTGGGGATGAACACGGAGGGGAGCTTGGAGAGGGAGGAGAGGGTGGTTTGGGGGCGGGGATGTTCGTCGGAAGAGATGGATTGGGGGATGGATTTGAGGGGTTTGAGGGGGATGGAGGTTAGTTCGGAGGAGAAGGCGCCGGAGGAGAGGGCTTCGGCGTAGCGGGTTTGGGACATGAGGGCGTATGCTTTGGAACGTATCAATGTTTGTCTTTATAGAGTGGAGGGAAGGAGGAGGGGGAGGGGGACGTACCGTCGCATTCATCTCGGGTGATGTTGTACTTTTTGGCAAGGTTCTCAGCCGTCACTGCCACAACACATTTAGCCTCCATCCTCAGCAAAAAGTGAGAGAGCAAGCAGACTTACTGCCCATAGGCGTCTTCTCGCCCCCAGGGTTCTGATCAGTCAAAGCAGCCGCCAACGAATCTTCTTGTACGAGATTGACGCCATATCGCGTTCCATATCTAGTCCACCCCATCAGCTTCTAGACAACCGTTGGGGGAAGCGGAAGGTGGGTATGGTACCTGGTGAGACCACTGAGGGTGTAAGGACTCATACTCATAGCTTCCGTACCGCCCGTAAGGCAGACGTCCGCTTCGCTGAGAGAGATGGTTTGGACGGCGTTGATGGCTGTCTGGAACCCTGATCCACAGAGTCTATCAGGGAAGCGTGTCAGTTTGGGTTCGTCCAGGTATGAGGGGTTGGGGCATGCCTGTTGACTGTAAGGGCTGGTACGGTGGGGCCGAGACCGGAGAGGTGCCCGACGTGGCGCGCGAGGTATGGTGTAGAGTTGTCTGTCTGCGTGACGTTACTACAAACAATCGTCAGGTTCTGCCCTGACGGTAGAGACAACACTCACCCGAAGAAGACTTGGTCGACCTGGACTTCAGAAGGCAGATCAGCCAGCGCAGCTTTACCTGCAATCCCACCCAGCTCCGAGGCTTTGAACTCTTTCAGCCTGCACGACAAACCGAGAGTCAGGCAAATTACAGGTAAGGAGGAGGGTGGGACGTACTTGCCGCCGAAAGCGCCAAAGGGGGTACGTTTGGATGCTACGATGTAGGATTGAGGGCGGGGGATGTGGCTGACGAGACGGGCGGTGGTGGATTTCATTGTGGCTGTTGATTGAGAATACAGGAGATGGCTGTAAAGTATGCAGACGGACCGGGTATCACCAGCGCCGGGCCACGTGGGGGGAGGTGGAGGTTCGGGCACGGGGTCGGACATCGCCGATCTCATCGATGGCCACATAATCAGTGCGATAACAATAATCCTAAAGTAATCCACAGCAAGATGCCCCCGCACTACACCTGGATCGTGGACGCCGGCGACGACGACGAAGACTACCTCCCCTCAGAGGGCGACTATCAAGAACACGACGATGACGATGACGATCCTGAAGGCGTCAGCCGTATGAGGCTCGAGCTGGAAGACGATCCCATGGACGATGATTCTCAAGACGAGGCTGAGTTGGGCTTTGCGGACTTGCTGCAATATGCCCAGGCAGTAGCGGATGGGACTGCGCCGATCCAACTATCCTCGGGCGCATTGCCAGCGGCGTTACTGCAGCGCTTGGGATCGAGGGCTGCGGCGCATACGCAAGATGGCTGGGCGTCGAAAGCGAAGGAGAGGCAGGTGGAAGCTGATCCGAAGGGGGTGGAGTTGTTGAGGAGTGGAGAGTTCGGGAGAGTTGGGGGGTGGAAAGTGGGTGGGACTGGGAAGGGTGGGAGGAAGAGGCCGAGGGATTGGAATAAGACTGTTACGGGGTGGTCGCCTCCTAGGCCAGAGGTGAGTATCTTTGTATCCTCTTGCTTGGATTCAGTGCTGATGAGATGTTAGACGGGACATAATCTGGTACCAAACGACCCTGGAACTGTCGTAGCGCGATACCCCGCTGTACCCTACGTCGGGCAATACGCCGGCGAAGATTACTCCATCTTTTGTGAGCTCGCCCCGATCTCAGTAGCCCCAAGGCAAATGTACTGATTCGTGGAGTAGATACTGCCACGCAGTACTTTACACTCCACTTATACTCTACCACCGCCAACATCCATAACGGCTCCATCACCCGTCCCCGTCCCCCTCGTTCTTCCCTTGCCCCCGCCCCACTTCGCACTTCTCAATTTCCTTCCTCTCCCGGCGCCAATACCGAAGACGAAGAAGACGAAGACGACGAAGAAGAAGAAGAAGAAGACGACGACGACTCAGAAGACGAAGAAGATTTCATCCGAGAACAGATGTTTGGCAGGCGACGCAACTCGAACGAAGAGTCGAGTATGAAGACTATCAAGCGGGTACAGGGGGTGCAGGGGAACTGGACAGTTACGGATTGTGATGTTGATAAGAAGGGGCAAAAGTGAGTCTTCACCCGCATCCCCATCCCCAATTACATCCAAATCAACGTCAACGTCTTGAAAAGGGAAGAGGGGCAAGGCTGATGGGTGATAGTATGATTTACTCGTCAATCACGCCTTATGTGCATATGCTAAGGACGGACGAGTTTGATACAGAGCATATAGAGTTGGACTTTAATAGCCCGGGAGAACGGCACCGCTACTATGGGCATGGGGTGAGTTCTGCTCGTCGACTGGACTGGGGTTTGGGCTGACGAAATGAAAGATCTGGAGTATCAGGTTCTCAGCGGATGGGCAGGAGATCGTAGCGGGCGCGTCGGAGGGGAATATCATGGTTTATGATATCGAAGCTCAGAGGCGGACTTTGTGTGTACAAGGTCATATCGACGACGGTACGTCTCCCTCTCCCCTTCACCCCCTACCGAAATCTTCAAAAGCTGACTTGAAGATCAGTCAACGCAGTCTGCTTCGCCGACCAATCCTCAACAAACATCCTCATCTCCGGCTCCGACGACGCCTACCTCAAAATCTGGGACCGTCGTTCCCTCTCCTCCAACATCCCCTCCGGCGTCCTCCCCGGCGCCACCGAGGGGATAACGTATGTGTCGGCAAAGGGGGATGGGAGGTATGTGGTGGCGAACAGTAAGGATCAGGCGGCGAGGTTGTTTGATTTGAGGATGATGCGGAATTGGGGAGAGTTCGGGGGGGAGGAGGATGCTGCGGGAAAGTATGGGGCGAGGGGGTTTGATTGTGCGTCCTTTCTTTTTCTTCTTCTTCTTCCTCCTTGACGTATGTGACAAAAGCTGATATCAAGCAGACCGCCAAATGCATTACCCCCGCCCCGAACCGCGCTCCCACCCAAAAGACTGCTCCGTCATGACATTTACCGGCCACTCCGTCCTCCGCACCCTCATCCGCTGCCATTTCTCGCCCGTGGAGTCGACTGGGCAGAGTTATATCTATTCGGGGAGTTCGGATGGGAGGATACATATTTGGAGTCTTGACGGCAGAGGTAAGTTTTATCTTGTGTCTGTTGGCTTGGTTGGAGAAGCTGATGAGATGATAGTGGCCCAAGTCCTCGACCGCTCTCAGTCTACTCCCCTCCACCCCACCTCCTCCTCCTCCTCCTCCACATTCTCCGACCCCTCCGCCCCCCTCCCCCCTCTCCCCGCCCAATCAACCTCAATGTCCCACCGCTCGCACACCGTCCGCGACGTCGCATGGCACGGCTTCGAGCCCACCCTCATGTCTACCTGCTGGGACATGGATGGCGGGTACCGCCGGGGCGGGAGCGTGGCGAAGCACGAGTGGAAAGGGATGGGGAAGGGGAGGGGGAGTGTGGAGGATTGGAGGGTGAGGAGGGAGGAGGAGGGAGAGGAAGGGGAGAGGGAGAGGGAGAGGGAGGGGAGGAGGGAGAGGAGAGGGTTGAGGAGGTTGTATGCTTAGTTGGAACGGCTGGGGGTTTGAAGAGATGTGTATATTCTATTTTCTTGTTTGTTTATATACTTGTAGTGGTTCTCGTCATAGGTTGATTTTATCCGTTCATCACATAAGGATGTAGTACTTGAATTATGAGTCTGCAAAGATGGGAAGAGAGGCCAATCCGCGCCGCCGAGAGCAATGTCTTCGTTTCACGGCTCACACCACCGCCACCTCCCACAAACGTCAGATCACTACCCCAATGAGCAGCGCCTCTCTCAAAACATCCACTCCCGGGCCTTCCCGGCAGCCTCTTGCCGAGAACCACAGCTCCACCCCCAATGGAGGTACGTTCTCATGTACTTGTACGTTCATCCGACCAGTGTATAGTTTTACCTTTCGTACATACAAATGCCATGATACAACCCTTCTTTCTACCCACGTCTAACCGTCTCTTGCTCTTCTCCATATATGTTTTCCTCCTCCATCTCGTCCCCTCCATGATCATCATCTCGCCTCTTTCCACCTGAGTGCAAGAGGGAAAAGCCTTATATCTTCCACCTCCTCCCCAAGAGCGCCAACCCAGCACCTCCGACAACACAAGAAACAGCACACACAACAAAAGTCACCCTAAAACAGTGCGGTCCATGACATTCCGTCTCTGTCCCAGGCGTCGAGAGGAGCGCGTAGAGGTACTATATCACTCTTTGTCAGCGACAGCTCCAGGCCTCAGGGGGAGAGGGGGAGGGGGAGGGGGGGGGGGCATGTGGAGGGATGGGCTTACAGAGTAGATGACAGAGCCTAGAGCGGCAAAGTAGGAGATCATACCCCATGCTAGTCCGAAATTGGTTGGACCGAAGTGGTGGGATACGATTGCAGGCTTTCCAACCCATCAGCTCCCTTCCCTTCTCCCCTCAAGTCTTTGAAGGTACTCACAGTCAAAGTGAAAAGAGCTCCATACATCGCCCCAACCCCAACACTAACCACCCCCAACCCACTCTCCCCTCTCAACCACCCACTCCCCCCCCACCCAAACACCCCGGCCAACACCCCGGCGCAAAGTCCGGCAAACCCGCTCCTCGTCAGCCGCACCTTCTTTACCTGCCTCAACACGTGTTCTGGTTTGGTAGGGTCGCCGGGGGTGTGTTCTGGGTTTTTGAAAGGGGTGGGAGGGGGGGAGAGGTAGTCTGCTAGGATGCCTGTGATGAGGCGGGCGAGGGTGGAGGAGAGGGAGAGGAGGAAGACGTGTTTGTTCCTGAGCTTCAGGGGGTTGGGAGACGCAAGGGAGAGGAGGGAGGTGGGTGCGGGAAGGAGGGAGGTAAGGATAGAGCCGATACTAGCAATAACCATCTCCCCCGGCCCGACCACAAGCGCACAAAGAACCCCAAACACCCAAAACCCTTTCCAATCACGAATCAACTCCCTGAGCCCCCATGCCACATCCCGACCTCGGGCTTGATCTTCTTCAATCTCGTCCAAGGCGGAGCGGGGGCCGCCGATGAGGAGGGGTGTGTGTTCGGAGAGGTTGAGGCTTGCGCTGAGGGGGTCGAGGGAGGGGTCTTGGTCCGAGTCGGCGTCGGAGTCTGGGGCGTCGCCGGGGAGGTGGGTGTGGAGGGATTTGTGGGGTGAAGCAGGGGGGACGATGCGGAGGAAGGCAAAGCCAAAGAGGTTGACGGCGGGGGACAAGACCCCGAGAAAGAAGAGAAACTTGACGGGATCGAGATCGTGCGTCTCTGGGGAGAGGAATGTAGGGAGGGTGGAGAAGGACGAGATTGCGAGGGAGGATAGACCGATGAGGGAGAGGGGGAGGGAGAGGGAGAGCGTAGGGTGGCTGGGGAATGATAACGATGCGCAAGTCAAACATGCAAAGTACGAGCCCACAGTGGCGGCGCCGACGAGGAAGAATGCGGCGGTGAGCCAGAGATACAGCGCAGGGGTCTCGGGGGTAGACTTGTCGAGGATAGCCGCGAATGAGAGATAGCCAGCAGCGCTCAAGCAGCCGGAGATGAGCGATCCACTGTGAACGCGTGAGCGATGCGTCTCTTCTGGGCAGGGGATGGGCGCACACTCTGGGGCCGTATCTGTCTGTGAGCCATCCCAGAGGCGCAGCCATCAGATACACCCCCACAATCCCACTAACCATCGTCAGCTTATAGCCACACTGCATACTACAAGACCAACCCGACAACGATAGTCTGCGCCTCCGTCCCATCCAATTTCTTCCACTGTGCCACCACCGGCCCATACGTCCCCCAGCAATACACCCCATTCGCCTGGATCGCACTGGCCGTTATACTGATACACGTCAGTGCCACATGGACGGGGCGGGGAAAGTCGAGGCGGAGGGCGCGGTGGGCCCAGTGGCGTTTGTGGTTGAGGATGGCGCTGAAGTCGGAGGAGGAGGAGGGGGAGGAGGGGCGTTCGATGTCGTATAGGACGGTGGGCGAGCGAGAGCGTTCCGCCATGGTGGGTCGTCGAAATGAGCTGGGTATAGATGAATACAGCTTGTGATGATGCTCGTCGGCGATCTCCACCCGGCATTGTTTGCTCTTGACAAGTACCTATATCCACAGAAAGCGTGATGAATCAACAATGCATCTATACGTGCCACATCCAAGAATCGACATATTATAAAGACCAGATGATACCACATCCCGCCCATGCTCATCGTCTCCCCAGATGCTCTCATTACGCCTTGTTCACTGTCTCCACCTTCCTCACCTCCTTGTCCGGAATCAAAAACCACCATCCAAGCTGCACCATTCTCAGCCCCGCCAGTACCCCCACCACCCCCGCCGAAGACGACGCATCCAGTATCGCTCTCGACACGAACGCCCCCAGAAAGACGGCAAGGCCGCCCATAATACGGATATCCCGGGAGGGGGCGTATGTGAAGGAGAAGAGGAAGGGGTCGTTGAAGATTTCGACCCAGGTTGTGGTTAGGACGACGGTGGTGTTCATTGGGGAGGCTATACGCTGTATCTTTGTCAGAAGGGGACCCGGGGGGGGGGGGGGGGGGGGGGGGAGGTTACCTTTCCGACGATACCTTGGATGCCCATGGTAGCTGAGAGAAAGGCGAGGCCGGTCATGCCTAGTGGTGTACGCCAGCTGGGAGAGCCGCGATTACTACCAAACACCCGTCAGCTTGTCCCCCCATCAAGATGAGGCCTCCATGACTTTACCTAGCAAGACCAGATTCACCAGAGAAATGGATCGTCAACGCCGCAGCCATAGCCAGCAGCGCCTGTATAAACGTCGCCAAACCCAACCACCTCCTCTTCCTCGCCCCCGTCCAATCCCCAACCCTGCCCAGACTCGTCCCTATCCAGAACGCCACCAAACTCGTCAACGCCTGCTGATCCGGCTTCTGGAACCCGACCGTCCGCTCTTCCCCCGGTGCGAAACATCTGGCGATGGCGAGCCCGAGCTGGGCGACGTTGCCGGTCTGGAAGCCGCACCAGATGAAGCAGGCGGAGAAGGAGGGGGCGGAGGTGAAGCCGGTGAGGAAGCAGGCGTAGATGGAGATGAGGTTGGTGGAGCCGGGGGCGTCGATATCGGAGGTGAGGGAGGAGAGGAGGCGGCGGTGGAAGGGGGGGGTGAGGGTGGGGGAGGGCAGGGTTTGGGAGGAGGAGGGGAGGGAGTCTTCGGTCATCGTGTTTGATCACCTAACAACAAAGGAGATGAAGACAAGATCAAAAATATTCAAAGAAAAGATGGTCAAGGTACTCCTCGGCTCTCGGCAATTACAAATCTTGGCGTGATCACTGATAACAACATTTGGTTCCGCCATCTACCTCTCAAAGCGATCTCCGAGTCGGAGATCCAGCAGGCGGAAGGACGGAACGGGGCGGAGAGATCAGATCCATCTTTACATATAGGTTTCTATGACAGGCATTGTATTGTCTGAACAAGGCTATGGGTATATAATTGTGTTGTTTTGGATTCACATCATCCCTGAATGCCTTTCCCCAGCTCTCCCCTCCGTCGAGAGCTTTTGTCTAGATGAATATGATTCTCTTTTCGTAAAAGAGTAAAGGACAGGGGGTCATTATACAAAGTCCACATTAACTGCTCTCTCTCCCTCTCCTCTCATCCCCTCGTCCAACGCTCGTCCAACGCAAAACCCCAAAAGAGCAAACAAACACCAAAACCACAAACCACAAAACAGAACCCAAGCAAGCAACACTTCCACGCCTTGCTTTAACGCTTTACGTGCCTCTCACTCGTTCTTCTTGTTTTGGATTCGAGGTATAGGCTTGTCATTCTCATCGATCAGACCCTTCTTGCGCATCATCCGCAAGCTTTCGTGAATCGGATCCAGCTCGGGACGGGGTTCGCGGAAGGAATCGAATTGCACGTCTGCCCAGGTGAAATACTGTTTTCTCTCTTGTCAGCAACACCACCAGTCAAAAAAGTAAGAAAAAGCAAACAGAAACGCACCTGCCCATAGTTGACACTGAAATACAAATGATGCAGCGTATGATGCGCCGGCCCATTTATCCACCTCTCCAACACATGCCCCGAGATCATATCCCCATCATGGATCAGAATCGTCCAGAACTGGACAAAGACGAAAAGGCCGAGGTAGGCGTAGCGGTGTAAGGGGAAGAGGTAGGGGAAGATGTGGTACGGGAGGGATTGGGCATAGCCGTCGAGGGGGTGGAATGCTAAAGCAGCGTAGGGGGTGGGGACTATGAGGGTCTTAGTATGGGAGAAGGGGAAGGGGGGCAAGGGGAGGGGGGGACGTACCGACCCATTTGTGGTGGGGTTTGTGGATGTACTTGTATATCCTCGGATGATGTTCCAACCGGTGCACCCAGTAAATACAAAAGTCCGTAAACAGCAAAAACCAAACCATGCTCCCCACCAAATACGTCCACCCATAATCGCCCACATTCTCATACATCTTCGAGTACCCGTGGATCTCGCCCATGAACCAGGGCACGGTGATGATGCCGATGTAGGGAGCGGCGATGAGGGAGGATTTGATCTCTTTGCGGATCTGGTTCTTGAGGAATTTGGGGTGGTGCTCGAGACGGCGGTCGTATACGAAAAAGTAGGAGAGGGAGCAGAATGAAAAATAGAGGGCGTAGGCGCCGAGGACGGAGATGGAGAGGAGGGAGATGTATTGCCGGAGCAGGCTGTCGCGCGAGAGGAGGGAGCCGGTGAGGGGCGGGGTGGAGAAGGAGGTGTAGGGGGAGGGGGAGGAGGTGGTGTTGAGGAGACCGAGCTTTTCGGTCGTGGGGATGGAAGGGTGGGGGAGGAGATAGTTGTAGACGTGGTCGAGCGCGAACTCGTCGGCGTAATGGAGGACGACGTCCATGGTGATGAGGGTTGCGGGATAGCTGGGAAGAGCGTTAAAAGGTGGGATGGCGTACAGACGATTGGTGCGCACCTTTAACTAGCTCCCGAGTAAAGCAGAGAAGTAGCGATGGAAGATCGTACCACCTGGTGGTTGTTGATGTCGGCGGTAGGTGCGGAGGGGATCGCGTTCGGCCGAGGGTGGGACGAGTTCGTGGATGTGGTAGAGTGGCAAAAAAGGGAGTGGAGAGGTATTTGTAGGAAAAACAGACGGATGGAGGGATCTCCCGGGGCAAGACTGGTCGGGTGAAGCAGGGTGTTGTTGTGATCGTACGACGGTGGTGTCCTGGGTGGTGGTATACGGGGGGGAATGAGCGACTGGTGGGTGTATATCTACTCTCTATGCTCTATGTATGCTCTCTCTATGCTCTCTATGCTCTCTATGCTCTATAACAATCGACGCCACTGAATCGCAGCTGGTGGAGGTCTTCCATTCCATCGTCCCACTTTTTTCCTGTTGTTGTTCTCAGGGACGCGCTTCCGACTTACGTGGCTCGGACACCGCCGCCGCGTGCATGACACGTGGCTGTCTTTCAACCCTCCGTGTAAATGGTAAGCAGTATGCATATGATTAGAACTGGGACCTATAATAAAGAAACAATTAGCTATCGACTATAACTCGTAAAACCACCAAAAAAGCAGGCAGATGCACTACAATCCCATTCCCTTTTCCTCCTTCTTCTTTCATCATACACCTTCCTCAAGCGTTTAGACGGGCGGCGCAATAGTGCTCTCCATCTTCAACGTCTTATCCCCACCCTTCCCAGCCTGTACCGGGTCATGCCTCCTCTTCCACACTCGCTTGACGTACTTGTACCCCTCAGCAGCGAGCAAGTAGACAAAGATCATGCCGAATACGATCCCCCATTCCCATTTGAGCCCGCCGATGAGGAAGACGTCGTCGTTGATTCGGGGAATGTAGACCACGGGGAACTGTTTCTTATCAGTCTTCTTCACTCTTTTACAATTTGATAAAGAAGAAAGGGGAAGGGGACGTACGGTAGTAAGCACGAGCACAACAACACACCACAGCAAGATCCTATTGTCTCGCAGGTTGATCTGCCAAAGACCCTTGTAAAAGTGCTTGCACTCGAGAGCGTGAATCATGAGGATGATTACCAAAGTGGCGAAACAGGTTGCGCGAGCTTGGAAGACGGAGGAACAAATGTCCGAGTCGCCTTCGTTACATTCCATACCCAAGTTGCCCTGCTTCTCGTTAGCTTGACAAACAAAGACGGGGGGGGGGGAGGGAGGGGGGACGTACGGAAAAGTAGCCCCAAAGAACGATGACAAAGTTGACCAAGCTCAGCGAACCGATCAAGAACCCGTAAAAGATGAGGTCGATGTAGAATTCGAGGGTGAAGATCTGGTGGAACGATGAAGGGGGCTGTTCCATCGCGTCGACGGCGGTGGGTTCTAATCCTAGAGCGAGGGCGGGAGGACCGGCGGCGAGAGTGTTGCTTTGCTAAAGTCAGCTTGGGAGGGAAGGGGAGGGGACGGGGGGGGGACGTACATCCAGAGGGCGGCGACGGGGGAGAGAGGGAAGACGGATTGACCGTTTTGGTCTTTGAATGCGAGTCCGATCATGAGCACGATAATTTCAGCCAAGTTACCGGAAAGCAAGTACTACCCCTTCCATCAGCTCCCTTCCCCTTTTTCACCGGAATGAGACTTACAAGCAAGAATTTGGCCAAGTTCTTAAACACAGACCTTCCCTTCCTGATAGCTCTGATGATGGTACTGAAATTGTCGTCACTCAAGACGATCCTCGACGACTGCTTGGCGACGTCCGAGCCAGTACCCATACCGACGCCGACGTCGGCACGTTTGAGAGCGGGCGAGTCGTTGACGCCGTCACCTGTCATGACTGTCTTTTGTCCTCGGCGGTGGATCGCATCGACCATTCGGACCTACTCTTTTGTCAGAATGATTCGGAAGAAGGAAGAAGAAAGAGAGGACGCACCTTGGTCTCGGGCGCACACCTAGCAACCACCAGAGGCAGTTCCGGCAACGCATCCACCTCCTCATCGCTCAACGCATCAAACTGCTGCCCCGTCATAACCGACTCCTTCCCATAACTCTTCTCCAGAATCCCAATACTGAGCGCAATAGCCGTCGCCGTAGCGGGGTGGTCACCCGTAAGCATCCTCGGCGTGATTCCCGCGCGGTAACAGTCTGCCACAGCGCCGGGGGACTCTTTGCGGGGAGGGTCGTAGATACCAGCCAGCCCGAGAAAGGTGAAATCTTGTTCAAATCCGTCGCGGGGCATGTGCTTGATTTCGTCGGCCATCTTGCCGGGATACGTTTTCCCGCAAAGCGCGAGGACACGCAACCCCTGAGCTGCTAAAGCATCCACCTTTCTCAACACGTCGTCCTTCTTGTCTTCTGTCAATTCGTCGCCCTTGTCGCCTACTTTCGTGCAGCGCTCAAAGACGCGCTCGACGGCGCCTTTGAGGAAACATGCGACGTAGCCGTCTTGCGGCTGAGCGTGCGAGGAGGAGTCGGCGGGGTGGAATGTGTAGGCGATAGACATGCGTTTGACTGTAGAGTCGAATGGGTGTTCGACGAGCTGTTCGAAATGCCCATTCACACCAAAGACTAGAGGTCTGGCGCTGTGCCCCGAACGGACAGAGTCAGCTTTGCCTACTTTGCCGCCGGCGGAGGCGTGTTTGCCGTGGTGCGTGAGGAAAGGTTTGCCGTGCCCGAGTTTGTGGGCTGCGACTTGGAGAGCGACTTCTGTAGGGTCGCCGTTCGCTTCCCACTGGGAATCTTCATCCACTGGCCTTGAGAGCGTTGCGACGTTGCACAGAGAAGCGCAGAGCGCGAGTTTACGCAAGCCATCTTCGAGTTCTTCTACATGCACGACTTGTTCTTGGTTTTCGACTTCCCGGTCATCGGGGTCCTCGGAAGAAGAAGAGGAGTCGGTAGACTCTTGGCGCTGGGGCTGCTTGAGGTCGAGTGTATCCGCGACTTTGGTAATCTTCTGACGGTCGGCGCGGACGACGCCCCGGGGGTAGAAGGGGTCTGAACCGGTTTCGAATGAATAGGCTTGGCCGCCTTTGGTGTCGAGCGGTGAGGGATGGGAGGGACGGTGGTCGATGGTGGGGACCCAGAATTTGCGGACGACCATACGGCCTACAGTGAGTGTACCAGTCTGTATGAAAGTCAGCTTTTGGGAAAGAGGGGGTAAGGGAGGAGAGGCGTACCTTGTCGGAACAGACATTCTCCACTCCTGCTAAGGCTTCGATAGCGTCCATACGCCTGACGAGAGCGTTCCTAGAGGCCAAGTCGGTTGATGCTCTGGCCAATGTCAGGCTGACGACAGCGATGAGGGAAGCGGGGAGGATGGAGACAGCAGCGGCTACGGCGTAGGTGGCCATGGACAAGGGGATGTTCTGGAAGCCGGTAGAGGCGACGACGATGATGGCGATGATGATAGCCCAGGCGAGGAGGAAGTATGCCAGCTTGTTCAACCTACCATCCTGTCAGCTCTTGTCATCGCGAAGAATTAGAGGACTTACTTGATCTGCAGAGGCGTCGTCTCTTCAACACCCAACAGGACCTTGGTCTTCCACCAGAATGCGCCGAAACCTTTCCGGTTGTTCTTTGCTTTGCCTTCGAGGGCTTGTGCGATCTTGCCGATTTCGGTGCCCATACCGGTGTGGGTGATGATGACTCGGGCGCGGCCTTTGGTGACTTGGGATCCGGAAAAGACCATACAGAGACGATCGCTGGCACGTGTCAGCCTGAGCTTCGGAAAGAGAAGAAGTTGAAGCACATACCCGACAGGACAGTCTTCTTCATCGATGGGTTCAGATTGCTTGGCAACGGGAAGACTTTCACCAGTGAGGAAAGCCTCATCGCACTCCAGGTTGCTGATATGTCCGTCCAGAATACGGCCGTCGGCGGGCACGATATCTCCATTCTTGAGGAGGACGATATCACCAGGGACGACTTCTTCGACGGGGATGGTTTTGGTATCGCCTTCGCCGGAGCCTTCACGAGTACGGACGACAGTGGCTTGCGGGGCACCGACCGATTCGAGGCTTGCCACAGTCTTAGGTCATGTGTCAGCTCTATGTACTCGGAAAGGATAGGAAGTGACTCACTTTTTCGGCTTGCCATTCGGTATAGGCACCAACAGATACATTCAAAAGCACGAGGGCGGCAATGACACCGCCACTGATCCAGTCGGTCGTACCAAAAGAAGTGGCCATAGCAGCGACTGGCAGCGTCGTCAGTCAGTCCGCCGCGATCTGGATCTAGGGAAAAGGGGACTTACTCAAGATCAGAGTCATGGCATTTCCGATCTGTCTCAAAATAATCTTGAAGACGCTGGGTTTCTTTGGGGGTTTGAGACGGTTCAGGCCATACTGGTCGAGCTTTGGTGGGACTTCGCTCTCCTTGAGACCGGTGGTGGGATTGCTTCCCAGCGCTTCCAGGACCTTTTCAGAGAGGGCGGTATGGGCTTTGAAGGGGAGTGATTCGGTGACGGCAGTCTTGCCGGTGTCGGCTCTGTCTAGTTGTTTCTCATTTTGGTTTGTTGTGACTTTGTCAGACGACATGGTGGTTAGATGGAGAAGAAGAAGAAGAAGAAGAGATGTCTGAGGGGATCTTTTATATATCATTCATTGGAAAAGCGGGCGCCAAGAAAAGGAGCACGCAGCCAAGAGGAGATGCACAAAAAGTGATTTCAATGGATCGTGGCGTTCCCGCTGTGATTCTGATAGGGGATAAAGTTTCCTGATATCGAGAGTTCTTGGGCCTTGGCAGATCCCAGTAATCGAAGCGCGCGGAGACCGCCGGGGAGAAGCACGCACCACCGAGGTCAGCGGCAGATGCTCCGGCACCGAGCACCATGCACACTGACAAACCACGTTCTTTCGGCGAACCAGATGCATGCCGGAGAAATAATCCGTTGTGGAATGGACGATGCCCGCCCTTGGCATAACGTCATGCGTCTTGGGGGCTCGGGTACCGCCGCCTTGTTGATTAACCGGGGCTCGGTCCGGAACGATAAGATAACGATATGCTTGCGAGCACGTCCGTCTGGGCCTGGAAGGGGTCGATTGAGCGCGGGGATTACGAAAGTGGGGCTGGGGAATCATCTCAGTGCGTCATGGCCTATACATAGATGCTTTGCGTACGTAGGGTCCGCGAATATCGGCATTGTCAAGAGAGAGAGAATAGCAAACCGCCAAGGGTGCACTCAGCAGTATCAGAGCAAAACCATAACCAAGCCTCCGTAGTTTAGTTGGTTATAACACCCCACTAGTATTCAACATCACTAATGGGGAGGTCTGTCGTTCGAATCGGCACGGAGGCACTTTCCTTTTTTTGCCTATTTTTGGGGATCATGGGTCAGGTGGGGGATGGCCGAGGGGGTGGAAAAGTGGTTCAACACGTTTGGGTGACGATGCTGCACCATCATATGTTACTAAATGCGATGCACCTGAGAGGAGTCAAAGTCTTGGCACGAAACCGATGGCTCAGCTTCGGAGGGAACCCGACTCTGCGTCAAAGTCATCTCTGTACACTCCGAAGGTGTACCTCTTTCAGCTCGGAACGTTGTGGTCGTAAACAAAATAGATGTTGCGCCGCCGGAAGAAGCGACCAGAACCACAATGAAAGCCTTATGTGTTGCATTTCCGTGTCTGATTGATTGGTACAGAAGTATAGGTATATACACTTTACACATTTCTCATCTTCTACTTTTCTCTCCTTCATCACGCTTCCGTCTGTACACTCGCTACACCAATATGTCAGAACCGGTCCTTCATTATCGAACAGAAGAATGACTCACGTTCCCTCGTCTTGGGCTGGTTCCCAGGCAACCTATCTTTGACACCCTTCATCATCCACTTGGCACTCCTAAACGCTTTCACCTGCGCCGGACCCCTCTCCCTCGAAGCCAACTGCCTCTTATGCGCCTTGTCCAGCTCCTTCTTCTCATGCTTGTCGATGATACCGTCATCGGCAAAGTGGGCCTGCTTGCGCGCGAGTTCGGCTTCGCCCTCGATATGGTCGTAGGCTTCAAGGGCGTGGCGGCGGGATTGGGATTGCTTGAGGTTCTGCTTGAGGGACTGTAAGCGGCCGCTAAGGAGGGAGAAAAGGGGAACGTACCTCGTGATCCTCGTCCAATCCAGAATCGAGCTTGATCCTCGCCGTGAGCTCACCAACAATCTCAAAGTCGTGGAATTTAGCCGTCTGGTCATTGATGGCGTTCTGTCGGAGGTTGGTAATCTTTTCACTGACGAGCACTGGCAATTTGACTTCTTGCTCAACGTCGTCTGTCAGATCTTGCATCCACAAGACTGCAATCGCATCCGGCTTGGCCGCGATGCCCAGCGCAGCCAACGGTCCGCCAGTCTTGCCAATCTCAAAGATGACACTCGACTGGTATCGGGAGTAGACTGGCATACGCAGGGTATCCATCTCCCAAGAGACGGTGTTGCCAGAGACGACGGCTTCCTTTTTGGGCATCGATTCGGTTTGTTCGGAGGTGACGACGCGAAGACGGGTGCGGGAGGGTTCGAAAGTGGCGGGGTTGGTGGAGGTGAAGGAAACGTCGGACAGCTCGAGGGTACCGGTTTCCCAGCCGCGCATGTTTGGCGGGAGAGTCATTTGCATACCGCGGAAGGCGAATGAGATGTTGCACCTACAATGTGTGAGCTTGTCCAAGTTATGCACAGAAACGACTCACTTTCCGAATCCGACACCCTCAGTCAAGGCATAGATCTGGTTGACACTACTGCTCTCCCTAAACACCTCGCTCAATCGCACACTGACGATACCCAAAATCGGGTCCGCCTCTCTCAACCTCGAGTCCCGAATCACAACCCTCACTACCGTATTCTCAAAGTCCCTCACAAACACCTCGGTACCAGCCTCAAAGTACGGGTTGGTCGAGTACTGCTTGACACGCGTCTTGTATACCAAATCGTCATTGACGATAAATTCGCCATAGCCTGAAGGCAAGTTGTCGCTCTGCTCGCTCGGCTGGTCGGTATCCTGCCCCGCCTCGCCCTCACGCTCACCACTCGCACCCTTGAGGTTCTGCCTCTCGAGGTTATTGACCTGGTGCAAAATGATAGACAAGACACCAGACGGCCACTTGGGATCCGGCTTGGTCTTTTGGACATCCGGCGGCGGAGGGGGCAAGTCCTTCTTCGCAGGGTTCGGCGCCACATCGGCGGGGTGCATCTCCATTTCTGGCGCCGTCTTGGCCGGTTCGGGCGCCGCGGCGGCTTCTTCGGCTGAAGGTGAGCGCTCGAGTTCCTTTTTGAGCTGCACTTTTTCATAGTAGCCGATGGACCAGACGAGTTTGCCGGGCATGTCGTTGGCGTCTTCGAAGCCCATGAGGTTGTCTTCGCGGCGGAACATTTGGTTGGGGCGGCGGATGAGTTCTTCGACGGGGATTTGGACACGGCCGACGAGGTCGCTATACTCGCGTTAGCTTGGGTCTAGAGGAGAAAAAGAAACGTACTCGGCAGACATCTTGTCGCTATCCCACAGCATGGCCGCCAAATCCTCCTGACTCTTCACTTCGTCCAAAGTCAAAAGCAAAACGGCAGTCTCTTCAAACACCGGGTTCAAATCCTCCATGATGATCCTCGTAGAATACAGCGGCTTTCCAAACTTGGCATAGGCCAGCACGACATAAGGGTCCGAAAGACCATTGTTATCCTGGGCAGAGAGACCTTCACAGTGGTGGATAGTGATGAGGAAGACACCGATAGCGGTCGTATCACCAACAGTCGCACCAGACAAGAGTTCTTGCAAGTTGAGCGTCATCGACTTTGGAACCGACATCTCGGCCGTACCAGCCGCAATACCCATCTTGACGAAACTCGAGACGAACGGCAAGTCGAGCACGTTCGGCAAATACTCTGACATGGGGATAGCACTGACTTCGACGGAAGGTACACCGCAGAGGGCGAATGTGAGGTTTCGGACGAAGGGAGGTTGGGGGATGAATTGGACTCGGAGACGGACGATACCGAATACTTGCTCAACTTGGATCCAGATGGGGACGGGGATATGGAGCCAGTCGTAGAGACCGAGGAAAAATTCGATCAGGAGGTGAATATTCTTTGCACGCGCATTCTGGCCTTGACCGGGAAGGGCAGAGTAGGCGAAAGCGACTTCAAAGTTGTAATAATCTCCGGCCTCGTCCTCTTCCAGGTCTTTGCCGGCAGTGTCTTTGGTCTTGATATCGTCGTTACCCTGGTTGATCCATCCCGTCTTGGGATAGTCTTCATCGCCAGGTTGGTCGGGGAGAGCACGGATGGAGGTGATTCGGAATGGGTTCTCGCCCTGTCCGATGTCTGTGATACGGACGGCGTCGACAAAGCCGGGAAGTGATTGTTGGAGGATGTCTTCGACCATGTCGGCAATAGAGACAAACATCGCGCTATATCCTGTCAGTCAAGTCCACACTCTCAAAGGGCGACTTACGGATCGACGAGACCCCAAACGAGCTTGATAAGACCGTTCAGCCACTCCACACTCTCAGGAACAGGTGGGCTAAACGCCTCGCCGCGCTGCCTGCCCATATCCTGCCTGACCTTTTCCACATCCTTCTGCAAGCTCCTCTCGATCAAGCTGACGCTGGTCATGAGAACGAAAGCCGTGATGGACATGATGAAGGAGCGCAAAAAGAACTTCCAGATACCTGATCCGAAGGCGGTGGTGAGCCAGAGGAAGAAGTGGACACCGGCGATAGAGTACTGGACGATACGGAGTTTACCGAGCATGATCTCGACGGAGACGGGCTGCGGAGGAGGGAAGGCGTGGTGGAGGACATTCTTGCCTTGGGTAGCTGGTCGTGTGGGGTCAAAGTCTGTACATTTGTCAGTATGCGTCGAGGGCAGGAAGGGAGGAAGCACCTTTCGGGTCGGCGTCTTTGACAATAACTTCAGTCCCCGTGATGGGATCTCGCACACGACGCTGGCCCTTCTCCGCTTTCAAGAATCGGTCTGTCGGCTTGACTGTATCTTCGTCAGCTCCTACTCATCTTACAGTGGCATTACTGACGTTGATTGGCATTCATCTGCTCCATAAGCTTTGTCTTTTCGTTCGCGCCCGTGCTCGCGTTGGGCTCATCCTTCTTTTCCTTTTGCACCTTGGCCGCGTTCGTCTCTTCGTCCGCGCCAGACGATACCTTGTCGGACGCAGCGATGTCGCTGCTATCGGCCGTCTTCTCGCTCAACTTGCGCTCCCTTTCCTGGGCATCACGCTCTCGTCGCTCGACCATTTCAGCATACGTGTTGGCCTCATGTTCGTGTCGCTGTTTCGTCTCGCGGTAGCCCTGGACGGTGGGCACCGGGTGGTGGGAGGAGTAGCCCTGGCCGACGACGCGGGAGGGGGGTGCGGCGGGGAGTTCTGGGAAGGCGTCGTCTTGGTGGGACATCGCGGATGGGGAGAAGGCGAAAAGAAGAAATGCTAGATAGGAGCTTGAGGTCATCCAGCCCTGGGACAACCCTGACGTCATCCCGACAGGTGCCTCGCTCTCATGGCATCTGCATGTCCCAGGGTGTCCCGATCGCTGTGCGTTCTCCCCTTTCCATCGCGTACAGCAGGTTCCACTTGGTCGGTTTACGGTTACGGCTTTGCAGTCATGATGTTTACAGTCGGTATCACAAGTTAGTGAGCAAGAGCAAGTGCATACATGGTCTGCAGAAAATATTGCTGCATGTTTACACCTCAAGAAAACAGTTCACGCTATGCAGACAGTCCTCAAGATTGCTCAAGAGATCCCCTCTATCGAACACCTGTTGTACTGGCTCATCTTTGTGACAGGATTATATAGGCCCATCAATTTCCATGGCAGTTGTCGGAACCCCCGCCGATACACGTCTAGGTTCTGAAGTTTGCGACGATATTGATCTTCTCGGGGAACGAGCTGCTGGATGCGAAGGTAGTGTGGGAGGGTAAGAATGCGTGGATGGTAATATCGACCGAGGGCTTTATCTGCATCAGTTCTGGGTCTTGTAGATGGATTGTCAGACTCACTCTATATCCCCGCTTTCGCGTCGTCTCTTTGTCCCGTTTGGCTGGTCGAAAGGCTGCTCGTGTCTCGGTACAGACCCTTCCACAAACTCTTTCTCGCTCACCACTCGCCCGCTCTCCGGAAGCACGCCTCGCGGCTCTTCCCTCTCCCTTTCAGAGACACCATTACTCGCCGTACCCCTAGCCGATAGCTCTCCCTCCCTTCCTCTTGGGACATCTCCAGCAGGCAGCGCTCCCTGAGCACCGACTTCTGGTACAGGCGCAGGGTTCGGCGGTCCAGAGAAGGCGTAATTGGGGAGAGGAAGGCCAAGCTGGCGCATTCGGCTTTCTTCTTTCGCAATCCGATACGCAATCAGGTTGTTCTCCTGATTCCACTTTCGTCAGTATCACATCACCACACACAATACTACTGGTCGGTACTCACATCCTCAAGTTCGTTGATCAATAGCTGTAAAGCGATATACCGCTCTACCCAACCATATCAGCCCTCCAAATTGAATATTCAATCAAGTGGGTTGGACGCACCTTTAAACATCTCATCGTCGCTCTCAAACGCCGGTACATATCCCGTTGGCGTCAGAGGTTTTCTAGGCGGAGGCGGATACGACCCCGCCGCATGCCCCACAACAGGATGAGGGTGCGCATGGGGGTGGGGGTGTTTAATACTGGAAGAACGTCTCCTCTCTACCGCTGGACCGGTCGGGGGGTATGTGGAGGCTGGCGCGTCTGCAGGCGGAAGAGCGGGGGCGCCGGGTATGGGGGATGGGAGTGTGGTGCCGAGAGACGGCATGACGTGGTAGGTAATTTTGTGGGGATGGTTTGAGGGATTGTATTCTCGACACGAAGAAAGGTCAGCGAAATGTCCTCAGACTCAGACAAGACTCAGAGCCGTCAAGTCGGCTCGCTTTCGGCCCACCGATTTTGATCCCGTCGCGCGCATGACCTCTTTCATCCTTCAACAATCAACATTGTCTTGCTGCCCCGAAACAGGTTGAAACAGAGAACTACGGACCATGCATATGCAACACTTCCATGCTAAGTATAACTAGAGAGAAAAATGGGTGGGGATCTCCATCAATGTACAACGGATCCTTTGAGTTTCTTGTATTCTCGTAATCTCTTGTCTATTCTACATTTTCCTCAGAGTCGTGTTGTGGGGCCTCTTACCAGCCACCGGTATCCTCCTCCGCAGCCTGATCAGGTACACCAGACTCGGAGATCTTCAAGCCCTCAAGGTAGGGCATGTTGGTAGAATCGCCCCATCCTCCAGCGTCTTCACCGGAAGACTGAGCAGGCCCAGAAGCAGACTGACCACCCCAGTCCCCACCTCCTGCACTACCTCCGCGAGAAGCTTGGCTGCCAGATCGGGCGCTGTAGCCGTTATCGTGTTGGCCGGTGCTACCCCCAAACCCGCCGGCGCCTCGTTGTTGAGCTATAGCTTGGGTTAGTAAGAGGGCATTGAGTTGGAGGAGATGATACGTACGAGGTGGACCGCCGAATGCTGCCCTGCCTCGACTACCTCGACTGCCTTTGCTTTGATTGTCGCGCTGGAGGTCTTGGAATCCGTCGTGGCCCCATTTGCCGGGTTGGTCGGCGCGGCCGTCATTGCCCCAGTTGGATCTGGCGGCACCCCCACCAAATCCTTGGTTGAAACCGGACTGACCGAATCCGTTCGAAGATTGGCCGGAGTCACCTGGAGCTTGTTCAAGATGACGTCGCTCAGACCAGGGTTGTCGTGCACCAGTGGATCGTCGACTGTATGAACCGCCGAAAGAAGATTGAGCCTATCGTCCATGTCAGTACTTTATCTCGCTAGTATCACGAAGGCGCGAAGACTCACATCGGAAGCTTGTTTTCCAGCCTGCTGAGAGATATCATTCCAGCCACCGCCGTTATTGGCAGCAGGAGCAGGAGCAGCCCCACCCCATCCGCCAGCGTCTTGAGTAGGAAGATTCGTGTTCCCAGCCTTGGGTGTCGGCAACCCCCATCCTCCCGCATCGTCGTCTCCATCATCGGTAGCAACCGGCGCACCACCCCAGTTGGACTCCACTGGAGGCGGAGCAGCAGGCTTGGCTCTCCCGCCCCATCCCGAATTGGAATCATGCTCAGGTTCCTGGGCGATGGCGGCGATCGCAGGGTTGTGATCATCATCATGATCCCAGGCTTCCGAGCCCTGCATAAAGTCCTTCTTGTACTGTGGCAGCTCCACCTTGTGATTGGCGAAAAACTCAAAGCCGGGTTCCCTCAAATCTCTCTCCTTTGCGAGTGCCGAAGTACCCCAGCCGGGACGAGAATTGCTGCCTCGGCCATTACCGTAGCCAGCGCCGAGGGACGAGGTGTAAGGGTCAGCAGGGGGTCGGTTGCCGTTCTCGACGAGGAAAGCTTTGCGAGCTCCCCAGCCGGTGACTTCGCCAGCCGTGGGGAGACCGACAGAGTTGGTACCAGAGACGGGGGCACCGAAGCCAGAGTATCGGGATCCGGAATTGCCGTAGCCACCGCCACCTCCACCGTTGGGGCACTCTCGAGACTGTCATCGAGTCAGCCATTAGTCTCTCAAAGCTGAAGGAAGACATACGAAATGACCGCGTTCGTGACATCGATAACACTCGCTTCCACCTTGACCAGGCCCGTTGGGGCATTCTCGGGAAAAGTGTCCTTGTTCACCGCATTTGAAGCAGCCATCATCACCGCCGCCTGCTCGTCCGGTACCACCAGCACTGGGGCATTCTCGAGCCTATTCTTCGTTAGCTATTGACTTGACAGATATGACACGAGATTCTTTAACGTACAAAGTGACCGTCTTGTCCACATTTGAAGCATCCCCCGCCGCCTCCTCCGCCTCCACCACCACCACCGCCATAGGAGTCTTCCCCAAAGCCACTGGAAGGAGCAGGAGCATCTCCCCACCCACCTCCACCCCCAGAGAGAGCAGGAGTGTCATCACCCCACCCACCACCACCGCCAGAAGCAGCAGGGGCAGAAGAAGCAAGTTCAGCGCCCCACCCAGCCGCATCTCCAGCTTCGGCCTGAGGTTCAGGAGAGGTATCGTCAGCCCAGCTTGTCGATTGCTGAGCAAAGGTTGGAGTAGTCGCTGGCTCCTCGGCAAAGCTGGAAGATCGTTGAGCAGAAGGCTTGGAGGCGGGAGCGGGAGCTCGGATGACAGCGGGAGTAGCACCCCAGCCTCCGGCATCATCGTCGTCGTTGTTTGAGTTGGTAGAAGCAGGCTCGGGTGCTGCGCTCCACCGGCTTTCGCCTCCGGCAGGAGCTTGAGGGGCAGGGGCAGAAGCGGCGGCACCCCAGCTGTCGTTGGATTGTTGAGGAGCAGCACCGCCCCAGCCCCCTCCAGATGGTCCTCCAAACCTGCCTCCCCCCGAAGCAGCACCAAACCCGCCCCTCCCTTCCCCTCCATGCTGGCTCCCTCGCTCACTCCTCCCCGCCTGACTACCGCTCTTACTGCCACCTCTCCTCTTGAATCCACCCCATCCTTGATCAGCCGGGGGCGGGACGAACTGTTTCTCCCAGGGTCGGCCCGTTGTGAGTGAAGAGACGTGGATACCAATACCGCCGTCGCGATCGGCGTCAATTTGGCCTAGGTGAAGATCCTTGGCAGGAGGGTAAGTGCGAGGGGGAGGGACGGACCAGTCTACTGGGGCAGCGGGGGCGGAACCCCAGCCGCCATCGTCGGCATCGTTGGATTCTTGAGCAGGGGCCGAATCGCCCCAGCCCCCGCCACCTCCCGATGCAGGCTGGGCGTTGTCGTTACCCCAAGAGTCGGTAGGCTGAGATTGTTGGACAGAGGCGCTGCTTGCCTGAGAGCCGCCGAAACTTCGTTGAGATTGACTGCGTTGAGCGTAGCCGTTGTCGCGAGCACCAAACGCGCTGGGACAGTCTCGGGACTTAATGATTGTTAGCTTTTCACGAGAGAGACATGATCAACGTACGATATGACCGACTTGGTTGCACTTGAAACACTCTTGACCATCACCACCTCCGGATTCCGGGCACTCTCGAGCCTAATGCAATCGTCAGCTGAAGACGCCAGCTGCGGGCGAGGGTAGTAGACGTACAAAGTGCCCTCGTTTATGACACCTGTAGCACTCGCTGCCGAATTGTTCGGCGTTGGGACACTCTCGGGCCTAAAGTCACTCGTCAGCCTCACTCTACCAATCACAAATAATATTGTAACGCACAAAATGGCCGTCCTGTCCACACTTGAAGCATCCCCCACCGCCACCGCCAACGCCGTAGCCACCGGCGCTTTGAGAGTCTCCGCCAAAACCAGCTGAAACAGGCGCATCACCCCACCCACCACCAGAAGGTTGCGCGGGAGCGTCGTCCCAAGCACTGCCATCATCACCACCACCGGAATCCTCAGTGTCTTCAAAGCCCCATGCTCTCAGAGGAGACTTTTCCATAGCGGGGGAAGCAGGAGCTGACTCATCCCCGCCATCCTCGGCTGATCGTTCAACCTCGGGCGAGCCTTTGCCTTGCCCGTGTGCCTTCGCAAGGGAGGTGTCGGGATGAGAGGGGGAGTCGGGTACCGGCACAGGCTCAGCTTCAGGCTGAACCCATCCGCCCGTAGTCTTGCCCTCGCCCACATGCTGTTTATCGGCCCATCCGTTCGAAGTATCGTTGTTGGTAATGGGAGCAGCCCAGTCGTCGGCGTCATCCCCATCTCCATCAGAGGGATAAGAAGCCGTCTTGTAGACTGTAGACTCTGTCACCTGAATAGAGGGGGTGGGTGGCTGAGGTGATGCGCCGTTGTGACGTGGGGCCGAAGTGGTCGCTGGCTCGACAGCGGGGGCCAAGGTGGGAAGGGGAAGGGCAGGAGGGGTCGTGACCTTTTCGGGAGGTCCTCCCCATCCAGCGTCATCTTCGTTGCTCATGGTTGGAATGTCGAAAGCCCAAGTGTCACTCTGTGTGCTGAACTCTGATTGCTGAGACCAGGTATACCCAAGACGCCTTCTACGAGATGAAAGTCAGCCTCATTTGCCCGATCTTTCTCGCAATCGAGGAATGGAATGCTCACATGCGTACTATACTCCCTATATTGCGTCTCCAAGGAGAAAATGGGAAAGATGCCAAAGTGGAAGCACGTAGAGACCGGAGATACCCTCTTTCCGAGCAGATATCCTGTCTACAAGATCCGTCAGTGCTGCTCTCTAAGAAAAAAAGAATTGAAAGAAGATGAAAGAGGGCATGTGCGCGCGCGCCGTGGGAGAGTTGGGGGTCCAAACTCAGGCCTCCACATTCCAATTTGTCTGTCGTTCATCACTTGCAGCTGGGTCCCTCAACTTGCGCCCAAAGAAGTTGTATATGCTGTATGGATTTCATTGCGTTATATGTAGCGCTGAATGGTGCTTGTTAATCAGAACAGAGCAGAGGCTCAAGACATTCCACAGCACATGGGTCTCAAATCATCACAGTACCGACGTGCGCTGGGCTGAGCTTCCGATATTTTATAGGCCGTTTTTAGAGCGCATAATCTCTAATGTCTCGTTGGTGTAGTGGTAGCATGCCTTCTTCGGGTATATCATCTGATTTGTGCGCTTTGGAGGCGGTCCCCGGTTCAATCCCGGGACGGGACCTTTTTTTTTGTCACCTGGTATTCTATTTTGTCGCCGTGTTATAGCCACCGGAGGGGATGGCGGAAACATCGGTTGGAGTCGGAACGTGGTATCCTTCTGCGGTACTGGTACATACAACCCGCGGTGTCTCTGTCTCGAAGAGGTAGCATGGTGGACATTCCGAGCGTACTTGGTGGGGCTGATGAGAGAGGAGTGTCGACCTGTGCGCATCGTGCTGCAAGCCCTATTATTCATGAGCACAGGTATCAGTACCTTTTGTATGTATATGGTTTTATAATATGCATGCAGCGATTTATAGAATGATTTTCCTTTCCAATTGCATTTCGACTTCCGATCCAACGCGATGAAAGACGCCAAGACACGAGCAATCACTGTGATCTTGCTGTCAGACAGAGATGCGGAATACCTTATATGAACAGCTTACCATTCTGCTTCGGATTCCGGGGGATCGGAATCAACACATGACCCACCCCTCCCTCTCCGCCTCAACCCGCTTAGCGAGCTCAACGTTCCAACCAAGGCGGGCCATATCCTGCACAAAGATACGCGTGTTCTCCGCCCTCTTCTCCGTGGCAAACTCCTCCCATCCACCCCTGCCGAATTTCTTCATTTTCATATCAATAATACGCCTGGTGACAGCCGGACAAGCATCGAGCTTGGCTTCTTCCGACTTGTAATCCTGGATGGCGGACTTGATGTTGTCGTGGGTGATGTCGTAGGTGGTGGGCGGGATGGTCATGGACATGGTGAATGCCTTGGGGCATCGGATCTTGGGTCGGATCGGAACGATGGCGGTAGGGTAGTAGTTGGCCTTGGGATAGCTGGTGACCGCGGGCAGGCCGGAGTAGTCGTGAGCCGCAGGAGGCACGGGCATGGACTTGGTGAACTTTTCGACGGCGACCATTTTGGGTGCTTGGTTGGTTGCTGATTGGTGTGTTGGTTTCAGTGTTAGGGGAATGGCCAGGAGAAGTAAGATGAAGAAAGAAGAAATGGAGATGCAATTGCAACGGGCTTTTGACCGGCTGGCCATGTTTCCACCTTCATGACATGTTTCCGCAATAAGAACAAGTGGCACTACTCGGTTTGTATCCGACTTTCTACCATTGCGTCCTTTTACTCGCCCCCATTCCGACGTAAGATAAGGCTATGCAACACTTGACATGCAAAAAAAATGGCAGTTGAACGCAAGTTGAACGACGACAACGTTACCCACGGCGCTGGCCGCCATAAGATAAGCCATGGGTGTGCCTGAATAGAGATAAGAGGGGAGTCCAGATCTCTTTTTTTTCGGTCGGAGAAGCGACCCGCGCACCAAACGGAACTCCGTCAACCAGCGGTATTTGGTGCGCTGTGCGGTTCGGAGAGGTATTTCGAGCGACTGTCTGCTCAGAAGTAACATAAAGCCGATCTACCCAGTGCCAGCAAGGCAGAAACTTCATGCGATCGTGCGATGGCCTTTCTCTGCGCCATGATCGATACAGCCAAAACAAGTCAAACCCAGAAGAAGGACGTGAACGTAAACAAACCATGCCATTCAAGGAAAGGGCAGCGATCACAAAGGATTGGGTGGGACCAATGTCAACCTGCCTCTGATGCTGAGGTGAGTGAAAGTGCTCAGAACCGCGTGCACAGAGCGCACAGGCCGCTCTCGGCGCTCTTGGGGGCTTGGGTCTGACTAAGAATCCTGCCATCTGCTTACGAACTCTCCTCCAACAAGATTGCGGTGGCAAAAGATAAAAACACAGAATGGGCCATTTCCACGTGGTTTACCCTGATTTGCCACTTGTTTTGTCCGGCCGACCCGCGGTGGTGCGGTTGCTTCCGTCTGAGTGCCTGACTCTCCGCGGACCGGCCGTAAGGAATTCAACCATCGACAAGCTGCAGCTATGATTCGATTCGTCGCACAACGTCGTATATAAGACCAAGCCACCCGCATAAGATCGCCCGTTTTCTCTACTTGATTGGCATTCTCATTCATCAATACTTTCATTGACTCTTCATATATAATTTCCGCCACCATGTCGTCGTCCGCCGACACCACCTCGACCATCGTCCCCCCATCCCCCACCTCCCCCACCGCTTCCCGCAAGGGCCGTCGGATATCCATACAGGAAGAAGACCGCCCCGCAAACGAAAAGTTCTCCAACATCCACCGCTCCCCCACCCAACATAGTGGCAACACTCCCATCTACCACGGCACCAACGATGTTGGCATCCACCGCACCACCACCTCTGGCTCCCGCCGCGGGCCTCCCGATCTCGCGTTCCCCTACCTCACTACCAATATCTCTCGCGGTGGTATCACTGAAGAGTACCGAGTAGAGACCAGGGAAGGTTACATTCCTATGGATGATCCTGAACGGGGTCTCCAGCCCGTCCGGTCGCGTGCTTCGACACTCCATGGTGACCAGTTTGTCCTTCACGACAAGGAGAAGGGCGGTATGGGAGACAAGAAGCTGGTGACATGGCTGGAGAACGACCCCGAGAACCCGAGGAATTGGAGCAATTTGTATCGTTGGAGTGAGTCTCAACTTTTTTCTGTTTACGAAATATGATGCTGACTTGCGACTCCCAGCCATCACTGGAATTGTCTCGTGTGCCGTCATCCAAGTGGCCATGTCGTCTGCCATCGTCACTGGTGACTTCAAAGACCAAGAAGAATACTTTGGCGTCTCTTCCGAGGTCATTGCCCTCACTGTCTCGTTGACGGTCTGCGGCTTCGGGTGAGTCACTACTGCTTCGGCCGCATTCTTTTGTTTGGATCGCTAACCGTGCCTGGGTCATTTCTAGTACCGGTCCTCTTCTTTGGTCTCCCCTTTCTGAACTCCTCGGCCGTCGTCTCCTCTGGTTGTGTCCCTTTTTGGTGTACATCATCTTCAACATTCCCTGTGCATTGGCGCCCAATATCGGATGTTTGCTTGCCAGTCGATTCCTCTGTGGTTTCTTTGGTTCTGCGCCCTTGACGCTGGCGGGTGGTGCCATCGCTGATATCTGGGGTCCCGAAGAGCGAGGTGAGTACTCGAACGCGTGTCTTGGGCTTGAGCTGACAATCTATAGGATTTGCTATTGCCATCTTTGCTGCTGCTCCCTACACTGGTCCTGTTATCGGTCCCCTCATCGGTGGTTTCATCGGCAAATACGCCAACTGGCGCTGGATATATTGGGTCAACATGATCGCCGCTGGTGTTGTCTGGGCCGCTACTCTTACCATCCCCGAGACCTTTGCTCCCGCCATCCTCAAACGTCGAGCTCAGAAGATGCGTCAAGACACCCAGGATCCCTCTTTCGTGACTGAACAAGAGCTCTTCCGAAAGCCTCTGAACGAGATCGTCATCGAGACTCTTATCAGGCCTTTCGAGATGCTCGCTACGGAACCCATTCTCCTGTGTATGTCCTTGTACATCTCGCTCGTCTATGGTCTCCTCTACGCCTTCTTCTTCGCTTTCCCTGTGGTCTTTGGCGAAGATTACGGATGGGACGATGCCAAGGTTGGATTGACCTTTATCCCCGTCTTCATCGGTGTCGGTCTCGCCCTCTGTGTCACCCCATGGCTCGAAAAGAAGTACACTGCCAAGGGCGACCAGGCCGAGCCTGAAGACCGTCTTCCCGGTATGCTCATCGGTGGGCCATTCGTTCCCATCTCGCTCTTCATCTTTGGCTGGACGGCGCCTCCTTATGTCGCTGCCGCGGGTGGCTCTTGGGTCGGTCCTTGTTCTGCCGGTATTCCTTTCGGTTTCGGTATGGTCTTGGTCTACTTCAGGTAAGTCTTCTTTGAATTTAGATAGATAGGATGAGTGCTGACTGGATTGACAGTGCGAATGCCTACCTTATCGAAGCTTTCCCCGACTATGTCGCTTCGGCGCTTGCAGCCAAGACTGTCGTTCGATCAGCTGCCGGTGCTGCCATGCCCCTTTTCATCAGTATGTTTCTTTCTTGCATGTCTTTGTATCAAAGCTGACTCACCCATAGCGCAAATGTTCCACGGACTCGGTAACGGCGGCGCCGCCTCCCTTCTCGCTGGTGTTGCCATCATCATGGCTCTTATCCCCTTCGGCTTTGCCAAGTGGGGTAAGCAAATCCGAGCCAAGTCAAAGAGGGCTGCTATCTGAGCTGCGCTCTCTGTTTGCTTGGAGTTTTGTGTGTATTGGGTGTGCATGGACTTTTAGACGTAGCCGTTCGACATATCTCGTTCTTCGAGATCATTTCATAGACAATTTAGATACTCTAGTACTCCCTTCTTTCCTTTCCGCATAACTAGTCAGCTGACTTGTAATTCTATAATTCACAACTACCATTACATATGTAGTTTTGGGGAGCATTTTTAGCTGTTCGAACTTCTTGTTTACGATCGCCATGCAAGCTTGTCTGTCATGCCGTTATGTGTGTGCAAGAGTCATCATCATACACAAGCCATGATTGTGGGTGCTAGCGTAGTTGGATGAGAAGAGGCTGCATATCTCACGTGCCATATAGTGCCTTTGCTCTGCCGGTTGCTAACATGATAAGATGCCGTCAACAGATACGAGAGAGTCATTCAATGTAGGCTTGTCGGCGGCGTCCACGTGCGGCGCCTGGTGCCGCCTTCACAGGCCTCACTTTTACCAATATTTTCTTGACATTGTGGGAGAATACGCATCATAATCATATCAACTGATCCGAGAGAAGGCAAGCTTTGAGCCGAGTCTGAAACAAACACTACTATTGTTGTACAGTCGTCATCGTCGTCCCTCCCTGTGAACAGAGTACGAGTGGGAGAAGGGGTATCGGGGCCGTAGGGGATGCATCCGTCAAGGTATATCAGAGAAGAAATCTACTCTGAGTCCCCTAAAGGACCAAGAGAAAAGAAAGGTCCATTATAAGATGATTGGCACCTCATTGGGTCTGGTTTGCCCAGCCCATGACCCCATACCCCTCCTGCGCTCCCACCTCAGCCACAGCCTTCCACGCCTCCTCAAGCATGTTCTGCACCCACCAATCCCAATGCTCGTCCTCCGTTGTCTCCAAGTACAAAATCCAACGCACGGCCAAGTTCGGCCACACTGCTACCCCTAAAAAGCAATACCTAGCATTGAGCACCATCTCAGCCACAGACCGGTGCTCGGGACAGGCGAATTCGGTTACTTCGCTCAACAACGATCTGCGGCCGATCGTGATGGTGACCAGGCCGGCAGGGGAGATGGACGTATGAGAAAATGGTAGGTAGAGTAGGGCACGCCGAGCCAGAACACAGGAATTTGGACGAGGGCAGGGGGGTTGGTGGGGATGGCAAGGTGCATGAATCCTTTCAAACAGGTTAGCGCGCATCTAGAGTGAGAGGGGGTGCATTTTGACGGCGATGGACCACATGAGAAGGGCGAACAAGAGCACTGTAGCCGTGCAGACGGTGACAACATGGCGGAAAGGGAGATAGCCAATGATGCTAGTTCTCACGGCAGGCTCGGAGGTGAATATGATCGGCAGGGCTGAGAAAAGGATGGGTACGATGGCGCATAAGAAAGCAGTGACGCGGATCTTGTCGATAGCTTGGAGGTGCTCGAGTTGAGTGAGCGAGAATTCTCGTACGCTTTGTGAGCTTGGGTGATTTCGTTGGGGTATCTTATCATAGAGAGCTCTGCAACGTGATGAGCATCAGCATGACCGCGCAAGTCTCACCGACCAGAGTCTCACCAGCTAAAAGGGTCGCTCGGATGCCCGGCATGATGCTAGAAGGGTGGAGAGTTGTTAAGGGGGCTTGATCGGCAAGTTCCCCGCCTCCAGCCCAACCTCACATCCTCGGTCCCAGCCACACTGGCTCCGTCCTCACCGCGAAGCGCATAACCCGGTATCCCTACCGAGCTCCCACAATTGTCGCTGCCGTTCAATCTGCCTCCAGCATGTATCGCCCCCACCACCACCAGTACTCTTCCTCCGCCTTCTCCCAGGACATACCCACCCAAGGCCACACCGCCAGATCTCCGAGCAGCCACAAGTCAGCGCTCATAGCTCCCACAACTTCGATTCGCCAATGGAAGGAAAAGAGACCAGGGAGTTCGCGTCGCTCGAAAGCTACAAGATGGCGATGATGAAGAGGATGCGGCTTCCTGAAGTGGAGAAGAGGGCGGTGAGAAGCCGCTGGGTCGTGAGTGGACCGCCCATCCAAAAGACTGGGATCAAAGAGATGAGAGGGAGGTGGGAGGGAACAGTGAGGTGCATCGATCCTGTACAACAGATCAGTCGTTTTCTGGAGGGGAAGCCATAATAAGGACATGTACTCACCGTTGATGAAGGAGCGCCTTGCCTTGAGCACCTTGACGAGCTCCAGACGGGCAGATCCTGGCGGGTGGGTGCGTCAGCCGCCCAAGCCTGGCGGCTCGACAAAAAGGGAAAGTTCCTTAAAAGGACGATATGTGGTCTAGAGGATACGGTACGAGGACATGATACCCGTGGCCAGGTTCATACGCTCTTTTTTACCATCCACGTCACAAGATCAGTGGCTTGTCAGTGGCTGCGGCTATCTCGCTGGAAGGACGGATAGCCGACCGTCCACAACTTCTTATTGAGCCTCTCTGTCCCAATCTACTCATGAGTCCAGCCTGCACCTCCTCAAGACGGGTGCGTGCATGCACTCGCTGTCGCCAGAGGGTTTCAAGCTTTCGCTACCCTCGGCCAGCCGAAGAGAGGGCACAAACACGCGTACGTAAGCTGTAAATGGGAGTGTCAAATAAAACCCGCCCATCTTTTCTGCTTTTTCGGGATTCGCGAATCCACAGCCTTGGTGTAGTCTAGTAACAGCAAGACGCCGCCTCACACGCTCTCCTCGGTCCACTCATATCCCCCCAATAATCCACCAGTATGCCCCCCTCTAACTTCAGATACAAGGTCCGAGCTTCCAAGGGTCCGTCTCCTCCCACTTGCCCCTCTACCCTCATCTACTTCGCCGCAGCTGACACTACGATATCCCTATAGGTGCTCTCCAAGTACCATGTGCTCCTGAACTTGCCAATATGCTCCAATGTTTCGCCACTACCGGAGATTTGAGACATACGCAATCGTGCGCGGATAGCGCAAAGATGTTGCATGCTTGTATGGCTACAGGGAAGGGGAAGGGTGGCAAGCAGGGAAGCTCTGTGAGTTGTGTTTTGTGCTTGGAGCAGGAAGGGAAGGAGGGGAGACTGGGATTAGGAGACTCTGTGGGAGCTGGAGCGCAAGTTTGGGCGCATGGGCGAGTCAGAATGGGAAGCTGATATTCGTTGCAGATCAACCACCTTTTGGGCAAGATCCGAAGATAGTGAGAGTCTTAGAAGGGGAGCAGAGAAGACTTGTGTACCGACATATTGTATACCCATGCACGGCATATCGACTTGTCGGGCTGGTGACAGCGTTGAGCCTCTGGCGAGCAACAATTTGATGCGGAAGCACTCACGTATCAGGTCTGTATAGCGCTTTCAAATCTACTGATGCTGCGAGCTGTATAGCATCTGTACCAATAATTCACCTGTAACGAGAAAGCACAAGGTCGATACCCACTTATCTCCTGTCCTACCCTCCCATCGATACCAACCCTGTCGCCGCCGCGCAAGCTGTCTTGACGAGCACGCAAACGTCCTTGGGTCGTATTTGACTCGTGCCTCACCTCCTTCGCCATATCCAGGTGTGATCAATCGTACCGTGGGGGTCTAACCATCATGCCAGGCGTTCGCATCAAGATGGAGAAAGGCGTTGCTGTCGTCAGCCGTCGTCGGTGGTGGAGGTGATTGCTTCCGCTCCGGCTGTCCACTTCGCACCACGATCGTTCGCATCCCCTCGTGATCCTCTTCTTGTCCTTTCTTTTTTCTTGTCTGATCCCTATCTAATCATGGAGGCGCGCACCTCGTCTGTGCCGCCTCAGGATGCCGCAAGAAGCGTCGCCTCTTCTCAAGGGGACAAGCGAGTCGACAATGACCGTGAAGGCAGTAGTGATGAGTCCCAAGGCGTACACTGTAGGTCCCATCTGATTCCACACTCGCAGACAGCTGATACCGTCTCATATTGGCTGAAAAGACAGTCGAGACCCCTCATGGCCAAAGCCGCCCCCAACAACAACTCATCCGAGACTGGGTCGACGTCCAAAGGCAACGCTACCGTCGATTTAAACAGAGCCCCTTCCAAAATTACTGTGTCCCCAGACTCCGCTTTAGATCGATCATCCCCATTGCCCTTGTCATCCTATACAACCTCGTCAGCCTCGGGCGATACCCCCTCTGCCCACGTTGTTCAATTCACAGAATCTGGTGGGACCTATCCTCGTCTGATTTTGTGTCTTCTTTCTGGCCGATCGGTTTTCGATCTTGTGGGGGTTTTGTGGTCTTGGAACAGATGAAAATCACGGAGGATATGAGGGTGAGGATGAAGACTCTCTTGAATCTTGTCTTGCGGGATGAAAATACGTGGGGAAGGACTTTGAAGGCACGAGCTGGTATGTCGGACGATCAATTGGAACGCAGCATCGCCTTCTACATCTTCGAATACCTTGCCGACTATCCCTGGCAGAAGACATCCTCGAACCCGGCATCCTTCATTTCACATTTGAGATCGTGGTGGCTGTGACCGGTGGTTACCTCGGCGCGCGAAGAACCTTGAGCCAGGCTGGGCGTGCGATTCTCAGTTGGTCAGCGAACAGGGGTCTGGAAGAGCAGTGGGAGAGGTGGAAGGTAGATATGTCTTTTTGGGTCTGGATGGCGGCAGCGGATACTGGTGGACTTCCCTATGAGATAGTTGCGAAATGGCTGGACGAGGACCCGGTTGCGAAAGAGTACGTGAAATCAAAGTTATCAGAAGGGCATTCTGGGAAGCTCACCACCTTTTAGCAATACGACAACCTGCTGGATGTTGTGGAACATATCCAGGAAGCTTAGACAAGATCATTACATCCGAGACATATTATATCGCGATACATGTATTTTATATGACATCAATGTCCATGCCTGCAAGCTGAGACTCGTGATAGGATGAGGCATGACAATCGGCCCTGACACATGTTTATAGCCAATAGTCCTTGTATGTGCATTCTGTATACCATCCATAGACCTGCAGCCCGCACAATAATGCATCTCACAACCATGTTGAATCAGTGTTGAATCATTGATGGACGCGCCACATTACGGAGATACGGCAATCGCCGAAATCTCACGCGCCGTCATTTCTGGTCCTTTGCAGGAGCTCTATTGTATGAAGCCGACTTGGATTCCCATCGATTAGTTTCCATTCATCAGCTACTTCGACCTCGTATATAGACAGCCCGACACAACAACACATACGCCATACTCGCCCACGACATATCCCAGCACAAACCTCCACATTTGGGCTATCAGTCGCAAGTCTCAAGTCTGTCTATCAGCCTCTCAGCTCTCGACATGGCGGCTCAGTACAAGGCTTTGGGCGTGACTCCGCCTATCAGCACGGAAGCTCCCAAGCCCACAGACCTTAAATCTAGTGAAAGTACGTACCGCCAGACGTAATACAGAGACACGGCTGACCTCCATCAACAGCGCTTTTGGCCGACCTTGTCGCGTTGAATCAATTCGAATCTGACCAGGAGAGAAAGGTTCGAGAACGGTTACTATCCAACATTGCCCAACTCGTCGCCAAGTTCGTCCACGATGTCTCCATCAAGCTCGGCATGTCGGAGAAGATTGCGACCGAGGCGGGTGGAAGGATCTATACCTCTGGTTCTTATCGGTACGTTTCATCGCCATGCTTTAGTGGGTGTATATACAAATACAGGAGGACTAATCATGGATATGTATGTATTGTGCAGTCTGGGAGTGCACGGTCCGGGATCTGATATTGATACCATCTGCGTCTGTCCTCGGCATATCTATCGAGAGCATTTCTTTGGCGAGTTTCAGGATATGCTGCGAGCCTGGCCTGCTGTGACGGAGATCTCTGTGCGTACTTTGTGGTTTGCCAAGTGATATACTGACAAGAGATGTAGGCAGTGGAATCAGCCTTCGTCCCAGTCATGAAGACGGTGATCTCCGGAGTGGAAGTCGATCTGTTGTTTGCGAGAGTCAATCTTCCGGAAGCTGGCGATGGGCTGGATATCGAAAAGGACGAGATTCTGAGGGGCGTGGATGATGCTTCGCAGAGAAGTTTGAACGGTCCCCGAGTCACAGACATGATGTTGAACCTCGTTCCGGATGTAGCTACTTTCCGCACGGCTCTGAGAACGATTAGATTGTGGGCAAAGCGTGAGAAACTTTCCCATCAATGTGGAGATGTGCTGATCCTTTGCAGGTCGTGGGATCTACTCTAACGTTTTGGGTTTCCCGGGTGGTGTAGCTTGGGCGCTTCTGACAGTGCGGATATGTCAGCTCTACCCGACAGCTGCGCCAGCCACCATCGTCGGCAAATTCTTCCCCATCTATTATCAATGGTACGTCTAGCGACGCGGAAGGGTAGACAGTTGCCAACGATGATACCAGGAATTGGCCCCAGCCTGTACTGTTGAAGAAGATTGACAATGGACCGCCCAACATGCAACATTCAGTCTGGAATCCCAAGGTTCGTGCCTTTTAATGTTGCTGTTCATCAAGCTGACCGCGCTGTAGCTTGACCGAAGAGACCAAGCCCATCGTATGCCCGTCATCACACCCGCTTACCCCTCCATGTGCTCGACACACAACATCACCGCCTCGACAATGTCCATCATTAGGAAGGAAATGCTTCGAGGTGAGCTAGTTCTGGTCTCTTGAGGGTGAGAGCTGACGCGCTTGTAGCTATGCAAATAACGGATGAGATCTTGAAGAACCCTGGGACGACTTGGCAGCCGCTTTTCGAGAAATCCGACTTTTTCAGCATGTACAAGACTTATGTTCAGGTTGTTGCCTCAGCCTCGACTTCGGAAGGGATCAAAGACTGGTGAGTCCATTTCTTTTTGCAGTGATGTTCAGAGTTGACGTCTAGAAGGAGCGGTATGGTAGAATCAAGAATACGAACCCTGGTCCAAGATCTCGAGCAAACCGACACTATTCTTACTGCCCATCCCCAAGTCGGAGGCACGAACAGGATCTTCTACTGTCTCACTGAGGAAGAACAAGCAGCGGCGAGCCAGGGAGAGTTGACGACAGAGATGATCAACAGGACGGAAGAGGATGTGAAGGACAAGGAGCACAGAAAGATATATACGAAGAGTTTCTTCATTGGGTTGGAGATTGAGAAAAAGTCGAGTGAGTACATCTGTTTACTCTTGAAGGGTGATCGCTGACAGACTTGCAGAAGACGGCACTTCAAGGGTCTTGAACCTGTTCTACCCTAGCAAAAAGTTCTGTGCGACCTGTCAGAATTGGGAAAAGTACAACGAGATGGAGATGAGCGTCATCTTGAGGCCAGCGAAAAGGTAGGTTCACCGCTGGCGTGGTGTCGAAAATGCTGACAGTCTACAGGTCGGTCTTGCCGTCGTATGTATTTCCCGACGGTATGCCAAAGTCCAAGAAGAGCAAACGGGCACAGCAAAATGTACTTCGAAGGATACTCCCATGAGCCAGAAGCTGATCTCTTTCCAGAGCGCCGGTGATACCGGTATGAACGACGGATCCGATGGCCAAGGCCCCGCCAAGCGCACTAGGTTAGAAGGCGGGCGTAAGTATAGGACAGTGGCTGATCTCATCTTAGGTCCGAAAATGTCATCCCCGAGAATCAAACCCCTCAACCTCTGCCCAACGGCGTACCCCAGTCCAACGGTGCCGACCCCGTCCCCTCCCAGAACGGCGCTGGTCCTGTCGATCTCAAGCCTCCTCCTGGTATCGAAAACATGCCGCCTTTGTCGACTGCCGCCATGTCCTCGTTTGCGACTGCCGCCAAGGGTGTTGCCGGTGCGCAGGATGAGAACAAGGATGGGCTGATTGTTTTGAATCAAACAGCTGCGCCATAGCGACGAGATCACCTCTTTCTTCCTTCAATCGCTTTCCGGCCATTTCTCTCTCTCTTCCTGTACATCAATCGTTATACCTCCTTTTCATTAGGTCTCGAGTCTGGAAACGAAAAATAAGCAACAAAACGTGGGTCAGGGCGGGAGAAGAAAGAAGTCTGGAGAAGTCAATCTTCGCGCTGCACTCTGATATTCATCTCCTGGAAAGGGTTGTATCACTGTAAAGTAAAACGAATCATAAACATCAAGCTGAAAATATATAGCACCATGCATTACATTGTCTGCCATTATGGAGCGCTCGGTGTGTGGTGGGACGAACATTGAACGCACAGACCCGGTTGACGCGACCGACGCGACGCGCCGTACACCATCCTCATCCCCTTCTTCTTTTCTCTTATTCCTCAACTGTTGCCACTAGTAATGTACAAGGCCCGCAAACGCCAAGCGACCCCCGCCACATCGACCCGAGCGAGTACACCCGCCGAGTCTGTTGCTACCAAGAAGCAGAGGATGGCCTCGGGGGGCGGAAGACCGGTGGGGCGCAGTCAGCAACCGACGCCCACTGCAACGTCGAGGAGGGAGAATACGTTGGCGGACGATACTGGAAGCGTCAGTGGCAGGCAGGATGAAAGCGAGGCGGAGCGAGGGGACGTAATACTTGAGGGCGAGATGAAGGAGCAGAGGGTGTGTATCTCGATATCAAGTATGGAAGTGCCGCTGATGTTACGTAGATACTCTCGCTACATGGGCCTCACGGTGGGAATCTAGCTGCTGCTTGGTACGACCCGGAAGAGAGAAAGATACAGATATTGGAGGATACTAAAGACACCATGAGTTGGGATTTGGCAGTGCTCTGTGAGTGGCATAGAGCCCGTGATGTCAACGCTGACTCGGATCGTAGTGTTGGAGCAGATCCGACCCACCCTTGTGATCATGAGTAGCAAGAGCCATACTAGTCTCATTGAGAGGGTTGATCTATACCGTAAGCGTTTCTGTTGACAGTCGAATAGTGAGCTGATAAGTGCCGTAGGTGAAGAGAATGAAGCTGAGCTGCTACTCCTCCCATCCCGCTCCTGTTACCCCAAATCCGCCTCAATCTCCCTCACATCCATCCGCCTGCCCGATCCATCCCGATCCGCCATCGCTGCCCCCGATACTACAGATCAAACAGAATACGACGGAGAAGGCTTCAGCGCGAGAGGAGAGTGGAAGGAAGCTGGGGCTGGAATGGGAGCGTACAGGCTGAATTTGGTCAAGCTCGGATGTTGGGTAAACGTCAATGCGCCCTTGGCTGTAAGAGTCTTTATTTTTCTAGAGAGCTGAAGCTGATACTGCACGAAGATTGTTGCGGCTGGAGTCCTCGTAGAGCAAGTCAAAAAGTGTCGGGCGATGGAGATCATGCCAGGGGAGGAATACTTTTCTGGTCTGGAGTTGACCGCGTTAGAGAGTATGGATCTGTGAGTGGTGATATGGATGTCTGGGTACAAGCTGATCTTCAGCAGTGAGATGCATATGCAGATCAACAAGGACGCGTTGACGTGAGTCCACGCACTCTGCGATACGTCGACTAACCAATGTGCAGATCTCTGGCCATCTTTGACGTCGAGTCTCACGGTTTCATGTACTCTGATAAGGAGAAGCAAGCGCTGTCAATGTTCGGTATGTCCACTCCCAATTACCAGCTCATATCGCTTACCGGCTGTATAGGCAAGCTCGACTCGACTGTCACACCCCTCGGCCGCAAACTACTCCACACCTGGCACCTCCGCCCCTTACTCAACCTCGACGAAATCGCTCATCGCCACGACGCTGTAGCCCTCTTCTCGGCGACAGAGAACGAGTATGTGGTATCGAGCCTGAGGAAGGTTATGAAAGGGGTGAGGAACGTACCGGCTAGAGTGACCAGGTTGCAGTCTGGGAGAGGGAGTTATGTGGAGTGGAAGTGTCTTGTGGATGTGAGTGTTGCGGTTATTGGAGCGGCGGGTGCTGATGGGAATAGGCTTTGACGGCGGCATTGGAGATACGGGGAATCGTTTGTGAATTGTCAACTTCAAGCTCGATTCCTATCGTCAACAAGGTCCGTTTCGCTTATTCCACACTCACAGAGGAATATCGCTGAGAATGGTAGGTTCGGCATGTCATCACAGACGACTTGGTCGTATTCTGCCAAGACATGAATACCGTCGTACGCTGCCCATCCCCTGTCTCAAATCATGCTGAATTTCATCCACAGATTGATTGGGATACATCAAGACTAGAAGGTCGAGTAGCTGTACGGCCCGGTATCGACGAAGAGCTCGACGAGTGGAGAGAAGTGTATGCCGGTCTTGAAGCTACCCTCGTAAGCACCCATCCCTTTTCCCTTTATCGCTCGTGGACAAGCTGACCTTTCAAAGAACCAAGTAGCACGAATGATCTCCCCGCAAGTGCCACCCGGTATCTCCCACAGTATCAACGTAGTCTACCTTCCCCAACTTGGGTATTTGGCGGTGATACAAGCAGAGACGGAGGAGACGCCCGAGATACCCAGATGGGAGAATAGGGTACGTTCTTCGGAAAGGAGGGTGGTGTAAGCTGATGGGGGCAGTTTCATACGGAGGATAGGTTTTATTACAAGACGAGAGAGATGGAGGATTTGGATGATCATTTTGGGGATTTGGTTACGCTCATGATTGGTACGTTTCACCCCCTCTCCACACTTCATTTGTCCAGCCCTGGGAGCTAATAGAGGGTAGGTAAAGAGATAGAGATCGTCCAGCGTTTGACGGAATATCTCAAAGGGTATGAACCGTCCATTCTGAGTACTGTCGAAGTCATCGCCGAGCTTGATTGGTATGATTCATCTCTCCACACTTGACGTTTTATCAAGCTGACGAGAGCAGCATCCTAGCACTATCCAAAGCAGCTCGAGACTACGGACTCAAACGGCCGACCATGTCGAATGATCCTGTACTCAAAATCAGGAAAGGCCGGCACATTTTGTATGAGAGCTTGGTACCGCATTATGTGGAGAATGATACGGTGATAGCAGGAGGAGGGAGGGATGATCTAGCTAGTATGGTGAGTGCTTTTCACAGCTGGGGTGCTGGTTGGGCAAGGGCTGATGGGGGATGTAGATGATTATTACGGGGGCTAATGGATCTGGCAAATCGGCTTATGGCAAGCAGGTGAGGTTTTGCACCCTCATTGACCTGGGAGATGAGAGAAAAGCTGGAGCTGATGCCGTGGATGTAGGTTGCGCTGATGGCATTTATGGCGCAGATTGGAAGCTTTGTACCAGCAGAAGAAGCTGTCATTGGTATATGCGACAAAAGTACGCCCTCCCCTCTCCCTTCCTGCCCCGCATCCTCTCCTCTTCGAAGCTAACACTCCAGCCAGTATTCACCCGCCTCCAAACGCGCGAATCGTCTTCTCGCCCAGCGTCTGCATTCATGATCGACCTCGGCCAAATCTCCCAAGCGCTCCGGGGCGTGACGGAACATTCATTGGTGGTGATTGACGAGTTTGGGAAGGGCACGATACCGAGTGATGGGGCGGGTTTGTTGGCGGGGACGATAGAGTTTCTTTTGGGGGGAGTATGCCCGAGGAGTGTCGTCATGACTCATTTTCAGTGAGTCTTTTTCCTCGGGGCCAGTCTGCGAAAGGAGCGATGGACAGAAGGCTGATGGGGGGGTAGTGAGTTGTTTGCGAATAAGATCATTAAGGAGGAAGCGTATCCTGTGAAGTTTTGTCATATGAAGACGATGGTGCTTGAGGGGACTGATCATTTGGAATACTTGTACAAGTGAGTATGCTCCTTGCCACGCAGGATGGATGGCAAGCTGATATTATTGGAGGCTGGTGCCGTCGATGAATTTGTCGTCTAATGCGGCAGAGTGTGCGTTGAGACATGGGATCCCACCAAACATTGTCGCTCGCGCGAAAACAGTCACGTACGTATCTTATCTTTACAAAATCTTCCGGCTGCATGCTAATGAAGGAGTAGCGACCACATATCCCGATTCGATATCTCCTCACTCCTCGACGCGACCCTCACCCCTCAAAACCTACTCGAAGTCACAGCTTCCGAAGAGCTCGCCAAGAAGTTTCTAGTGTGGAAGATCGATCCGGAGGAAGGAGGGGAGGAGGGAGTGATGGATGTGTTGAAGGGGATGATTGAAGAGACTGAGAGGGTTATGGAGAGGACAGAGACCGGGGCGCGGACGGGGGCTGAGGTGGGGAGTGAGATTGGATTTGGGGATGAGACAGAGGAGGAGGGTGATAGTGAGGATCAGACGATCTAGGATTGAAGGCCAAGACTGCAGCGTATGCACCACACTATTCCATCCTCTTCCACGGAGATCCAGAAGGCAGAGGTGTTTGGGGCTGAACCAAACAGGCCGGATACCCTCGGGCCTCGGGCTTCCCGCACCAAGGGCCACTGAACCTGTCTCATCTCTCAGCGCCACAGTGCAACATTAACGTTCATCTCATTACATGCTCGGCCCTCGAACCCAACAGAATGTCGTCATCCCCCGCACCAAACGTACCAAACGTGTAAGCGGCGCTCCCCGCCATCCCTGAGCGTGAGATTGCCGGTGATTGCCGGGCGATGATTGATTCCAGCGACGTCATCAGGCAGATCTCCACTGAAATCTGGATGGATGGTCTCACCGCACACCTCTCAAGTCGTCATCGTCGCGGTGGAGGGGGTACGTAATGCCGGTACCTGGCGAGGGCGAGAGGGGTATATAACAGGGGGAGGGAGGCCATTTCTATCTTTCTCCCCATCCACTGCAACTCTCACTCCTCTCACTCCCACACCACCACCACACAAACACACTTATACACAATGTCTGACGCCGTATGTCCACTCCCCCTTTCGATAAAGGTCACTGAGCTGACATTGTTTGTTTAGGGCCGCCAATCTCTTACCGACAAGGCTACCTCTGCCGTCAAGCCCGACTCTGAAAAGTCTTACGTTGAGCAGGCTTCCGACTTTGTCTCTGGCAAGCTTGATGCGTGAGTCTCTTCTCCACCCTCACCCTTGTCCCTCACCGAACCATCCATCCATCCACCCATTGCCACCCACTATCCTCATGAACACATGCTGACCCCACTATAGCGCCGCTTCTGCCGTCCAGCCTCAGGAGGAGAAGACCACCACCCAGAAGGTCGGTGACGCCATCTCTGGCGACAACAAGAACCGAGACGTCGTCTAAGACTCTCGCTCTCTCTTTTAATTTCGATTGAGGGGTTTGTTGTACGAGAATAAGGAAGAATGCAGCATCCTATTGGGTTTTACTCTTGCGTGTCTTGTTTGTTGGTATGTGGGGAAGCAGGCGGCAGGTGTCGGTTGCATGTGTCGGAGGGAGGCTTATCTGACATGCTTTGGAGACGTTTGCAGTCCGACTTTTACCATTCCCAGGACACAGCTGGGTCACGACTCGCCACGCAACTCACGGGTCCTGGACCTTGGGCATTGGCCTGGACTTTCAGGTATATGCCGAGCGCTGCCGAGGCCTGGAAAGGTGCGTTGGGCGGCGGTGATAAGGTTATGGGGCTTGTGGTCTGTGGATGTCGGCATGTCGCAGTATGTCGGATGTGTTCCTTCACTCTTCGGCTCGGCTCTCTTTCCACTTCTTTCTCTGACATTCTCGAATCTAAACACAGAGCGTTCTCGTCTAAGCGCTAAAAGGCCGCTGGAAAGGCGAAGAACAGACTGACGAGATGCATCGATCCAACAAAAAGATCTTCCTGCTCGGTTTACCAAATGACACCCACACACAAACCCGAGAATTGGCTACTCAACAGCGCTATCTATCTCGTATAACAACCAAGCAAATTAAAAGCCAAGAACACGAGACAACAACCCAGCAAGCAGCGCAAAAGAAAGAGCAGATAAACCTCAACTAATACTTCTTATCAAAGCTCCCAGTCGGCGACCCAGGAGTCTTTACCCCATCCCTCTCACCCTGCGCCAATCTCGGGACACCGTCTCGCTCACTACCCGATTCGGAGAGTACGCCAGAGCCTTCAACCCCGCGCGGGGCCCACAGTGGGTACTATTGCCCCCTCTTCTTCTTCTCAGGTGCGCCCAACATGATTCGATGTCTTCCTACATTAGCAGAACGTGCTTGCCGAAGGACGCCTCCCATATCTGCTATCCCATCGCATCGTATCCCTGCTAGAGGTCCGCAGACAGTTTCTGCGGCCGTGTAGCAGACTATTCTGCAGGGAGGGAGCAGACTTTTCTGAAAATTGATTCTGGTTTCGCCTCCGCCCCAGCTCCACACTTTTGTAGATCCAGGTTGATTTCTCCTTGCATTATACTCTACTACTGAAGACGCAGACTACTCGTACCCTGTTCTTCTATACACAGTAGCCCACCACCTCCCAATCATCATCGCCGTGGCCCCTCCTCCCCACAAGCTACCGAGCCAAACTCGCTGATCCCCTTGACTTTCTCTCACCCAGCACACCTCCCTATCGTCCTATCTTCCCAGCTGACCACCTCAATACTTCTGATCCAGACTGCCCGTCAACGACCCAGGCGTCGTTGCGCCCTCTTCTTCTTCCTTCCCGTTCAACCTAGGTACCCCATCTCTGTCACTGCTTCCCGACTCGCTCAACGCGCCGAAGCCTTCGAGGTGGTCTTTGCCTTCGAGAGCAGGAGGGTTCTCGGCGCTCTCGGCTCTTCGTCGGTCGCGCCGAAGGAGAACCAGGATGGCCGTGATCCAAAAGACTGTGATCCCATCAGCTTTCCACCCTTCCAACAAGATACAAAGAAAAGACAGGGACGTACTCAAGGCGACATTCAAACTGACCGAATACGTCCACCCCTTTCTCGCTTGCGGGAAATCGACCGTCTTCCAAACGAAATTCGGAACGATAGCTTGTACGACATAGGCAAAGTCGTTCGCTGCCCCTACGAGCAAAGCACGCTTCTCTGTGTCGTCGGAACAGATTTCGTTGATGAATGTAAGGATCAAAGGACCGGCGCCTTGGCCGATGTTGGAGAACCAGTAGAAGAAGAGTGTACCGGTGACGTTGGCGTAGAGGTCGATTTTGATACCGATCACGCCGATTATGATCTACTTCGAAGTCAGCCTCCTGTAACTCTTTCATTTGATCGTTTGCTAGTGGAAGATTGTGACTTACAGATATGATAGCACCGATGTAAACGAATATCCACCGATTCCCTCTCAAAAAGCCATCACTGACCCACGCCCAACTAGCAGCCACCACCACAAATATGGCCGTCTGTGGCAAGGGCAGCTGGTTGATATCGCTCGTGCTATACCTCTTATCGCCGCCGGGGTATGGAGCAGAGTTGAAGGATTTGAGATAGTACCCGACGGGGGCCTGGGGCCATTGGTTGTTCCAGATGATGTAGAGGACGGCTATGGGAGTGTCAGTGTTCTCAGATGGAGATGAGAAAGGGAAAGGGACGTACGCAAAAAGTAAGTGTGCCAAGAAAGAAGAAGTCTCTTGACTTTCTCCAAGGACCAAGGGCTCTTGCCCGCCCGCCCAATTTTGGTCAACCTCCTCTGCGCTAACGCGAATTCCTATTTTGCCTTTCATCAGCTTCCATCAAAGAGACTGAAGTGGCATTTTTGGGGAGAGATACGTACCTCGTCGGATAACCACCATGTCTTCTTACCCTGTAGAGGCTGAGGAGGGAAGAAGATGAAGCCGGCGATGGCGAGAGGAAGGGTGATAATTGCGTCGATGATGAACAGCCCTACTACCAGTTAGCCTATCTCTTCTTCACAGTCCAAAAGTAATAAGAAGATGACTCACATCGCCAACCCTCAATCCCATGCACCCCATCCAGGTTCCTACTGGCAGCAGCTTGCAAAAGACCGGAAAACATTTGCCCGAGGGAACCGGCGAGCCAAAATATCATGGCGCGTTTACCAATTTCGGCAGGGGTGTACCAAGAGCCGAGGAGATAGTGCATGCCGGGGTAGAAACCAGATCTATACAAGCGTTAGTGGAGCTGAGTGTGGAAGCAGAAAGGACACGTACTCGAAAACGCCGACGAGGAATCGAAGGGCGTAGAGAGACTTGTAAGACTTGACAGCATAAGACCCGAGCGTGGCGATACCCCAACCCAGTTCGAGCTGCGTATCTATCAGCTTGTATTCCTTCGTCAAAGTAACCCAACTCACTGCAGGAAGAACCCATCTCGGCTCGACTCTCGTCAACAGCAGGTTGGAAGGCAGCTGGCCGATGACATACCCGACGGTCCAGATTGATGTTGAGGTAACGAGCTGGTTGCCGTACATGCCGAGGTCTTCTTTCATCCCCGTCAAGAAGGCGTTGGAGACATTGGTTTGGTCGAGGTTTTTGAGAAAGTAGCCAATTGAGGCGAAGGTGAGGATGATAGCATCGACCTGACCTCATCAGCTTGGATCACACTATGAAAGAGACGACTCACCTTGAACAACAACTTTCGCTCCAGAGGCGGCCTATCAAAAGTGTCCCATATTTTGCCTTTCCAAGTACTTTTCGGGGGCTCTTCAACGGCCAGGATCGACTCGACATCGACGCGGACTTTGCGCACTGGTTCCTCGACAAACGGGACTGGGTTGGACATTGTTGCTGGGATTGCAGGGGAGCTGACTCGGCCAATCAGACTTTTTATACATACCGGACGAGGTGGCTGAGAAAAGCACGGCCGATGTCGCATCTACGTTATGATTATGCCATCGTCTACAGCCGTTTCTGTATTAAGCAGCATAAGAAACGCCTTGGGTGGTGTCGTGACTGACAAGCACGCAAGATGTATTCAGGCAGGCACCGCGCTAGAGCCGGAAAGTTGATAAGATAAACGCGGCAGCCGGGTCGGTCGATGCTGGGTGCTTTTTTTGTGATGGTGTGCTGCTGCCGAGATATCGGCCATCTCCGCGCCTCACGCCATCTCGTTTTTCCCATCGCCCTCCGCTCGTCATCCGCTGACCAATGCGGCCTAGGAGATGTCCAGAGAATGCATGGCTTATAACCCGGCGCATCTTATACTTTTTTTCACAAGCAAATACCACCATGGCACCCATTGCAGTCGACGCCCCCGCCCAGCCCGCCACCGCCGGCAAGCCCGTCACCGACGACGACATCACCGCCCTCAAGGCTCGTCTCCAGTCTACCGACCTATCCAAAGAAAAGGCCGATCTCGTCTTGCCTCCCGACAATACTCTCAAGCGATACCTTAAAGCCGGCATCGACCTCTCCAACGGCTACCCTTACTTCCCTCCCAAGCCGGACTTTGTGCAGGACGTCTTTGAGGCGGACAGCAAGCTTGAGAAGGAGGGATGGGTGTATGAGGACCCGGGATTAAGGGCGGATAAGGAGAAGAAGGCGTTGTTTGGCGCCGCAAAGGAAGTGAGGGATCTGACAAAGTGGATTGGTGTAAATCCTACCTTGAACCGTGCGGTAGCAAAGCTGACAAAATTCAGACCGAGATTGTGGGACTGCAGCTCAAGGATTTGACCGACCAGCAGAAAGATGAGCTCGCCCTCCTCGTTGCTGAGCGAAACGTCGTCTGTAAGTGCCCTTCTCTCTCATTCTAATCGCATGCCCACTAACACAACCACAGTCTTCCGCGACCAAGACCTCGCCCCTCAGACTCAACAGTCCCTCGGTCTCCACTTTGGGGACGGCCAGATCGAGCGTCACCCCCAAGCAGCCCAAGTACCCGGTATTGGCGGCGGTGTTTCTCTCATCTGGGAAAAGGGCCGTAAAGACGGGCTTCATGCGGGTAAGAGCCACCGTGTACCGTACCCTGGAGGAGGCTTTGGATGGCATACCGATTTGGTCCACTTGCGTGAGTACTTTCTCCTCCTTTCTCTCCTTGTCTGTATACGTTGCGGAAAAGAGTGCTGATGAAAACTAGCTTTCCCTCCTGGATACACGCACTTGCACCAAGACACCATTCCCGCTGTCGGGGGCGATACGCTTTGGGCTTCGGGATACGCTGCCTACGATAAGCTCTCGCCGAAGTTCAAGACTCTTATCGATGGTCTCAAGTACGTTCCTCCTCCCTCTCATATCCTCGAGCGCGGGCTAACAGAAGGAATAGTGGCATCTACCGATCAGCACACAAGTACAAAGACTCAGCCAACCCCGACGCCGACAGCAAATATGTCACCCGCGTTCACCCCCTTGTCCGAACCCATCCTGTTACTGGGTGGAAAGCACTTTGGAGTGAGTCTTTCTCTCTTCCTCTCCTCTCCTCTCTTCCGAATTAGAAAGGAAGCTGACAAAGTGTGCAGTCAACAGAGGAATGACCCTCGCCATCGAAGGCCTCAACAAGCCCGAATCCGACATCCTGCTCAACTATCTCCATGGAGTGTTTGAGCGTAGCACCGATATTCAGGTCCGATGGAACTGGACTCCCGGGACGAGCGCTATCTGGGATAATGTACGTTTACTCTCTCATGATCTGTGGCTTGATGGCTAATGACTCGGGTTGCAGAGGTCGACTATCCACACGGTTTCGTACGACTATGACGGCGAACGACATGGTACCCGAGTCTCTTCCCTTGGCGAGAAACCTTTCTTTGACCCGGCTTCCAAGTCGAAGGCTGAGGCGCTTGGGCTGAGTGGGTGGGTTGATGGGAAGGACTGGGGAGGTTACTAGTTTGGTGAATGCGTTTGGTGAAACCAAAAGTAAGAAGAAGGTGCCATTTGGGTACCGGAGAAGAATGGGGACGAACGGAAAGAAATGTATGAATATCGTGGTCTGCTTCTTGGACTGGCTCTCATCCTATGCTACGTTACTTGCAATTATGGAGCTTGCGATCTCCTGCTTTATTGACAATTTCTCAGGTAAATGCTTCGAGTTGATGAGAAGACAAATCGCATTCTGGCACGTTTCTGAGTTGACCTTCGCGCCTTTAGCCTTCTCAAACCCTCCCTACACTGTACTCTATGTATGCTGGCCTCTTGCGCTCATGCCCCACCCGGGGTTTTAACTTATCATCCCACGTTCGAACCTCGGTGCCAGACCGACTGCTGAAGACATCTCGCGTGCTCTGTCCGTTGCGCTGTCATCATCCGCATCAACACACTAGCCCGCCGGCATATGAGAGATGGCATGATCCCTTTTTGTCGCATATATCCGATTATGCTCGGGCGGTAGTTTGTCTGCTTTTCAGCGAGTATATAGTCTAGTCTGTGGTCATCAACCTGCTCATACGGAAGAAGTAAGGTGGCGCGCGCTATGTCGAGTTTGGTACCGTTAGTAGACGAGCCGGTGGGTAAAGTGCATGTGCATGTCGAAAGTCGAGAGGTCATTGAAGGGCAGCGAAAAGGTAGCTGGAAAGGCAAGATATGGGATACCTTCGATCGACCGCCGTTGGAGAGGAAGCTGCTTCTCAAAGTGAGTACGCGTGTGCTACTTTGGAGTGAAGCTGATGAGGACACTGCAGGTCGATGGCATGATCCTCACTTTTGCTTGTGTGAGTCCTTCGATCCCCTACGCGTCGACTCGAGGGACGTGCAGTATGCTGACAGGAAGGGTAGATCGGATACTTTCTCAAGAACTTGGATCAAACCAACGTCACAAACGCCTACCTCACTGGCATGAAAGAAGACCTCGGCATCATGTACGGTAATGAGCTAGTCACTTCGACTTCGATCTGGACTGTCGGATATGTCATTGGGCAGCTGCCTTCGAATTTGCTGTTGACCAGGGTAGAGCCGAGATGGGTCATACCTTCTGTAAGTGGAATGCCATGAAGCAGAGAACAGGGCTGATAGACGTGAAGCTGGAGCTCGGCTGGGGAAGCGCTACGCTCGCATCTTATGGCGTCAAATCTTGCAAGTCACTCTACATCTTCCGTTTTTTTGTGGGTCTCTTCGAGTACGTCGTCTCCCCCTTCGTCTCCGGATCTCACTGAAAGAGTGGGTAGATCAGGCTTCTACCCCGGTATGCACTACCTCCTCGGATCGTGGTACACCCCAGCCGAAATCGGGAAGCGCGCTATGATCTTTCGGCTTGCTGGGTCGTTGGGGACGATATCGTCGGGGGTTTTGCAAGCTGCTGCGAGTAGGAACCTGGATGGAGTGCATGGGCTCGCAGGATGGAGGTGTTAGTATTCTGCTCGTTGGAAAGGCGAAGGCGAGGAAAGAGTGCTGATGCGACTTAGGGCTGTTCATCCTCGACGGTATCATCACACTGCCGTTGGCCGTAGCTGGATTCCTCTTCTTTCCTCCTCAACCTCTTCAAGGCAAAAGAACTTGGTGGTTGACTGATGATGTGAGTATCTTCTCTTCTTGATGACGAAGGCACAGAAGCTCATACCCTTGGTAGGAGTTCCGCCTGGCGCAGACACGATTGATCAACATTGGCCGGGCCGGCAAGAAACCTTGGACAAGAGCAAGAGTCGACAAGCTTTTCCATTCATGGCATACGTATCTCCTCCGTACGTCCCTTCTTTCTCTCTTTTTCTCAGGGCTGACGCACCACACAGCCGTGTTGTACATCCTTTGGAACAATGCATCCGCCCAGTCGCCTATCGGATACTTTCTCAAATCCTTTAACTCCCCACCTTATCCCGGCGGCGACAGGCGGTATTCGACGAGCGATATCAACCAACTACCGTTGCCGCAGACTGCGATCTTTGTAGTGATGGCGGCCAGCTGGGCCTGGATCAGCGACGGTTTTTTGAGAGGCAATCGATGGCTGTTTGTGTATATTGGCGCTACCATCGGGGTACGTCCACCCTCACACATCCCTGTTGGACTGAAGCTGACTGCAGTGGTAGATAATCGTTGGCATCATCGGTATTAGGATCGACCTTTACGCAAACGTTACCCACACGCTGATCTTCTACTGGTTCTCCTCCATCGGGCAAGGTGCCGGCCCTCTTATCCTCACGTTCATCAATGAGATCTGCTCGAACGATACGGAGAAGCGTGCACTGCTAGTGGCAGGGGCCAACGACTTGGCGTATGTCGTTCAGGCGATCGTGCCGAATTTCGTGTGGAAGACCGTAGATTTCCCAGAGGCAAGGAAAGGGTGGGCGTATTCGGTAGTGCTGAATGTTGCTCTCAGTATGTCGTTCGGTCAGCCCGATCTCTTTGGTACTGGAAGAAGGCTGACTCTGGACTAGTCTTTTGGATAACGCTCGTGCTCTACCTCCTCCGCCGTGATCGCCGAAAAGCCCTTTCCCACGCCGACTTTCAACATGGACTCACAACGACCGATCCTCGCGGAAAGTATGGCGCACTGTCAGACTCGGTCACTTTGAGGGAGAGTGCGCCGTGGTTGGATGCAGATGAGGAAGAAGAGGGGGAGGATACACCTAGATTGCTTGCGAGTCTCGATAAGAGATAAAAAGATGTTCTTTCACACTTTTACGGTGTTGCTTGTGAATGATCTTTGTTTTTGATTTGTTATATACCAATATTGTTTCACTACGATTGACGAGGGTGGTTGCTGTTGCTGGGCATTGGAAAGATCGACAGACTTATGGACCTTGACTTTTACGAAAGATAAATCTGTTATGAAATTATGCAATTACTTGATGCTCGGATGATTGTAGAACGATGAAGGAAAGGGTCCTTGATACTAGTCTCCTGGCATGATCTATATAAACTCTGGGGCTGACATCACCACCACAAGCCCCCAAACCCACTGACGCAAACACAAAACAGTGCTGGAAAGCATCTAGGGCTACATATTGTACTCTTTCAGTACAAGCGGCAAGTATCAATACCTCCTTTCTGATTTTTCCTCTAGGGAACCAGGCGTCTCAGTACCTCCTCCTCCATCCGAATTGACATACACCACTCCCTTCTCGCTGGAGGACTCGCTGGTCGTCCCGGATCCAGATCCTGCAAGCTGGTAAGAGCTTGGTTCGGGGGAGGCATCGGCTCTTCGTTGATCGCGACGGAGGAGGTAGAGAATTGCTGTCATCCAGAAAACTATCTCTTCATCAGCATCATGTCACGACAAGAAGAGAAAGCGACATACTGAGCGCAACATTCAAAGCCATCGAATATGTCCACCCCTTCCTCGCTTCCGGGAAATCCACAGTCTTCCACACAAAGTTTGGTACAATGGCTTGCACCACATACGCCAGATCATTCGCAGCCGCGACGAGAATTGCACGTTTCTCTGTATCGTTCGAGCAAATTTCATTGATCAGTGTGAGGATGAGGGGTCCGGCGCCTTGGCCGATCTGGGATAGGTAGTAGAAGGCGAATGTACCGTGGATGTTGGCGTAGAGGTCCAGTTTCATGCCTACGATGCAGACGATGATCTATCCGGGACATTAGCCGTGTATTGCAGAAGAGGATGGGAGGAGCGTACAGAGATGAAGGCACCGAGATATACGAATATCCACCTATTGCCTCTAAAGATACCATCACTCATCCACGCCCAACTCGCGGCTACGACTATAAAGATTGCAGTCTGCGGTAATGGCAACTGGTTGATATCGCTCGTCGAATACCGCCTGTCGCCGCCGGGATAAGGTGGGGAGTTGAAGGATTTGAGAAAGTATCCGATGGCAGTTTGGGGGCATTGGTTGTTCCAGAGGATGTACAGGATAGCTACGGTATGTGTCAGAGCTGACTGGGGGAAGGAGGGAGCTTGCTGAGGGAGACGGGGATCAGGACGTACGGAGAAAGTAGGTGTGCCATGATGTGAGGAGGCCCTTGACTTTGTCGCGAGTCCAGGGAGCTTTGCCTGCGCGACCAATCTTGGTAAGACGGTGTTGAGCGAGGGAAAATTCCTGATTTACTATCAGCTCCAAATACTGAGAGAAGCGATATTGACGTACTTCATCAGACAGCCACCACGTCTTCTTGCCCTGCAGAGGCTGCGTAGGGAAAAAGATGAAGCCAGCCACGGCGAGAGGTAGCGTAATGATCGCATCGATGATAAACAGCCCTATCGTCCGTCAGGCTCCTTCAAAACGTCAGACAAAGATAGAAAGAACCCACATCGCCAACCTTCAAGACCATTCACACCATGAAGATTTTTACTAGCAGCCGCCTGCAGCAATCCCGAAAACATCGTACCAAGGTGCCCGGCGAGCCAGAAGATGGTGGCGCGTTTACCGATTTCGGCGGGGGTGTACCAGGAGCCGAGGAGGTAGTGCATACCGGGGTAAAAGCCGGATCTGTTCTTATGTCAGCTGGTGGCTAAGGGAAGGAAGATGAAGAGGACGTACTCGAAGAGACCAACGAGGAATCGGAGTGCATAAAGGGATTTGTACGATTTGACACCAAAAGACCCCAGCGTAGCGAGTCCCCAACCAAGTTCCAACTACTCTCCATCAGCATCCCCCTCTCCCTTTGCCAATGGAGAAAGAACTTACAGCAGGAATAACCCATCTCGGCTCCACCCTCGTCAAAAGCAAATTGGAAGGCAACTGCCCAATCACATATCCTACCGTCCAGATGGAAGTGGATGTGACGAGCTGATTACCATACATATTGAGGTCTTCTTTCATGCCGGTGAGGTAGGCGTTTTGGACGTTGGTTTGGTCGAGGTTTTTGAGGAAATAGCCGATCTGATTGTCTCTTTGTCAGCTTCTTTGTTTCTTCGAAGGGGGCGGAGGGGGCGGGGGACATACGGAGGCGAAAGTGAGGATGATAGCGTCCACCTAAAACCATTCTCATCAGCTCGACTTCACATCAACAACAACAACAAAGATAGTTGCGCACCTTGAACAAAAGCTTCCTTTCCAAAGGCGGCCTATCAGACGTATCCCATATCTTGCCTTTCCAACTACTCTTTGGCGGCTCTTCGATGACTTCGCGCGATTCGATATCCACACGGGCACCGGTTTTGTCCCCTCCTAGGGGTTCTTCGGTGTATGGGGTTGGGTTTGACATGGTGGCTTGATGCCGAGTTCCGGTTCTGGGATGATAGAAAGGAAAGAAAGGAGGAATGAAGAATAAGAGTGCCAAGGTGGAAGATAATTAAAGAAAGAGGATGGCCCCTATGCCATTTCGGCTGGTCGGCTAATTCACCCTTTTGCAACTTTTTTCCTATCAATCATGCCATCTCTTCTGCTGTCTTTCTTCTACAAATTAATTTCAGCACACTGTGGCGGGTGGATGCGAAAGCAACTGAATGACGTGACGTTGACCAAGAAGAGGAATGAGCACGCAAGATGTTATCAGCGCCCCAGGCACCGGCGGTTACGCGATAAGATAAGCGCCGAACCAGCCGGTCCTGGGCTGTGCTGTGGAATGATTCGAGGGAACGTGTATTGGCTGGCATCTCCTTGTTGCGCTTTGAGGTACGTGCATGTGCAGTAAGTAGTGCATGTACAGTATCATAACGATTTATCCTCAATTCCGCCGTCTTCTTCCCAAACACACCGTCTCTATCTAGATAAACCCAAAAGGAAAGAACCATCTAACTCATCCTTCTTGATACTATTAATCCCTCCAAGACACAGAGCGATGCAGAAAGTAAGAAGGAGGGGGTTAAGCCGAAGCGACAACCCCAGCAGCAGCAGATCGCCTAGCAATCCCCTCACTAGCCCGCGCATTCGTTTCCTCCTTTGCCGTCTTGTACTCTCTCCCTTCCTTCCCTCCCGCCCCCGCCCCTCCCGCGGCTAGAAGAGCCTTCTCCTCCAACAACGCAGGCGGCACATACTCCTCCTCAGGCACCACCCCCGGCTGAGCTTTCAGCGCCGCAAGCTCTTCGAGCGTCATACCGTATTTTTTGGCGATGAGTTCCGGGATCTTGTCGGACTCGGCGATCCATTCGGGGGAATGGCCGGAGATGGGAGGGGCGTGGAAGAGAGGTGCTTCGGCGTTGAGCCATTCGACTGTTGATTGGACGTAGGCGCGTTCACCGTCTTTGTTCATGAGATGCGAGTACCGGCCCGAGCCTTTAGTCTTCAGCACTTCTTTATAAGCTTGCCACCTAGCGGACTCTGAGGGCAGTCGTGCAGTCCCAGCAAAAACCCGAGCGATTGAGATGGACTGATACTCGAAAAACGAAAATGCCGACGTATTGATAGACAGCCCGAGGAAAGTGAGAGAAGGGTCGGGAATGTAGAAGACGTCGCGGTAGAGGTTGAGCACGCCGTCTCCGTCGGTTATGATTGGTGTCACTTGGGACTGGGAGGCGGAAGGGGAAGGAGAGGTGAGGGTGTGGTCGTGGTGGTATGAGGGGAGGAAGGGGAAAGAGTATTGGAATCTGATGAAACGTCAGATCTTGCCGCGTTAGCCAAGGCAGAAGAAGACTTACCCGGTGGTAAAGATAATTCCATCAACACCCGTAATAATCCTCCCATCAGTCAATTCTATCTCCGCCTCTTCAATCCCCTTCCCAGCCGGCGGGGGCAGAAACCTTTTGATCTCGGGCACCTGCTCCGCATTAGGCAAGACAAACTGTCTCTGCATCTTGCGCTGCTCCCTATACGCTTTCGGGCCTCGAAGGACGTTGCGCCCGACGAGGTAGAGTTTGGAGGTGTGGGGGGAGAGGTCTCTGGAGATGTCGTTGCCGGATGTTCCGATGCCCACGATTAGAACCGTCTGTTTCTTTATCAGCTCTTGCCCTTGCCCATAATAGAGAGAGAGGGGGGACACACCTTGTCTTCGTAAGGGGCAGGGGTGCGGTAGCCTTGGGAATGGATAATCTTGTCAGGCCAGGTGGCGGACCATTCGTCGACACCGGGTATGGCGGGGATGTAGGGCGCGTTGTAGTGCCCTGTGGCTACCACAAGTCCATCGAATTCCTAATCTTCATTAGACCTTCCTTCTCTCTTCCTTGAAAGAAAAAGAACTTACCTCGGTCCAGTACTCTTCCCTCGCCTTGTCGTCACCTTCATCGACGACACGTCGAAGCGTCAAACGCCAGATATCCCCGACTTTCTCAGCGAGCTCGACACGGGTATTGTAGGAGGTGAGCTTGTCCAGGCCAAAGTGGAGGGTATAGTCGTGGACGTATGTCGAGATACGGGTGTGTGAGACGTTGGGCTCTGTACCGGGAGGGTAGGGAAAGTCTTTGAACTGTGGTCTTGTTAGCTTCATACCGAGAAGAGAAGGAGAGAACTTACAGCCATGGTGGTAGTGGGCACATTGTTTGACAAGTTCCAGTAGCAAGGGTTCGGTGGGCTGAACAAGGTCCTCTCCTTCTTGCCTGGATCGTCGTAAACGCCTCCTTCTCTTATGACGGGGGTGAAAGCGCCCCTGGAAGGCGGCGGCGTGGGCACAGAAAGCGGCAAGACACTATCCGTCTTCCAGTTCCATATCCCCCCCGGCTTGTCTTGTCTCTCAAAGACTCGAACTTGCAAGCCTGCTTCCTGTAGCTGGCGTGCGGCAGGGGTGCCAGATGGGCCGGAGCCGATGACTGCGACGGTGCGGATAGGGCGTGGGAAGGCGTAGTACTCTGCCATTGTCAGTGTATGCTGGGGGAGGGAAGGACGAATGGCTCACTATGTATTTCAAGCAGGGGAAGGGATAACGTTAGGGGCACGCCATGTACTGCAGTTGGGCGACGAGGACCATTGCAAATGCTGCCCGCCGGCCATGCCCGTCACCGGCGAGCCCCGCCGCTGGTGCCATAATTCTCCATCTCCCTTCTCGTCTCGCACATCTCCGAGCACCGTCTTATTAAGCCATGCATCTGGTTTCTATCTCTGCAGAGACGATGACGGTAATACAGCAGGACAAACTCAGGATCGCAGTCATAGGCGCAGGCCCCGGCGGGTTGGCAGCGACCATCAACCTCCTCCGACTACCTTTTGTCGAGCTCAGCGTATTCGACCAGGCTACAGAGCTGCGTGAAGTCGGCGCTGTTAGTCTCTCTATATCCTACTTGGGCTGAGCTGATAAGATGGCAGGGAATCAGCATCAACCAGAATACGTGGCGACACTTGCAGCTGCTCGGTGCGGCAGAGGCTATTGAGCAGTATACAAAGCGAGGCGATGGTACCAAGATTGCCCTGGAGCAGAGGTATGTCCCTTCTCCCACTCACTTGCTTATCAATCACTGATAGAGTAGATAGGAACGGCAGAACGGGAGAACTGCTCAAGAGGACATACCAATCTGTCGACCCCAACAAACCCGCCCGGTCCCGTATAGAACGCTACAAACTCCAACAAGCCCTCCTCCAACAGATTCCCCAAGGCCTTATCCAGCTCAACAAGAGACTGGATTCTATTGATGAATCGAACGAGGAAGGGGTGGTCTTGACGTTTAAGGATGAGAGTGTAGAGGGGCCGTTTGGGTTGGTGGTGGGTGCTGATGGGATCCGATCTGTACGTCCTTCTCCCCTCTCCCTGTATCCGGTATGAGTAAGGTTGATGAGATGACAGGCGGTAAGACAACACACATATCCCTCCCACCGCCTATCCTACACCGGCAAAACCGCCTTCCGAACCCTCATCCCCGCCTCCGCCGTCGCCCACATCCCCAACCTCCCCCCCGCATCCACCTTCTGGCACACTGCCAAGACGCATGTTTATACGAATTTTCTGGATGGGGGGTTGTTTGAGATTGCGACGAGGGCAGAGATTGCGGATGATCCTGAGAATGGGCGGGAAAAGGTTAGTTGGGGTCAGAAGGTTGGGAGGGAGGATGTTGTTGGGTATTACGTTGTACGTTTTCTTCTTCTTCTTCTCCCCCCTCCTCTTCTTTCTTTTCCTCTTCTTCCTCTTCTCCCCCTGAATTGGGTGAGAGCTAATATAATGGGTAGAACTACTGCGAGACGATCCGTCAAGTCATCGCCGCCCCTACCGAATGGCTCGAATTCGCCATGTTTGGCGGACCGAGGTTGGAGAGCGTCATTTCAAATGGAAGGATAGCTTTGTTGGGCGATGCTTCTCATCGTACGTCCCTCTCCCCTTTCTACTCCTTCACCTCCCTCTTCTCCCGTCCCCTCTTTTGTTCTGAAGAAGAAGAAGAAAAACAAGAAAAAGAAGAAAAGAAGACGAAGAAGAATCGTACTGATGTGAATGCGTTTGTAGCGCTGTCGGGCGCATTTGGTTCAGGTGCAGCATTCGCCTTTGAAGACGCCTACGTCCTCGCTCAATCCCTGTCCCTCACCCACACCCACCGTCACCGGACCGACAGGGGTGAAGGGGCGAGCAAGGCTGCAGTCGGGGAAGCGTTGGAGTTGTATGATGGGGTGAGATCGCCGCATTACAAGAATCTGGTACATCCTCTTCCTCTTCCACGTCCTCCAGTCTCCAACTCATCCCTCCTCCTCCTCCCACCAACTTTCATTTTCCCAAAAGCCCTAGCTAATAAGAAGGAACAGTATTCAATCCTCAACGCCTTCTCCCACAACACACACGCCACAGCAGCTTCCCACCCCCCAGGAGTGGACGAAGATGCGTATATAGCAGAGACGACGCGGCGTAATTGGTCGGCTGAGAATGAGTGGATTTATACCTACGACGTCACCGACGTCTGGGCTGGAAAGGTTCGGGAACTAGAGCAGGAGAAAGAGGCGAAAGAGGTGGGAGAGTTGGGGCAGAAGGTGAAAGTGTTGAGCGTTGGGGATGTGCCCAAGGAGAATGTTTTCGCCACGCCGGTGGAAGCTTGAGACAGCTTAGACTTTCTTTGTTTTGTTTTGGGAATTCTTTGCTGTTTGTTTTGGTGAGGTACTGGTATTGATATAGGTTTGATAGAGGACTCGCGATCGTTCATGTGTTGGCCAGAAATGATGTTCAGAATGTGCGATGCAACCTGTGGTGTTCTTGATTCATATTCAACTTATGATACCAGCAGCAAGCGACAGCCTCTGGACGAGGACATAGTGATACGATGACACTAGGAACGAGAGTGGCGCACGAGATAGCCTCAAGCCGGGTGGCGAATTGTCGGAGTCAATGCGCACGTGAACTCGTATGTTATAAAGTCATCGTCTTCGATGCGTTTTCGAGGACGACAATCTCGAATCTATATATCGGAGCGGGTTACCAGAGCCGATCTCTCTGGACTTAGCTGTAGTATCGGCTGTTTGAGTATCAGGCCCAAACCATGACAGCCAATGCCTACCACCCCAGTGGGTAGACAAGTCACTGTAAGGGATTGGTACAGATGTTGTGACGTGTACTTTGGATGCAGGGTTCGGTGACTAGGGTTGCTGCTATGGTCTCAGGGATGCGTAGGCTGGATCGCGAGATGAGGTTCCCATATATATATCGTGCCGCGTCTCCGTACCCTTTTCCCCATCGATGTATTCTCGTAATAACCTCCTCACCTATATCCATCCTTCATCCCTCCAGCCTATTCAAGGTCAACATCTGGCGCCCCTAGTCAGATCCACCACGTAACCGCCCTTAGGTTATGCCTCACCTATCCTACCCTTTACAGAAACGCAGAATTGTTGGAAGACAACTTGCGTTGATCTTACTCTCCAATCCCTCCAGACTCCCCGGGTAAAGATGTCGCCCATATAACGGCCTGTATCATATTGGCGGCTCGCGCCAGAGCTTCTCTGCACGAGTGCAACGAGTTATCGAGCTCTAATCTCGTCCGCGCTTTGACCCGCCGAACATCTCTCTTGATACACACGCCGACATACGCCTATTGTTACCCCTGATCCTGATAAAGACCCATACAGCCCCCTAATACCACACAAATCGCTTCCCATGCATTCCTCTCTTGCTCTCCTCACGTTCGTAGCCGGCTCTCGAAACGAGCAGATGGACAGGGCGACGATATCGAGTAAGAAGGGTGTAGGATGGAGGGTAAAGTATCAGAACGAGTGGATCGAGGTTTGATAGGGAGGGGCGCCGATATCTGATTCTAAACATTGAATCAGCCATGACGTGTCGATGCTTTCGACTGAACTTACCTGAACATAATTGGACACTCTTCCGAGCCCTCCTCTCCGCCATATCTTCCCCTATCCTTCCCGCCCAAAGTGTACCTTCCAGAATCCAAACATATACACGCCCCACAGCAATAGACCCATTAACCCTCAACGAGGCAGGCGTGGAAGATATCGAATGGTTGGACGGGTATCGGAGGGGTTCACTCAAGACTTAATTCGAGTGTCGCGCACGATCGTCGGGGGGTTACTAAGAACATCTGTTAACGATAAGAGATGAGCACGTGAACCATGGCCTTAAAGCAGCGGCGTGGAAGCCGAGCGCCTTTTTGAAGCTTGTCAATTGCAGCAAGCTCTCCGTACGTGAAAAGAGAACGTCAGAGTTTACGGGAATCCGCAACACACCGTAAGGAACCGGTCCAAAAAAAAGGCAGGTAACGTCGAATATGCCCATGTGCAGAAGGCCCACAAAGATTGATCGTTTAGATCGTATGCGTGGATTGGAAATGCGAGCCAGGCGAGCTCTTGAATGTTTGTCTGGTGGATGCACGTTCAGGCGCATGCGTCGAACCAAACTGACAAGAAATATGCCGATAGTCGTACCCGGTCCCGCTTTGATTACTCGGCTATCCGAGCGTCCCTATCGATCGGCCATCCTTACCCGAATATGGCCTGTTTGATCCGCAGCCTACCCATTGCCCAGTAAAGTCATACAGCTTCTCATCCCGTCCCCATGTGGGCTGTAGGTCGATCATGGTCACATCATCATAGCACCTCACGACACGTTCATGCTACAGAAAACCGAAGAATGATGACACAAATAGGTGACTTGCATGTTCTTTAGGATTACCCCTTCAAGTAAAGTACTTTCTTCTCACTTGGCCATTATTCGGCTGAGCTAGAACTAATTATCGAAGAGATAATATTATGTAATCTGGCTCTTGTATAGCATGCACCTTAAGCACTACAGAGCCCCATTAGCCACTGTTCTTCCACCCCGACCTGAAAGAGATACGTACCCAGGCAAATAAGCCTTGATAGCGGTGTTGAACAGATCATTGTCTACACCGTCCACCGGCGTGATACTGAGCTCGTAGTTAGAATCGAACGCGCCAGCAGACCAGATGGTGAAGCCGGTGAAGAGGTTAGAGTTGTCCGAGATGTATTTGAGCTCTTGGCCGAGGCTGGGAATGATGTTCAGCATGGCCAAGAGAGGAGGACGTGTAAAGGGGACGTACTATTTCTTGCAAGAGTCGGTGTTACCACCGCCGGTCTCGGAGATGATTGCTTTCCTGCCATTGGCTGAGAGCCAAGTGGCAAGCAACTTCAAATCGTCGGTCCCGCTGAGGACATAGGTCAGCTCTTTGCAACAGAGGTGGAATACTGCTCAAAAAAAAAGAAGAAGAAGACGATGCTTACTCGCGGGTACATTCGGTGCCGGTGCCAGCAGAGGTAGAGTCCAGGTATATATGAGCGTCGATGAGCAAGAGGGACTTGTCACTCCCGTGCGAGGGGTCTGCCACGTCCTATAGTCTCCTATGAGCATTCAATGATAAAGCCGTGTCTCAGTAGTGAACGTGGAGGACGTACGAGCAACGCGTCGTTTCTCTCTCCACCCCATCCACCAACAGCGGTGTAGTCGGTGCCAGGCAAAGCGATTGCTTGTGAGGTGGCGCCGGCGGCTCGAATGGCGTTGACAGAAGTTTGTACGGTGGTCGCCCAGGTGTCGATGTCGAGGTCGTGGGGCTCGTTCATGATGCCTGAGTGTTTGTTAATATGCTGAAAGGATGAAATGAAGGGGGGGGGACGTACCGAAAATGACCTTGTCGTCATCGGCGTACTTTTCGGCGAGAAGTGTCCACATGGCCGCGAGCTACGGTTGCATCAGTTTCACCGCTCCCAAGAGGAGATTAGAGGGCTCACGTTGTCATCGGTAGGTCCGCCCTGCCCGACAATCTGCCCATCCCAACGGGCATAGTTGTGAAGATCGATCATGGCATAAGCGCCTGCATCAAGGACACCGCGGACAAGCTTGTCGTATGCGGAAAAGAAGTCACTGGAGAGCGAGGGAGAGTCCCAAGAAGGAGTGATATACTGCCAGCCAAAGGGAACTCGGATGCTATGATGCCGTTAGTCTGATGGGACAGATGGAAAGGGAGGGACAGGAGGGCTCACGCGTTGACACCGTCGTTGACAAAGTGACTGATCTGGCTGCTGTTGGGGCAAGTGGCAGAGCCTGCCGATGCGCTCTTGTCAGTTCATGAATGTACTTGTTATGGGAGATCACGTACCGCCAACACTACCAGAGGTGTTGATACCAAAATCGCATCCCTACCAAGATGTCAGCAACAAAGACGAGAGAGGAGAGGGACGAACCTACAGCGAGATTGACACCTCCCAATCTGGGGAGGGCACGCTTGGTTGGCTGGCTAGTAGGCACAGCGAAAGCGAGGGGAGCCAGACAAGCGACTAGGGCAAAGTACGTGGGAAAAATCATAGTGTATATGTACCTTGTCGGAGGGGGAAAAGCGAGCTCGTTGTGCTGCCCTTTATAAACCAGACAAGCGCTGAGGCCCTGTGGGGGTACAGGCAGGCGAAGATGTGCGATGCACGTATGGATTGAGATGAGATGAAGGATGGGATGCCGAGCGCCTGTTCCTGAAGAACGTAAACAGTGATGCCACTCACTAGAGTGGAGGCTAGAGGCCTGACGGCCAATGCTAAAGATAAGGGATTCGGCGAGGAACGGAGACTGTCAACAAGCAAGCGGGCGGTGTGGTGTGGGCCGTGTGGATTGTCGTGACTGGCTAAGGCAAGGAACAGAGTGCACACATCCTCTGTTAACGTTCCAAGCGTCCTTTGATGAAGGGGAAAGAGTGGTCAAAGGATTGCCCGGGCCAAGGGCGGTACATGGTTCGCGAGATGCCGCCGATGGTATTGGCCGGATGGGGGGCAACAATCAAGGGTGGCGATGTAGGCAAAAAGAAGTAATCCAGGAATGCCGATGCTGTCAAGTGGTGAAGGAGATAGATCAAGGAAACAAGAAAAAGATGTCAGTGTTATGAGATGCACTGCATGTACGACATGTGGGTACGCATCAAGTACGCATGTGGACACCGAGCCAGCACTCGGCTTCCCGAGGCCCGTCCCCGTTTGGTCCCCGTCTTCAATTTTGAATCGATCCCCTTGCAGAAACGCCCCTTACTACCCCATAAACAACTCTGCTTTCTATCTCCACCTCTAGAGTGACGGGCGACGTGAGACCCCATGCCGGATCGCCCAGCTCATTTGTGACCTCCATGATAAAGAATCTGAATGATGTAGTAGCGTCGCAGGAACGAGCGCCTACCGGGCAGCTCGATCAATCGAACGGCATATCCCGCATGCTAGTCCATATGACTCCCGACCCCCGAAATATGGATTATGTACGCAGAGGCGACGTCTATCCCAAGCAGCATCCACATCATTGCTGCTTGTTGTTGGCAAGGGTTTGAGATGGAGCCTTCGTCCTTCGTAAGGCAGATAGGCGCCCACACTCGACATTCCGCTGGTACGCTTCCTTACGCTCTCTACTGACGCATTGCCTGCTACATAGAAATGGTGGCTGGCGGTTCGAGTAGAGTGCACCCCTAAGAATGATGTACAAGGTTGGTACCTCGTCCCGAATTAGACCTACTCTTCTAGTGCGCCTCCTCTACAGCTCCTTCTACTTCTTCTGCTTAGGCGTGCTGATCTATTATTATCGTAATACGATATTTTGTATCTTGTATCTTTCTAGTTCGTCGGGTATGAGAAGGGGCTGAGCAAGAGTTAGAGGGGTTGAGCAAATGGACAACCATAATCAAGAACGTAAAATGCAGCACTCGTCCTTGATTGCCAAAACAGATCCTCCAAAACTCGCTCTGAGACAGTGTCGTTGCTGACACGCACTACTATGGGATGTGACCTCCGAATAGCCATAAAAGAGTACTCTACGAGTACTCATGTAGCACCTCCCTAAGTTGACTGACCGGTCCACCTTTCCCTGGTTCACGCTCATACCATTCTTCTATGAAATCATACTGCATATGCATCTGACTATGCCATACTGCCTTCAGGAGATGGGGTTTTACTGTCGAATCCTAATGGACGATCACGCTGTTCTTCGCATACGTAGAAAGAAAACCTGAAAAAGAGTGTGCCCTTTAGCTACAGGTCCCAGGAACGGATCCGCTGATCCGCAACAATCTTATCATCCCGGCCCGATCTGATGAACCGATGTGTTCGAGCGCACATCTCTTTGCTCTTTCAGCAGTAGGCTGCCGCTCTGTCCACTGCTCAGGGGAGCGGATATGTAGCATATATTGATGGGTGATAACATGCAGGGTGAAGAGAGTTACATAGATCTTGTAAGGCTCATCAGTGCTATGTACTTAGGCTCTATGTAAGGCGATGTCGGACAGAAGGACAATATAGATGAGAAACGGCGAATATGCGCTTATAGTACAGGTGTATTGGATTGGGCCCGAGTTTTGAGAATATTACGTTCAATGCGATGCTTTCGCCGATGAGCCTGCCTCAGCGGGCATCGGCTTCGTCGGGCCGTCTGTCAGCACATGGCTATCCAGCACCATCGCCCCAGAACTAGGTTCTCTCCCTCCGCATGAAGGGAGACTGAGCTGATCCGATCTCTGAAAGTCGTATGTACATGACGAGGGGGGGAAATTCCAGAACCATTGCAACTTGCGGCCGATGCGGGACCTTGACACTTTCTTTGGTTTTTGGGGCTTATTAGCGCCCACGTCGCCCACTCGAGCTCGTCTCTCGGCCTTCCGCGGTTTATCAGGTTGTCCACTTTTCTCGCGCTAAGGGCGACAATCTTCGTCATCGAACACCCTTTCTAGCTTCTGTGCGGGCGAGGGACAGCCTTCGGCGGGGCAGTGTCTCATCACAAGAAGCATTGATGCCCGGAATGAAGAGTCACTCCACGCTGAGATCTGTATTCATCATCCACTTGGCAAGAGCCACGTACCCCTCCGGACCAACACCGCATTCTCTCTCCTCGTCCACATATATAAACCCCCGCTCATTCAGCTCTCATTCCCCCATCCTCTCTTTTCCAGCTCTTATAGTCATATCACTACAACAATAATCATCCTACACACATATTCATAATGCTCGCTATCTTTGCCCTTCTTCCTCTCTTGGCGCTCGCATCCGCCTCCCCCATCCAGAAACGCTACACCGGCGTCAAGATTAAGTCGGGCCTCGGCGACCACTGCCTCACCCCTCTCTTCACCCAGTTCCAGGAGGGCACCCCCATCACCACCGCTTCTTGCGCGGACGCCAAGACTTGGGATATCAACCCCGGGTCTGGCAGTGTCCTCCTCCATGGCACGGAGTTTGCTATGGATGCCGGGACTGGGACAGACAACCATGAGATCGTAAAGGTAAGCCTCAACATCCTTCCACAATGGGCGATACTGATCAAGACCTAGCTTTGGACCTCCTACCCAGGCCTCTTCCAGCAGACCTGGTTCTACACCGACGACAATCGTATCGCCATCACCGGCGGAAACCAGTGCCTCGACGAGACCAACGCTGGTCCTCAGACTTACGGTACGTGCCCTTCACATCTCACTCCCTCTATCTCAGAAAGGAAAGTTTAATGACACTCTGACAGAGTGCACTCCTTGGAACGATAACCAAGTCTGGCACATTGTCGAGTCCGACACCCCGACCTCTTTCGTCACTTCCTCTATTACCCCCTTGCCTACGGGGAGTGCCAGTGTTTCCGACAACGGAACCGTTACTACCTTCTAAGGTGAGGTGACATTCTGAGCTTTCCCGTAGCTTCACACCCATCGGGGCTCTGTATGGACCTATTGTCGTAGCGAAAGAAACGAAGGTTAGGCCTCGAAAGACTGAGCAGCGCATGTATACTTTTGATTTGTACCCACACTCGATTGCTGTACTGTCTTCCCTGACTCGCCTAGCGGTCCTGTAAGCTGGATTGATTAGTCGGCGGGCTTATATGTATGGAACGCGGCTCCTGGAGTATAGTCCTTCCATGTTCACCACGATCCTGCTTCGAAATTCAAAGACTTGACTAGGTTTGATCGCAGAAACTAGATTCATTCCGCTATCGTTCGATTCACTGTAAACGCTCCACCATCATGCCGTCTCAGCCCCTTTCAATGAAAACTTTGAGATTTGGATCACGCTTTGGATCCACCGAGAGAGATGGCGACGTCGTCGGAGAGAGTGTAGTGGTACCATCCGTAACGTTAGTCCAGGTCTGCGTAAGGATTGTTGTCAGTTGACTGCTCCTTTGCATGATGAATGAGCCAGGTGAACGGAAGGATAAATGCTTACCCAGAATACACGGGCTTGAGCTATTGTCATATTAGCACTCGGCCAACGAGGAAGAAAGTAGAGAGGGAGCTGACTATCGTTGTTGTCTCCAGAAAAGTCTCCGGCTTCGACCAAGACGCCTTTGTATGTGTTGGGAGATCCGACGTCGAAGACGGGACAAAGGGATTCGTAGCTACCGCGCTCGTGTCATTCTTCGCAGATGCGTGAGGGAAAGAGAGAGCCTACTTGAATTTGAATTGATCGACAGTCTGGCAATCAGGCTTGTTGACCAACACCCTGTAGTCGGCGGCCAAGACAGGGGAAACAATGAGAGCGAGGGCAGCGAGGACGATGGCGGACTTGAACAACTTGGTCATATAGATTGGTTTGGTGGTTATAGAAGTGCGATAGAGTATTAGGTGAATGAAAGTCAAGTAAAGAGTGATGTGATGGGGGACGAAAAGAGAGAATGGATAGGAGTTTATATAGCTTTTCGGCGTTGGTCATTTTCGCGGAGTGTAGAGTGTAGATTGACATCGTCATGTGCGTTATGAACACAGCTTCGTTCTGCCTCCGGGGTCCGATCTTGTTACACGCTTGTCATATTTCGGTCCTTTGCCTTTGCATCAGCAAGATTGGGAACGACAGGCTGCAATGCATGTAGTCAGCCAGACGCCTCATATTGCGGGGAGGTACATACCAGAGCTCCAGTCGGCTTAAGTGAGTGAGATGCCTCATCTCCCACCGTACATGACATACGTCACGGCCTCCATCTCTTCTGAACGTCAAAAGACACAACGAAAGCGGTGCTTTTAGATTAAGTAGGGGTATAGCGACTAGCTGTTCCTACATACACACAGCACAAGCTAAACAAAATGAACATAGGCATATGTATAGCATTAGCACCCGATTTCGAGTTACAAGCCAAGACATACATACAGTACAGTAGAGTACTCGTAGACAATTTGTTTGGTTCCGAGGTCGCTTCCGAGCCTCGGTGTTCATGGCCGTCGCGCGTTGTATCAGATCTCAGATCTCAGAGTTATCGTTCAGACTGCAGATGCATACATACATGCGTGGAGCGCAGACGCCGGAATGATATGCTTATCTTACATACACGAAAGATCTCGTCTGCCCCACTCACACCGCACCCCTCGTCGCCGCGCCGGACGTCGACTGATGTGGGGCAACCACAGTCACGAAGCACCCAACCCCCTAGACATCAATTGTCACGTACAAATGTGCATCTGTGTATAGAAGAAGCCGTCGTCGTTTGATAGATGCCAGAAGTCTTACCATCCAGTGCTCACCGTCACTCTACGACGTAGTGATTGTATTGGTACATGTAAATCGGGTCTCGCCGTGCCGGATCACTTCACTTGATTGAGGTATGCACTCTATAGCTATCGACGAGAGCCCACCATCTCGCAAGTCGCCTCCCAAAGGGAAGCATACAAAGAACGACACAAGACCAAAAAGTAAACCAACGCTGGGGATCGAACCCAGAATCTTCCGCTCTACCGAACCTGACCAATTCCCAATCCACCTATCGATCAAAGAGGGTACGAACACGGCACTGGGAAACAAACAGATCACTCAGACCTCGAATATCAGACCTCGGATATGATTCAAAACACACAGTTGAATACACAAATGGACTTGGGCTGTTTAATTGCGGTTATAGGAAGCGGACGCCGTAACCGTTTGGCCACGCCGGCTTTTGACGCACGCACAGTCATAATCGCAATATGTCCTCAAGGGTAAAACTGATGCCCATGGTGTCGACTGGCGGAGGGAAGGGCTTGTGTCGAGCCAGATGGTGTCGATATGTCCTCGGGCGCTGAAGGTTAAAACTGATGCCCATGGTGTCGGCGGGTAGGGGCAACGACATGTAGCCTGCATGTAGCAGCAGGCAGAGAGTGCATTAGAGTAAGGAGAAATCTTGGTCAAGGTATAAATCAAATTCGAATGCATTGCATCTTCAGCTTCGGCCGCGGGGTGCTCTGGAATCTGTCGTCATGCTGCATTCCTTTGTCGCGGGGGGAATCGCTGATCGCTGGCTCGACAGGGGGAATCGTGTACAGCGGTATGGATGCATCACGGATGCTAGGATTGCATGTGCTGTGTATAGCGGGCCGACACGGCCGATGCCGGAAAGATGCACGCAGGAAGGCATCGCTTTAACGTAATCGCTTCTAAGACAAGTAGCCCCGGTGCATTGGTATGTACGCTCCATGCTATACTTTCTCCTTTCCTAAGCAATGAAAAGAGAGATCGACCTGTATGCTGCGATCCTCTGAGGCATCTGACGACCGAAAACATTAGCAACATATGTCGACTTCGGGGAGATGCACCCTCGGGCCGGGTGATAAGATTGTTGCGGATTTGTGCCTAGCTTCCTGGTGCCTGTGAGCGGGCGACATTATGGTTTCTTTTCTTTCTCTGCGGGGGACAGCATCATCGTGGAGAATTTCAAGAAGCATGTGAGTGGTGGAGTCAGCTGCTTCTTCTGTGTTTGACTACGTGGTTGTGTGCGGGGAGGGATCTTTAGGAGAGGTATCTGGTCGGTTCTGAGGCGGGGGCAAAACAGGGGCAAAGACAAGGCAGGTGAGTTTGAAACTGCCAGAAACCTATAGCCAAATCTATCTTGGTTCCCCCTTGGTCTCAGCTCGGGCTGTACTTGACTGCACAATAGATGCGACTAGCACAGCGCAGAAGTAGAGTATGAAGTTATGTGTGCATGCCTCTCATATAAACTTTTCAGACTTGGTGACTTGATTACCAACGTACTTTCCCTTTCCCTTAGATTATGACCGCCTCACGTTCTCCACCTCGTACTACCTTGCTTACTTTCATTGATATTATAGGCCACGAAACGTACGAGGCATGCACTGAAAATGTCCTTAAAGATGACCAACTCATCTCGAGAAGGCGAGGAGATTAGGAGCTCCAAGCGACGCAAGTCCTGGAAGGAGTAGCGCTCGAGGAAGAGGAGGAGGGGGTACCACCACCACCTTCGATGATGTTCCAGACTAGCACATCGTGTCAGCACAGTCACGCAATGATAGGGGGAGGAAACGTACCTTGGTTGGTGTTGTATGGAGTGCAAGCGTAGCTATGACTCAAGTCAGCTCTTGTTCCATTATGTATGAGTTAGAGAAGGAGAGATGAACGTACGTCTGAGGTCCATTGTCGCCTTGGTCGAGACACTGGTTACCGCCAGTGATCGCAATACGCTTGTCATCAGTGAGGAACCATGTCTGCTGGAAGACACCGGGGTAGGATTGCCAGATCTCCATAGCGCGTCAGCGTCTACTCCCAGGAGCAAGAGGTTCAGAGAGCGTGGAAGAGTAGTAGAGAAGACTTACCTTGACACCCTCATTGTTGTCCTTGCCAGTACCAGCGTCGAGAACAAAGTTGGTGCCAGATAGCTTGACGCTCCCGGACCCGGGGTTGATGTCCCAAGTCTTGGCGTTGTCACAAGGGACAGAGACGACCCAGACACCGTTGGCGTTGGTGTCGCTGTTCGGGGAGAGACATTTGCCGTCCTTGTAGGACTGGATCTTGACGCCGGTGTACCGCTTGGCGAGGGGGGAGGCGGAGGCGGGGGTGAGGAAGGAGAGGGCGAGGAGGGGGACGGTGAAGAAGGTAGAAAAGAGCATTGTTGTTTGGGTTGGCTGGCTTGGTGGTGGTGGTGTGTAGGCGAGTGATGAAGGGATGGGGAGACGGAAGGTAGATGAGGGGGCTTATATACCTTTGCTGGCGAGCGTCCGACAGCGTATGACAGTGCAAGAAGAGGGCAAAAGCACATGACTCTCCACTCCCATCCCGTCTCACACAGCCTCCAAGAATGCGAGAATGCATAGCCGGCTGTGAATGACGATGCATATGAGAGACGTGAAGCAGTTATTGCCTTATTGCCTTATTCGGCGAAGTGGACTGTCAGCTGCTGAAGCAGTTTATAGAAAAGCGGTGATAAAGTAACGTATGCGACGGACTTGCATAATACGACAGCGGCCGAAGGATGTCTGATGCGAGCCTTGGAAATGAAAGAGGCGCCGGATTTACACATCGGGAGGATGGACGGAGAGGCATTGATGATCGACAGAGCGGGAGAGGGGAGCGGTCCTTTGAACGACGCGGCCGGGCAAATGTCGTATTCTCGTACGCAAGCCTCTGCATGCTCTTGCACTGCAGTCCACCTGGAGACAGCCCGAGATGTGGCAATGAGATGGACTCTGGCCATTATGCGAAGTCCTCGGGCATCCCACGTTCATTCAGAGTACGCGTACGTTCTTCCTCTCAATTGCCCATGCTTCAACTTGAGCGTTGTTGGCAAGAGATTCACAAACAAACGTGCCTGATATCGGTAATTGGAGGTCAACATGCCGGCCTGAAAAACAGATGCCGTATCCGGAGCAGGCACATGGTACGCAAGAGGACAGAGTTTGAGTGTAAGAGGGTGGTGATCACAGGAGAAGCCGAATTGGATATCCAAACCCTAAATAACATCGTTCAGATCTCTATCAGGAGGCATGGGCTCAGGCTTATACCCGGGCACAAGTGGTATTCCTATCCTGAGAGGACGTGGTCGAAGCACCACGCATCCCGGACGAAACGCTCAATGAATGCGGAGAGCAGGAGCCAAACGACTCACCAACGCACTGCACACTGTACATGCATCTCTTACTCGCTTCCTGTTGCACAGCACGCACGAGCTATCGACCATGATGCTCATGGGGTCTTGAGCTTCGTATGTATGGTTCAAGCTGTGCCCTGACATAGATGCCTAGAGGCACCGGGATCCAGCATTCGAATCCACCAGATCGTCGGCCATGGATCCATCGCGTCAGCTGATAAATGACTGCGTCCCTGGCAATCGACCTCCACTCTCCTCGTGCTGTCGTCGTTCTTCTCGTTCTACCCAGTAAGGAGCGCAACCCATGACAGTAAGGAGCGCAACCCATGATCTCGATTTGGACAACGAAAGAAGCCCGGGCGGGCCGGAATGAACGGAGGGCATCACGTTCTGGACTATCGCACGTTCGACTATCTTTGGGCGTCCAAGACACAGCAATTATCCAGGTAGCCTCGCGTATTCTTCATTCGACCTTGGAGGTAGCTTCCCACGTACAAGTGCTACCACTCACTGTCTGAAGATACGCGTATCACTTCCGTGCGTCGCAGACTTGAAAAGACGGAAGATCACTGCTGTCTATCTCGGGTGTTGAGTCTTTTCCACTTCGGTCCATATCCACCACCTGCACTGCTCGTCATTAACGCACCTGATCTGGGGATCTAATCGTCTCTGTAGCAGGTCTTTGGATTTGAGTGCTCCCCAAAGCTTTGTTCCGTATGTCCCCTCAGGGAAAAAACGAAGGGGCGTAAATGATACATTCAACAAACAACACTGAGAGGCCACGCAATGCAAGCAACCGTCTTAGAATCTCCGACATTACCAATACTAATCATTCCAAGTGCCCAGTCTTCTTCCCGCTCCCGGCCCAGTACCCTCTAGCTTTTTACCTTCTGGCTCCACATACCCATAGCTCACTGCCAAGCTCCGCACGTCGCTGTTGAAAGCTTGCCTCTTTGCGTGTATGCGGCGGCGTTCCAAGACGTCGGGCCCGAGGTCACGAGCCATGTCGAAAGACGGAACGGTGCTTCCCGAAGAGGAAGAGGCAGGGCCGGAATTGTTGTATATGTTCACTTTGAGGCGGAGGGATGATGGGGAAGAGGAGAAGTGGGATGATGAAGGGCGGGATGCGCTTGGAACCCGCGAGGAGACATATGTTGAAGCCGGTTTTCTGTTGTAGTCGGCTCGAGAGCTAAGGGCCCTAGGTTCACGTCAGCTTTATGATACTCTTGTAGTGACTGACACCTACTCGGACAAGACAGACCTCAAGATCGAGACAATATCGTCCGACTCCGTGTTGGAGCTTTTCGATGATTGACCGTATGATAGCTTGGAGGAAGAATAGGCAGAAGACCAGGGACCATTACTCGGCGTCGCACTACGTTTCAGGATTCCCCTTGGCCCCTCCTGCGGTCCAGTACTAGGCGGCATTTGAGGCTGACTCCAAACCGAAGAGTTCCACGATCGTATCCTTGGGGCGCTCGATTGAGAAGATCCAGAGACGTAGTGGTTGGCTGTCGGCGCTATACTAGCGGGCCAGGCATTGGACGATAGCCCGAGGTCCGCTTGTTGATCGACCCAGTCTTCTATGGACTGAGAAGCTGTATTGGAGTTGTCTGACCCTGAAGAGGAAGATGAGGAGGAGGAGTCGTGGTGTGAAGAGCGGACGTGGAAGTGGACGTTGTCTGATGGCGGCCGTGAGGAGCGGCGGGAGGATTCGTATAATTCGGAGTACGGTCTTGGCTCTGTACCGGAAATTGTATCAGTATCACTCCAGCTCGTATTAGGATGGGACCGACCTCGTGTATACATGCCGCTCAACTCACTCAACCGTTCCGCGACAGAAGTCGCCTTGGCAGATGCGAACGACGCCAACCCCGAGCGCAATCCCCCTCTTTCCCTCGCAGGTTGCGCAATCTCAATCCGGTCGACGAGACTTGGAGAATGTGATGATGTGAAGCCGCTTTGGGAAGAGGCGCGAGAGGATGGGGGAAGTGTTGTGGTCATGGTGGTGGAGCCCAAGGCTTCATCAACCCAGCGGAGCGTCTTACCGGGCGCCATGGTGTGTGAGTTTGGAGAGTGGATTTATCGACGATTGGATGTTGTGACAATGACCAGGTATATGAGGTGGGTTGGGTGAATCAGAGCAGTGTTGGGTCACGGGATATGGCTGGTGAAGATGGGGAGATGAAAATGAGTTGAGATGAGATGGAGAGATGGGAATCCAAGCTGGGTCGTCGTCAAATCCTCCATCATTCCCCGAGAGGGGTCTCCTTTGACGATCACTGTACCGCGACGTACCAAGATGGTGTTGAAACATGTGAGAGACTGGTGTCCTTTGATATCTCCTTTATATAGACGCTCTCCTCATGGATCTCCTAGACGGGAAAAGGTCTTTTCTGAGAGTCAGTTGGGAGATCGAACGAATAGGTAAACAGTGAAGAGGGAGAGGTGAGGTGTATATCATGACTATGAGCATTGCGTCGTATCCTCTATCGTATATCATTTGTATCTCTATGCCCTCCCTATGCGACTTGATATGCAAATGTATTTACTCAGAGACCCTCCAATTCACCTACGACACTCTTCACTTTCGTCAAAACCTCATCCCACTCTCCTTGAGGGTTCGAAAGCCAAGTAATAGCCCCTCCGGCTCCTATACTAAGTCCTGCGAGTCTTCATCAGCTTTCCCGCTCCCTCTTTCTCTTCATCTTTCGCATTGATGAAATGTGAGAGAGACTCACGATCACCTTGCCGGACAATAGTCCTAATAACCACGCTCAAATCCACAACCCCATCCACCCCCACATACCCCAACGCCCCCGAATACACTCCCCTCTTCTTACCCTTCTCAAATCCGTCCAAGAGCTGGACACTCCGGAGTTTGGGGGCGCCCGTCATACTGCCTGGTGGGAAACAGCGTGCGATGGCTTCCATCTCCCCACCACCTGGGCTGGCTGTGGAAGGGGGATAGAGTTTGCCGCGGACGGTGGTGACGAGGTTGTGCACACCATATGATTCGAGCGCGATGAGTTTCGGGACGGAGATGGAGGAGGGGAGACAAGGCGGGAGGAGGTCGGATCGGATCAAGTCCACAATCTGCAATCTCATATCAGCCGAGTCGTCTCGTGGATGACAAAATGGGTGAAGGGAACGTACCATGAGGTTCTCAGCGCGTTCTTTGATATCCTCCTGCAACTCCCTCCCCCTCCTCTCGTCCTCTTCCCTCCCCACCCTCACACACTCTTCCCCGACATCACCTCCTTCCCGCCGTACAGCACCCCCGCATCCGGTGCTAGGTTGACAAACACATTCTTTTCCGATCTTGACTCTCGCCCTCGTACCCTTGATGGGCATCATCTCCACCTCCCGTTTGGAGGATATCGAGAGGAAGCGTTCGGGGGAGGAAGAGAGGATTGTTAGGCCTTTTGCAGGCTTCGCTTGGTAGGCGGGGGAGGAAGAAGAAGGGGAAGGGGAAGGGGAAGGGGAAAGGGAAGGGGAAAGGGAGGGGGAGGTAAGGGTCGCGAAGTGCATATACGCCGAGTAGTAGGCAGGATTGAATTTCCGGAGATGTAGGTACATCTCAAAAAGCTCATCGTCCCTCTTCCCCTCCTTCTCATGCTCGCGTTGCTGCTCGCTAGCACCCTCTCCTGTAGAGGTATAAGGAGGGAGCCACCCCTCAAAACTCGTAGTCAAAGTCAACTCATAAGACTCGCCTTGGCGGATGGCTTCACGGCAGTGTTCGATCGAGGATTTGTAGGCCGAGCCGGGGGAGGTGGGGTGGAATGGCGGGAAGGCGGAGGGTTTTGTTGATTCAGGTGCCGGGGGTTGGACGGGGGCTTGGGCGGGGGAGGGAGGTGATGGGGATGGGGATGGTGGAGAGGAGAGGGCGGTCGAAATGCGTTCGAGATGCGTTTTCCACTGTGCGGCCGAAAGTCCAAACTCCACCCCCTGCTTCCTGAGCCACCCCTCTAACCCCCTTCCCCCACCCTCTCCCCTTCCCTCTCTCTCTCCCCCATCTTCACTCTCCTCTCTCAGTATCCCTCTAGCGACCCACTCCCCTCCAGGCGTCCTCTGCAAAAACCCATCCACCCACGCCCAGCAAGCGTCCACCTCTTCCACCTCTCCTTCGGCTTGGGCAGTGATCGCACTGAGAGAGGTGGGGGGACGGCGAAGATAGCCGGGGAGAGATTCTTCTTTCATCTCATACGCGAAGAACCCGGACCATCCTCCTTTCCAAACATCTTTCTCGTCCTCCTCCTCCTCCACTGATGGTGATGAATAGGAGGCGGAGGCAAAGAGGGAGGATGATAAAGCGGTTTGGAGGTCTGCAAAAGCTTGCCAGAACGTAGCTCCATCCTCCAACACGTACGTCTCTACCGCCAACCCTTTACGATGCAACCTCACCGCCCTCGTCTCCAGGGAATACGTCAAGAGAAATGAGGGTGTTGCGAGGGACGATGTGGTGGGGCGGAGGGGCGTTTGGCCGTCTAGCCATATTTCGCCTATCCCGCTTTCGTTGATTTTGTTTGAGCGGATGAAAAGGTTGAAGATGTCGTCTGTTGTTTGTTCCTGGCCTGTTGAGCCGAAAGGATGGGATACCAGGCTTAGCCTCGGCAAAGGGTTGTGTGAGGGATGAGAAGGGGGATTGGATGCGGAAGGGTGGATGCGGTAAGAGCAAGAGGCGAGTATAGGCGGTATAATAGGCGGGTAGGACGCCGGGCTCTCATGATGGGCATGGACAGCGGAGAGGAAAGAGAGTAAGAGTGGGGAGCCTTTCGTTGATGATATAGACTATACCATGTAAGCTATGTGAAGCATAATGAGACGGAGGTGAGGGACGTACTTCGGGGTGATATTGTACGCCCCAGATGGGCAGCGTCTTGTGTCGAAGACCTTGGATGGTACTAGGACGGTCGGGCGTGGGGACGGACCATGCTGTCACTTCAAGCTCATCGGGCAGTGCTTCACCCTCCGTTAGACGGCTTCCAATGAAGTTCAGAGAAGGGACTTACAAGAAGGATCGACAGCCAGACTGTTATACACTACCACATCAAAAGTATCCTTTTGCTGTTCCGCCGGAGCCCATAAAGGGGAAGCGAACAGCCCAAGAGGTGGTTGGACGGGGGCGATGGGGATGACGTGGCCGTGGGTGATTTTGGGGGTGTTGATGATCTGCCAATCTGGTTAATGAAAGCCCATGATTAGAGCGGGGGAATACTCACTTTACCGCCGAAGGCGTAACCGATGGCTTGGTGGCCGAGACAGATACCCAGGATTGGGACGGGATGTAATCGCAAGAGGTCTAGGGCAAAGCCAATATCCTTTATGGGTATCAGCGATGCAGCATGGACTTGGGAAAGCGGCTTACTGCTGGGTTCTCGGGCCGTCCTGGTCCAGGGGAAAGGATGACACAGTCGACATTCGGTAATACCTCTTTTTGGAATTCTTCCCTGCGCTCCCATCAATCCTTGATCTTTCCACAGCACACTCAAGCGTACCAAGTGTACTTGTCGGCTTTGATAATGACGACGTTGTTCAATACCTGTTCATCAGTATAAGTCTTGGCCAAGAGCGTGACAATATTATTCGTATCTGCCTTCGTCAGCGCTGCCCCCTTGATGTTGGACGTACAAGAATCATAGTAGTCGAGGATGACCACCCGGGGGAGAGGCGGGACTGCCATGGGATGGGATAGCTGGGGGAGTATAGGGAGCAGTGGGATTTGGAGGAAAACGTCAAAGTCAGCGGTGACAAGAAGGCTGCAGGTAATCGAGATCTGTTCCTGGGACCTGGCCTATGCCGGCGGGGTTCCGGCTTTTATTTGGTCCGCCGTTAGCCGCCCTCTTGCATCTGCACGCATTCAGGCCATGCTTTCGAGTAACCCTACAGCAAGACAGCAAGAGAGGTTGAAGAGAGGCAATGGCCAGCTCGGAGCACAACCGGATAGCCCAACCCACAGAAATCCCCATCCCAGAAGAGAAGCGTCAACTCCACGAACAAGCCGAAATGGCCGCCTTTGCTCTCAAAGCTCAATTACGACGGAACATGCTCAAGACCCTCAAGAGTATCCCGAGCGAGGAAATTCAAAGACAATGCAGGCTCTCCCTCTGGTGATTGGGGTACCAGTATCTGACACAAGGGTAATAGCACAACAAGTCCTTAGAGTGCTTCTCGACGAGCCATTCTTCAAACGGGCCAATAACGTCGGGTGCTATCTGAGTATGAAGAAAGGCGAGCTCCAAACAGACGGGATCGTAGACCATCTCTTACGGCGAGGTCAGCCCGTTCCCCCTTCTTTCAATCCAGACACCGCACTGACGACTAGACAGGCTCATCACTATACACCCCCTACATCCCCGCCCCTCCAAAACACTCCCACAACCCCTCAGCACCCTCACCCTCCTCCCCCGCACCGGAGGAGGATATGAAGATGCTTCGGCTGTATTCGAAAGAAGATTTGGAAAGATGTCCGGAGGATAGGTGGGGTATTGTGGATCCGGGGCTTGAGAGGAAAGATGGGGAGGGCGGGTTGAGGGAAGATGGTACGTCGCTTGCGGGTGAGGGGTGAAGTGGGGTTCATGGAGGAGCAGGATACTGATGCGGGCGTAGTGATGAGTGCCAACACGCCAGGACTCGACCTGATCCTCATCCCCGGAGTAGCTTTCGACCAAGAATGTAACCGAGTAAGCTCTCTCCCTCACTCTCTCTCCTGTCTCCCCGTCTCCCTGTTGCTCTATTGCCCTTCTTCCATTCGATGTTCGAAATGGGAGCATCGCTCTAACTAGAGTTATAGCTCGGAAGAGGAAAAGCCTATTACGACCGTTTCCTCGAACGATACACATCTTCCAACAAACCTCGTCCCCTCCTCGGTACGTCGCTCTCCCACCCCATTCCTCCATAGACTTCATCCCAGGGACGGTGCTTGTTCTTGAGATGAGAAGGCTAATACTGTGATAGTCGCCCTAGCCCTCTTCCCCCAGATCCTTCCATCTCTGGAGAGCGTACCGACGACAGAACACGATTTCACCCTAGACGCCGTCGTCTCGCCTGAAGGTCTTGTCTGGGGACATCCGGAAAGCTTTGAGAGGGCCATGTCTATGGTAGGGCGGGGATGATGTCGGGGAGAGTTTTGGGCGTGGAGAGGAATAGGAGAGTGGGAGAGTGGGAGAGTGGGAGAGTGGGAGAGTGGGAGAGTGGGAGAGTGGGGAAATGGGAGAATGGGAGAACGGGAGAGTGCGAGAGTGCGAGAGTGCGAGAGTGCGAGAGTGCGAGAGTGCGAGAGTGCGAGATGGATCAACATTTCTAAATGACATACATGAACCCACCTATAACCCCACCCTTATCATCCTCCAACATACAAAAGCAAAATGACCGACCGCATCTCAAAGCTACTCCTCCCAAGTTCTACGCGATAGACCCTCCCAAAGAATCGACAAGCTCCCGGGTGACGGCGAAGGCAGTTCCATCCTGTTTGGTGAAAGTCTACGGGTTTGAGGGTCAGCTTTTTTGTACCGTACGAGTACCGCTGGTGGTGGTGGGGGCGAGAGGAGGATAGTTCGTCGTCGTGCATGGGATTGGGATATCGACGGAGGAAGTGGGTGAGAGAACGTACGCAATAAACGAGCGCTTGAGCTAAGTATAGACCATCAGTCAGCTCTTTCACACCGACCAAAGAACAGAGCATAAAGAACAACAACTCACAGTCCGTATTCTGCCCCTGCCAATCACCCGGCACAAAGAATGTAGACCTATGGTTGGCATTGGTATTGTTGGTCGGGTTGAAGAATGGGCATTGGATTTTGAAGCTGCACACGTCGGGTTCTCAAGTCAGTTTTCTGTCTCACTTTTCCGAGAAGGCTAAGAAGGCGAAGAGGAAGAGGATCGAGAAGCTGGAGGGGAGGGAAGAGGGAAGAGGGAAGGGACGTACGAAACTTTGAACGACTCGATCGACCCGGAACCAGGCTTGTTGGCCAAGAGCCTGTAGTCGACGGCGGAGACGGGGAAAGTAGCGGTGAGGACGAGGAGGGTGGTGGTGAGGAGTGCGGGGGCGTTGAAGAGCATTCTGGTAAACGGCAGCGTTGTACGAGTAGGTGACAAGAAGAAGTGAAGGAATGAATGAAGGTGGGGGATGGGAAGAAAGTGCCGAGTGTGGGGGTTTATATGGATTTGGCACGAGCACAGCGCGGTGTAGATTCTTTGTATGGCGGGCATTGTCACCCTCTTTGCCGTTTCAGGGAGAGAGTCGGTCACCCGAACGATGGATGGTCTGGACTTTTGCTACCGCTGGCTGATATTCAAAGCCATACTTTATATGATCCCTTTGCCTCGCTCTTTCATACACATGGCACCGAATACAGCTGCCCATCGTTCCGATCCATGAAGCTTTACCATACATGTGCAACACCCCGCGTCTAGGCGAAGAGAGACCCTTGTAGAGAAGTTGACAATCTGACGACGATCTGCTCAGTGAGGGTATAGAGAGTCCCATTGTCGGCCTCGTGGACCTGCAAGTCAGCCTCGAATCTCTCCAGCGAGATCGAGCGCAAGGTGAGATGATGGTCGAGGTGGTAGAGGCAGGAGAGGCAGGAGAGGCAGGGGAGGCAGGAGAGGAGGGACGTATCGTACCTGTGTTCGTAGTCAAATGGGGTCCGGTCTTTGGGTATGTGTGGTAGCTTTCGAGAAAACTCTGGTCCAGCCGAGGGGAGTCTGTCAGTGGTCCATGATGGGGGTCGAGAGAAGGGGAGGGGAAGGGAATGTATAGCTGTACAAAGAACTGCCGGCTTCGAGGCCTACTAGGGCCAACAGCTTCAAGCTATCTCATCCGTGGGGATTAAGGCCTGCGGCGGCAGAAGAGACGAATGTACCGGCAAGAGGGAGGTGAGGGAGAGGATGGACTTGAGCCCGGTGCTTGATTGCTTCTTGTGCTGAAGCGTGGTGGCTGGTGGGATAAAAAGTGGACAAGAGGGTGTGTATATATCCGATGTATCTAATGCGAAAAGCATAGTGTGGTGACGTATGGTTTAAATAGGTATGATGGCGCCGTGGTTATCATTGATTCGGTGACTACCACACTACACCATTATCATGGGCATTAACCAGTCCTGTACTCGCATAGCCTATGTATGTGCATCAGTATATGGCATACATCTGTATAAGGCCTATGGTCATCTGGGAAGTACTGAACCATATTCCCGATGCATGATGGGCTCTGGTCTACTGTACAAGTGCAGTGCCGAGATCGCAAGGGCAAGACCCTGCCCGTCGGCCATGCGAGTCGCGTCTGTTATATGTACTCCTCTCGAATGGTGGATGGTGTCGCTTGCTCTCTACGGGGCAGGACGCTTTATATACATGTGGAGAGAGGGCGGGGTGGACAAACAACAAACAAGTGACAGCCCCGGCCATCCGAGTTCCGACTCACCCCCACGTGCGCCGCGTGTTCCGTGCCGCGCTAGGCAACCTAAATCTGGGATGCATAACAGCCCATGCTGACCACGAGTCCACGACCCACGTTACCACAATAATCCCAGGACTGAGGCCACACTAGTATCTTATTGAAATGCAAACACGGCGTGATCGACATCTGTACATAAAGGCGTCCAGTCTTTCCATCTTTCCGTCTTACTACCCCACCACGCCCTACCCCGCCATGTTCAAATCCATCTTCACCCTCACCGCCCTCGCCCTCCTCGGCACCTCCCTCCCCGTCTCTGCCCAATCAGACCCCTCCAACACCACCGACACTTACGACCACAGCAACCACACTCTCGGTGGGGAGACTGGTACTACACGCGAGTCCAGGCTTGCCGACATCCCTGTTTATGCCCGCAACTATACGCGCGTGTCGCAGAAGCCAGAGAATGATGATATAGAGTCTTACATCAACCAGTACGTCTCTACCGGCTCTTCTTGGAGAGAGAGATACTGACGCGTCGGTGGGATAGGTTTGTATCTACCTGTCCTGAGTACCACGTCAAGAATCTCACCACTGAGGTGAACTCTGGCTTCGGTGAGCGTGGGGATTGGGACGGTAACAATGAGGATAGTACGTCTTTCTCTCTTTCTATTGTAGGGATATTTGGACAGGGCTGACGGATGGTTGTAGCTCAAGCACTTATTTACTGTGTACGTCTCTCTCCTCTGTCTTCGCCCCTACCCCGTCGCCATATCCTTCTCTTCATTTCTTACCGTCACTTCCCTTCTCTCTTCGCCCATCCTTCATCCTTCAAACCGATGCTCTATCCTCAGACCCTCGCTGACCTCTTACCCATAGCTCCGAACCGACGACAACGACAACGTCGTCGACAGCTTTATCGAGGAAATCGTTTCGCAACTCGGTGGCACCATCATTGGTTGAGCACTGTACTTAGGAGTCTGAATTGGAGAGGGAGAAAGTATACATGACAACAGTATAGTATTGGACGTAGTGATAGTATATAGCAATGTCAATCTTCCGCTATCGTATCAACCGGGTTGAGAGAAAACGTAGTGAAGAATTGAAAGTAGCGAGACCGAAGAGTGATATGAATATGTAAGACAGTTTTAGGTATTGCGTTACAGGCATCAAAGTCATTGACTACAGGTACGGGTACGCGTAAGGGTACAGAACGTTGCTCAGGCGATAGAACCGCCGAGAGACTCGACGAGCTCGCGGGTGACGGCGTACACGCTCCCATCTGCGGCGTTGTAGGTCTGCGAGGAGGTATTTGAGAGGAGGTATTTTGATCAGTGCTTGCAAAAGTGAGGAAGGGAGGGAGAAGGTGACGTACACAGAAGACGAGCGCTTGAGCTACCAAGTGATGTCAGCCAGCTCGAAACATCCAACGTGAGAAGAGTGAAGACGGTACATACTATCAGTATTCTTGCCCTGGAAATCACCAGCACGGAAAAATGTCGCCCTAGCGCCGTCGGGGTTGGAAGTGTCAAAGATGGGGCAGGTGGTTTCAAAGCTATCATTCCCGATAGTAGGACCGGTCAGATTTCGAGGACTCTTGGCATTTTAGGAGAGAGGAAAAGGAAGCGGACGCACTCGGCTTGGAAGGCGGCGATAGACTGGCCAGAAGGTTTGTTGGCCAAAAGCCTCCAGTCGGCCGCGGATACGGCGGTGCCGATGAGAGCGAGGGTGGTGAAGAGCGTGATAGGTTTGAACATGTTGTTGAGATAGTAGACTGGTATCGTACGGTGCGTATGATGGAAATTGGTAAGGAGGGGGAGTCGGTGAAGTAGGGCATGGACGTATCGTCCTGACCTTGGATGGATTATATAGCACTCTACGGCAGCACAGCTTTGGCGAAGAGTCATGTGTCGAATAAACGCAGAGAAGCACCGAAGCTACCGAAAGTGCACAGCATGGCGGGCATCACTGCCCTCTGGCCGATGCTGGTGCTTTTCGGAGCTTATTGGTATAGCGGCGTGGGAAGACATTATGTAGGACGGTGGGGTGAATGGCTGTGGCTTGTTGCTTGCGGTCACAGTTCATTCGACGCCAAGGAGGAGAAGACGAATACGGCTTCTCGGATGAACGGCTCAATGTTCGATTGGTGATCAGTAGTTAGAATGACGCGCGAAGGGAGATCGTTAGCGGTACTATTTTCCATAGATGGTGTACATGTCTGCTTCTTCAGGTGTGAAGCGCTAAGGACTGTATACCAGCCTTAGACACGCTTGCTTTGCAATTCGTGCGTAGATGGGAATAGCTCTTGAGTGGCGAGGTGATTATTGAGCGAACGAAGTGCCGATTGTGGTGGCATACAGAAAGATTCAGAGTGGGAAGAGGGGAGGAATAAACTTGTGACCTCGATGGTTCGTTATGTAGCACGACGCACATCGCGGGTTGAGGTGTCGCTGTGGTGTCTGGCACGACACGATCCCGCCTCCGGTTGAGCCAGGGATTGCTACTCATTACTCGTACATTGACCTCCACCAATGATGACCATACGCCTCATCCTATCCTGCATCATGGCATCTTTTCACCTCTCTACTTCCTCCCTCCCCCGTACTGTATAGCAAGCTTGAAAGCACAGGTCCCCTGCGGCCTACACCGACCATGTCACATCCTTGCCATCTATAAAGATTCGGCAGTCTTGAGTATGAATGGAAGGCAGTGCCACTTAGAAGCACAACGGTGGTTCTTGAAGAAAGGGCGTCGTCGTCGATGGGTTGGAAGGAGGAAGGACCGAGGACCATTAAGGCTTCAAGGGTATTAGAAAAGTCAGAGCGAGAGGGGTCTACCAGGAACATTGGCCAGAGGTGCATTGTCACAGTCAAGGTGGTGAGCAACGACAATGTGGACGATACATAGAGTAGTGCAAAAAAGAAGGATGAATAGGAGATATCTGAGGTCACATTGTCGCCATAATGCAGAGCGCATTCTCCTTGCATTCTTTCTTTCTAGTTGTTACACTATTGAGCACTCATCAATGAAGCGGCTGGCCCATCTCAGCTGTGTAAATCGAATTTGCTACTGTCGGATCTCTATCCATTTAGATTACATTTAAAGTACCAGTCTGGTACCAGTACACAAAAGCATTTCACAATTCATTTAGTCCCTCATTTAATGCGAGCAATCACCCGTTTGCTCATGCAGATCAGATGATACAGCCTTCAAACTTACACATCATGTAGTCAGCAGCAGTTGGGACACACCTGTGCTGAACGTTTCGTCCTACATCCAACCGTTGCCTATAATAAGCCCAGAAAACGATTTTGCCAGACCACCATGTCAGTCAGGAACGGCAGATGAATTCTGCGATTTGGTCGTTTTTGAGCTGGACGCCAGCGGCTCTACAGCGGCCCACAGAACACGTAGAAGGATGCAGAGGGTGGCATTGGATGTAGCGGTTCCCCCTTTACCATACGGCCAAGTCACAGCTTCCCAATCGTGTGCATGAGCGAGCAATGAGCTGAAAGATGCGACTGAATCAACTGTTGAATTCTGAAATCGTTAGTGCTTGTGGCAAGCTTGTGGTGAGCTTGTGGTGGGGACAAGCCCTTCCCCCTGCGGGAAGCCGGGAAGGGCTTGCGTTGAGCCAGTATGTATGTATGTATACACCAACGATGTGTGATCTGATCCCCACGGATCTAGCCTCTTGATGAAAGCCGACGGCATTGAGCACTTCAGCTCGGCGAGTCGGCGAGTCGGCGACAGCATCGCCCGAGAGGTTGTGATCGAGGGATTCTTATCAACACTTGGGCCCCTGTACTCTCCATGCCGGTCTTCAATCGAGGCTGCCACAGCCTGGGGCTGTACGAATGCACAGCCCGAGGCCCTTGTCGCCATGTGCACGACGCAAACACCGAATGCAGACCACTGAAGATGCCCGTGTCCAACATCTATAAAACCCGGCCATCCATCCGGTATGCAAAATCCCCATCCCCTCTCTCTATTGACTACCATACTCCACTTCCTGCAACCATCTCGTCTTCGCCATGACCGCCCTCAACTCCCACTTTGTCTTTGGCACCACCGCCGCCTTCTCCCACGTCCCGCCGGTCATCTCCCTCGCCCTTGCCCTCCTCACATCTACCCCGGACCTCGTCATCTCCATCCTCCTCCACAAGAACAGCGAAGAAAACTCGCTCAGCATGATCGAGGGCACGCCCCAAGATGTCGTCTCCAGGCTCAAACTGGTCCTCGTTGGAGAGAAGACCGAATGGAACTCGGTGGCTTTGAGCTATGTCCAGATGATGGAGCTCTCTGGCGCAGAATATGCCAAGATCCTTGCGGCGAGTCTCTCCATAATAATTTGGTGCACGGTAGACTGACACGAGCTTCAGGACTGCGCCCCCTGGCCTACGCCTACCGTCTTCATCGGCGACTACACCAGTTTCTTCTTTATTCCCGTCAAGAGCAAGGTCGAAGAGAACTTCCCTCACCTCAAGCCAGCCAAATTCATTGGGTACAACCCTCAGATGGCTGCCGAAACTCTCTTGTAGGTCGCTTTTGAGCACGCTGATGCCGATCTGATCGTTGACGGAATGATAGGTGCGAGGGTGCCGAGGAAAATGGCTCCCTTCGTTGGATTGACAAGGCTGTGGCCGAGTTTGACTCTGAGGCTGTCTCGCCACAAGACAACCAGCTTTTGAATGACAAGACCAAGTCTGGGGACGACAAAACTATGCCTGCTGAGGAGCGCACTGCCCGAATGATCAAGGCTTACCGAGCGGTGAGTAAACTTGAGGGATTCGGATTGCGAGTTGCTGATAAACATGGTTAGTGCGTGACCGAGTCCAAGCATGTCGTCAAGATCCCGGGTTGGACCCCTTTTCGTCAGTTCCTCCAGACAGGCACACCACATCAGCTGACAAGCGCGCAGACGTCTCCGAGCTTTGGAGTCTCAACATTGACTGGAACGAGATGAGCGGGCTTGGCTGGTTCCGATGGATGTCCGGGCGCCAAGCATTGGCGCAAGTGCCCGAAGCCTGGATATCCTGCTTCCCTTCTTCCGTATTTGAGCCGGAGACTATTGCAGCGCTCAGGAAGGACGCGTACATCACCGATGGAGGTAAGAAACCTTACTTTGAGGTGGGGTGGTTCGAGAGGAAGCCCAAGGCGAACTGGGGTGAGGGCGTAAAGGAGTTCCTTGACAAGTACGAGGCAAAATCGGTGGTGTATATCAGGTGAGTCTATATCCTGTCAATCTGTCAGTGTGCATGGCTGATCCTTGTCCAGCTTTGGCACAATCTTCGATGCTGGATTCGGTCTCCCCGTCATCTTTGACTATCTCGAACAAACCAAGACGCCCTACATCTACGCCTGCGGCAACCAGTACGACTCTCTTCCCCAGCACGTCAAGGACACTCTTGCCAAATCTCAGGCCCAAGGATTCTGCATCGCTCCCAACTGGGTAGACCAAGTCGGCATTCTCAGCCACAAATCTGTCAAGGCCTTTGTCTCTCATTGCGGTGTAAACTCGACCTTGGAGGGCATCTTGGCTGGTGTTCCTATTGTCGTAAGTTTGGATGCCTGTTGATGATAGCGGAGTTTGACGAACGATATAGAGCTGGGGTCGACGAGGTGACCAAGTCTTGCTCGCTTCCATCATCCACCACAAGGGTCTCGGTGTCGAGCTTCTCCAGCACCGTGAAGGTTCTACGATCGGCCATGCGACCGCCCACCGCCCCGAAGTCACCGTCACCGGCAAGCCTGAAGACCTCAAGGCTGAGCTCGCTGCCGCGTTTGAAAAGATTGGCGGGCCGGAGGGCGACAAGATGCGAGAGAAGGCGAACGCGTTGGCTACCCAGATCAGGGCAAAGAGGACTGGGGAGTGGGAGGAGACCATCAAGCTCTTTGGCCAGTTTGGTAGGGAATAGAGCCATAGATGATGCGAAGCAATATGTATATGTTTGTTATGCCTTTTGCTTCTTTTGCAAGACATGGAGCGCTCTTTCACGAGCAACGACGAGTCATTCGAGCTTAGCCACATCATCGATAGCATCGTAATTGGGGTTTGGCTTGGGTTTGATGAGTAGAGCGGGTGGTGTCCCGTCGTCTGCTTTCGCTTGGGAAAAGCTGGTTTGGCAATAGCACTCGCAGGAGGGGTGATTTCCTCGTTCGTAGATACCGTAGATGGACTAGACTGTTGAGGCTGTTTGATGAGGTTTGAACGGTGGTTGCTATATGCTGGAATCGGATGGGCTGCAAAGACGTCAATATACCACCAACTTGAGTGGTCAGGCTACCTATCGCCGATTATGTCACTTCCGTACTATCGACGAGAGTCAGCAGCCACCACGAGCGCGTACAACGATCATACTCACCCTTCGTACACATACAGAGAGCACATCAACAGCATGGTGCTCCGTAAGTACTTTCAAGATACACTCCCCACTAAACTTGTGTAGTATGAGGACACATAGACAGGCCATACCTCCTTGAGCACAAAAAAAGTGGGCCAATGAGTGAGGTACGCCTCGATCGGTCATCAAGAGAGACGTTTTGCTCCGTCGCCGCGGGAGAACATCATCATGATCATTGAACGTGGTACCTATATAGCTCTGAAACTCTAAAGTCTACAGAGATATTTGCTTGGAAGTGGAAAGAGCGATGGTGCTATATACTTAAACCATACATTGGAATATATTCCAAAACTACGCTAACCAGGCGGCGACAGATCTCAAACCTCCTAGAGACGACGACGAGGTCTCGCGTCACATGTTGAGAGTAATCTTCTTTGGGCGTTATAGTTGTTCAAGATGAGGCCAGCTCTGCATGTGCACCTTCAAGCTCCAAATGAGGTTTGTCGGAGACAAAGAAGAAATAGCATACACAGCAGCGACTGCTGGCTGCTTGCTGCTTGTGCTGGCCCTGGGAGTTGTCGTCGGTAGGCCTAGCCCTTCCGCCACACTGCTCGAAGAAAGACAGATTGTGTGTGCTGACAATACTGTCGTAAAATACGTGTACGCACAATAGAAATATATGGACGATACCTTTGAGAAGGACTTGCGCCTTTCAGCTTTGTTCAGGCAAAAAAATACTAAAAAAAATATTCTCCATCAGGGAGTTGAACCCTGGTCTACCGCGTGAGAAGCGGTTATACTAACCGTTATACTAATGAAGATTGGTTGATATTTGTGGTTTGTACGAGGGATCACAGGTAATGTATGTCCATTGACTCATCCACAATCATCTGACAATCATTGCCATCGGCTACAGGCCCCATATCAGAGTATATCATTTACTCCTTCCGATGTGTGGTCATACGCTTGATCAATCGACAGCGCTATCACGCGACCATCAGGGTTACAACTCGAAAAAGTCACGTACCAGTCACACCTCTACAAACCACCCACCCAGGGGCCAGGGCCAGTTGATTCTTCTGCCCGAATCGAAACTCACCAATCTACTTGATTGCCTGCTTATGTCAGGCACGGGCATCCGACGTTAGCCCTGGGTTATGCATATGGGGATACTACGTCCTTCGCCGACGACGAGACCATTTCTCACCGCCCCGGGCGGCCCGGGCTGCATGATGATGGATGACCTCTTCCATCGTCTCTCTTCATCGTGAGGGACGGTGTTTGCTTTGGAGGCCGGATCTGGGGTAAGAGGATAAATGGAGATGTAAAAAGTGAGGTCAAGAACTTGCCGGCGAGTTGTCGTTGTCGAGCGGGTCTGATTACTTGTATATATATATACATCTGTAGCAAGTTGTCAAGGGAAAACAGAAATCAGGTATGACAGCAGGTGGAAGGAAGAAGAGGCGGAAGGAAGGGAGGGAAAGAGGGGGGGGGGGGGGGTTTATTCGTATACAGCCTTAAGGATAAAGTTTGTCACGATAGCAGCCAAGAGCGCTACGCAGAGCATCGTCTAATTTCTGTCATCAGCTCCCATACTCTCCCTCTCCTATCCTGTTCACAAACACAGATAAATGGAGGAAATGAGAAAACGTACAGGCCCCAACCTATCATCATAAGGCGCCCCCGTCCTGAGGCGGATGGCGCGCGCGCGCATTTGGTATACGACCAGGGCGTAGAGCATGACGCCCATGGCTATGATGGTGTACATGGCGGCGGATATTTTGCCGACCTGCTTTTGGTGTGAGCTTGGTCTTTTGACAGGGGGGGGGAGGGAGGAGGGAGGGAGGAAAGTGAGGGAGGGAAAGCATACTTTATCGCCAAAGTTCAAGAGACCGACGGCGAGACCGCCGAGGACGACTGCAAAGTGGAGCCATGAGAGGAATGTTCGTCTGGTCCGATACGATCACGAGTTATCGGTGCGATGGAGGGTGGGTTGTGTCAGAGACGGAGAGGGTTGTAGAGGTCCGGAGGTGGAGATGGGACGGGACGGGACGTTTGAGGGAGTGGAACGTGGGTGATTGTAGGAGAGGCGTTGATTTGATACAGCAGCAGGAAAATAAGAAGCAGGGTAGATGTCAGCTATGATACAGATCACAGTTGGGAGAGATTTGACGGACTCGTTGGCGAAGAAGACCTTGGGCTCGACCCGGACGGGGAGGGCGATACGCTACCGAAAAGATATGAGGCCTATGCTTCTCGGCGAGGGAGACGGGACTGACCTTTTTGGCAGTACGCTGGAGGAGGGGCTGGGTGGACATGGTGAATGAATATACGGCTGTAAGAAGAAAAGAAAGCGAAGATGCATTGGCATGACGGGGTGGAGGCGGAGGATGCCACGTGAGAAGGCGATGGCTTGTGGCTTGTTTCTTGTTCTCTTGGCCATCTATCCCATCCCACCCGTCCATCCCGTGAGCACCTCCCCCCTCCCTCCCGCCCTGCTGACACTCTGAAGACCATGCCTCACCGCCGGCCCATCCACACCCCCCACCGCCTCCCCTCACCCCTCCCCACACCCCCCGCCCTGCTGCCCCATTCCACCTTCACCTTCATCGCCTCATGGCAGGGCCAGCTCCTCGTATGCACCCTCGTCCTGTGCTTGGGCGCCGTGTACTTTTTTGTGAGGGCGCCTGTGGGGGCGTGGGGGGTGCGGCGCCGGGAGGAGGTTGCGCGGAGGAGGGAGAGGGAGTTGATGGAGATGGACCGTCATGGGGGACGAGAGACGGAGGGGGAGAAGGAGAGGGTCAGGACGGGGTCGGTCTCGGCGCTGCTGAGCACGGGAGGGGAGAAGGACGACGACGCGACGCCCATACCAAAGAACGCCAAAGAACGCGGGCGCGAACGGCGCAAAGACCTCAAAAAGCACAAGACCCTCCTCCCCCGCGCTCCCAACTCTGCCCAAGAAGATACGAGCGCAGGCGAGTCGAGTGCGCCCCCGTCTGCTGCGAGGTCGCCCCTTGGAGCGGGTGCGGATCTCCCGGCGGGGGGCCCGGGTGGACCCGAGTTTGAGCCGAGGGCTGTGCGCGCTGCCGGCGATGGCGGCGAAGGCGAAGGCGAGGTAGAAGCGGCGGGGGAAGGAGTGGGAGAGAAGAGGCACCCGCCGCCACCACCCATTATCCTTCCTCTCCCCGACTCGGACCAAGATGGCGAGCGGATAGCCATCTCCCCTCCTTCCCAACCCCCCGTATCTCACCTGCAACCATCCTCGGCCGAACCCTCCCCCTCAGACCCCCAGGAAAAAGAGAAAGAGCAGGCATACAAAAAATCTGAAGGGTTCTCCATCATACCCGACAACCTCCCCGCCTCGCTCCTCGCTCCCCTGTCACAGAGTAAGAAGAAGAAGAAACGGACCAAGAAAGCGTCTGGCTTGCCCTTGGGAAGAGGGGGAGGTTTGAGCGCGGGGGGAAGTGGGGAGGGGGAGGAAGAGGGGAAGGGGAGTAGTGAGATGAGCAGGGGAGGGAGCGAGGTCGAAGATTATTCCACGCGATCGTCTTCACCCAACCAACCGTCTTGCTCCCTCGCCGAATCATCCCAACGCCAACGCCAACCCCAACCTCTCCAAACACAACCAACCCCCGACTCTGAATCGCTGCATCTCCTACAACTCTTGGCGGCTAGAGACGCTACGATCGAAAACCTGCGCGCCGAAGTGGGCGTCGCCAAAGCAGAGGAAGCGAAAAAAAGCGACGAGCTCGACCGTGCGCGGACGAACGAAGGGCGTCTGAAGGGGGAGATGGAAAAAGTGAGACGGTCTGTGAGCGGGGATGGTGAAGGCGGTGGAGGAGGGAGGAAGGAAGGGAAAGACGCGAGGCGACGTGAACACGACGTATGTCCCCCCATTCCCCTTCTGATATAAAGTACTGACAATGAAGGATCAGTGGCAGACTCGGTATTCGTCTTTGCAGAAACAGTATACGACCGCCCTCTCCCGTCTTGCGCAATACGAATCTCTCCTGCGCGACCACCCGCCTCCTCCTCCTCCTCCTCCTTCGACCCAGTTTTCATTCCCGCCCAACAACCTCCCGCCGGCGTCGCCGATGGGACTGCACTATCCGACGACGCCGTTGGGCGCGCCTGCGCCGTATTCCCCCGGCAGGAGTTTGAGTTTTGCGGGTGGTGCGCAGGGTGGGGGGATGGGGATGGGGATGGGGATGGGGATGGGGTACCCGAGTCTGAGTCCGGGGATGTATCCTTCCCCGATGTTGGCTGTCTATTCTGCCCAATCCCAATCTCAATCCCAATGGCAGGGGCAGGGGCAGGGGCAGAACCCGTCCGGCCATCCGAGTCCGGCACCGTCGTTTCGCCGTGCATCGTCGGGTATGAACCTGTTCAACTCGCCTTCCCACCCTCACCCTCACGCGCAGTCGCATTCGCCATTCGTGAGCGGTATCAACGGCCACATGAACGGCGGCCACGGTACCCCCACTCCCACTCCCCACCCGAACCCAAACCCGAACCCGAACGGCGACCACCGCCAAGACCGCCAAGACCGGCTGGACCGCGCCGACCGCGCCGACCGGGGCGAAACGGCAGGCTCAGGAGACGACGTCCGCCTCGCCGCCCTAGCGGGGCCTCTCACCCCGGGGATGGGAGGCGGGTTTGATATGTCCATGTCTTCTTTCGGCCTTGGTCTTGGAGCTGGCGGCGGAGTGGGCGGATCGACGGGTGTTATGCCGATGGGGCAGGCGTCTCGTCCGGGGTCTGCGAGGAGGACTTCTCAGGTGACGTCGCCGTCGTCGCCGCCTTCTTCTTCTTCCCGCCCGCGATCGAACCCCAACCCTCCTACGCACTCCCACTCTTATAGTCAAACAAACGGGAACGGTTTCGGTCTCGCCTCTCCCTCTCCATCTACCGACTCTCAGCATCGTCAGAACCTCCCACTCCCTGAAGACGCATCGGCCTCCCCACGAGCGCGGGGGGCGGGGGCGGGGGCGGGGGCGGGGGCGGGTATGCACCACCTCGATATCGGAGGCGGAGGCGGAGGCGGAGGAGGGGGCGGGCTGGCTGAGAGGAGGAGGTTGAGTGTGGAAAGTAGTGTTTTGAAGAAGAAGAAGGAGAAGGCTGCGCCGCTTGAGGCTTTGGCTGCCGCTGCTGTTGGTTCGAATTCGGCTTTTGCGTTGGATGAGGATGGGAAGGATGGATCGTTGAACGGTGATGCTGGTGAGACGCGAGGGCAATCGGAAGGGGAAGGGGAAGGGGAAGATAGGGAAGGAGAAGAGAAGGAGGAAGAAGAAGAAGGAGGAGGATCTGTTTCAGGCTCCCCCTCTGCGTCTGGTTCAGCGAGTCTATCAGCGTCAGTATCGGCATCGGCATCAGCGAGTTTATCAGCGAGCATGACGGGGAGCGGGAGCCTGTCGAATCCGCTTTCGAGCGTGGGGGAGTGTATAACGCTTGAGGCTTTGCCTGGGGGGGAAGGAGGGGAAGGAGGGGGAGAGGGAGAGGGAGAGGGAGAGGGGAAGATGAGGTTGGCATCGCCTGTACATCTGCAGCCTGTGTTGGCTGTATCGCCTTCTTCCCCTCCCCCGGCAAACTCTACCCTGGCGTCCGCCTTGCCCTCGCCGACATCGTCGAAACATTCGAGGGCGCACTCGCATGATCGGTCTGTCGAATCTCTGCAGCAGCCCCGGCGCAGCTCTGCATCTCACATCTTTGACGCTAGTGCAAGTGCAAATGCAAGTGCGAGTGCGAGTGCGAGTGCGAGTGTGAGTGCAAGACAAGGACAGGGGGAGCGACCCCGGCAGGACAGGAAGCGGAGCGAGGTGTTTGTGGGTGAACCGATCTTTGCGAGTTTGGCGCATACGCCGGAGCAGGTGGAGGAGATGAGAAGGATGAGGGGTGTTGTTGCCGAGTAGTCTGTCTGTTGGTGTTGGACGTTTTTTTTGGAGGGGAAGGACCTTTTATTTTATTTTATTTTTGATACCAGCAGATTTCATTCGTCAGAAGCAGAGGGGGGGGAGGAGGAGGTGTCAAAAGGGTTACGAGGCTTAAGTGTCATTCAATTCCCATACCACGTCTTTGTTCTAGCTCTTTTGCATTTTCCGTTTTCATTCTATCGTGTGCTCTTTTCGATACCAGCCACAAAATGATATACAAGTTACGTGACGAAGAAATGAAATGAAATGAGACTACAGACTACAGAGACGTGCTCTCGAGTGGAAGCAGTGGGACATGCATAGCGCCTACATTTCCAACACCATTTTCCAACAGGATGGATGATGCGATGGACGGGGAATGGGTTGCTGTGATTGGACGAGATAATCGGCAACTGTTAACCGACGTTGCGGAGATAACCTCCGACGGGACTGGGTATATAAAGAGGGCATTCCCACTCCCCCCTCCCCACGCATCCGCCATGTCGCTCCCCGCCGGCATCACCCTCGCCCAGCACGTCCCCCCGGGCGCCGAGCATATCCTCACCCACGACGCTCTCCAGTTCCTCGCCGTCCTCCATAGAACCTTCAATACCACTAGGCTCCAGCTCCTGGCCAACCGCGAGAGCATCCAGAAAGACCTCGATGCTGTGAGTACTGTACCCTCGTGAGAGACCGAGAGCTCATCCGGGATAGGGCAAACCTTTGACCTTCTTGCCCGAGACGAGGGAGGTGAGGGAGAATACTGCCTGGGCATGTGCGCCCCCCGCCCCAGGACTCGAAGACCGCCGGCAAGTCCCCATTTTTTTTTTTTTTTTTCTTCCCACTCGCAACATAAAGCCAACATCACTGCAGAGTCGAGATCACCGGTCCCACCGACCGCAAGATGGTCGTGAATGCTCTGAACAGTGGTTCCAAGACGTTCATGGCCGATTTCGAAGACTCGAATTCGCCTACTTGGTCTAATATGGTGCTTGGGCAGGTCAACCTGTACGACGCTATTCGGTATGTTGCCCCCCCTGCAGTCTGTCGGTAAGAGTGGAAGGCTGATGTGGGGGCTGTAGACGACAGATTGATTTCGAGCAGAACGGCAAGCCTTACAAGCTATCTGAAAACCCCGCTGTTCTCATCGTCCGGTATGCCCCCCTTTTCTCTCTCCTCCGTCCAGTGCTGACATGGTACCAGACCCCGAGGCTGGCACCTCCCCGAGCCCCGTCTCCTCATCGACGGCACCCCCATCTCTGGCTCCCTCTTCGACTTTGGCCTCTACTTTTACCACAACGCCGCCGAACTCGTCTCGCGCGGGTTCGGGCCGTACTTTTACTTGCCCAAGATGGAGCACCACCTCGAAGCACGGCTCTGGAACGATGTCATTTCGTTTGCGGAGAGCCAGGTGGGGGGAGGCAAGGTGGGGGGAAAGACGAGGGCGACGGTGTTGATTGAGACGTTGCCGGCGGCTTTCCAGATGGAAGAGATCCTTTACGAGTTGAAGGAACACTCTTCTGGGCTGAACTGTGGGCGATGGGATTATATTTTCTCTTTGTGAGTCTTTGCTGCTGCTGGAGATAGGAGCTGATGGAGGAGTAGTATCAAGAAGCAGAGAGCGCACAAGGGCGCCGTCTTCCCGGACCGATCGGACATCACCATGACCGTCCCATTCATGGACGCCTACGTCCGTCTCCTCATCCAGACCTGCCACAAGTCCGTCCTCCCCTTTTACTCTTCCTCCCGGACTTTCCAAGCTAATGCCGCCTCTAGGCGCAAGGTCGCAGCGATGGGAGGCATGTCCGCCCAGATCCCCATCAAGAACGACCCCGCGGCCAACGACGCCGCCCTCGCCAAAGTCCGCGCCGACAAGCTGCGCGAAGTCACAGCAGGGCACGACGGCACGTGGGTCGCCCACCCCGCGCTCGTCCCCATCGCCCTCGACATCTTCGACGCCCACATGCCCTCGCCCAACCAGCTCCACGTCCTTCGCCAAGACGTCAGGGTTACAGACAAGGAGCTCCAGGACCCGAGTGTGCCTGGGAAGGTGACGGATAAGGGGGTGGGGGATAATGTGGAGGCTGCGTTGAGTTACTGTGCGGCGTGGGTTGGGGGGAATGGGTGTGTGCCGATTAATTGGTTGATGGAGGATGCTGCGACGGCGGAGATTGCGAGGGTGCAGCTTTGGCAGTGGGTCAAGTATGGCGCTGAGACTGTACGTCCCCCTTCCCTCCCCTCCCCTTCCCTCCCCTCACCTCTCCTTCCCCTTCCCTTCCCTCCCCTTCCCCTTCCCACAAAGCTGACCCTCGTTTTTCAAAAAAGGCCGAAGGCACCAAAATCACCCCCGCCCATATCCAATCCCTCCTCTCCACCTCCTCCGCCACAGTCTCCAAACTCCCCGGTATCGACCCGCTCCACGTAAAGGTGGCGGCGGCGTATATGGCGGGGCAGATCAAGCAGGAGTGGCCGAGCGATTTTTTGACGGGGGATTTGATGGGGGTGCTTGATGGGGAGGAGTTGGGTGCGGGGGAGGGTGGGGGTGGGGGTGCGAAACTTTGAAAAGTTGGCAAGGGCTGGGTTTGGGTTTGGGTTTGGGTGATGGGGAGAGATGGGGAAAGAAATGAATCAAGTTTTGGTTTGAAGGAATTCGAAATGATAGACTTTTGTCTTTCTGTTGATCTGTCTTGGTACGCGAAAAAAGCAAGTATGTCTATGTACAGTACGAGTACGAGTATCTCTTTTTTGTTAGCCACATGCAAGTCGTCCCTGAGAACATTGCGGCAAACCCCTGATACCCAGGCTCTGCGTCTACATCCCCCTCCTACTTACCAGTCCGTATGTCCGTACCCAATCCCTTAACAGCCCGGGCCGGTGAAGGATGACAGGGCCCCACCGGGTAACGTAGATCGTTGCGTCGTACTTGTGTCAAAAGCGGAGACGGGGGAATCATGAAACTCGTTCGCCGAGCCGAAGAGAAAAAGAACCACGATGACTGGAGGATCATCAGGCAAGGGGGCACATGGTCGTCAGTCGAGAAGCCGCTGTACCCGTAGAGAACGAGACATCGATGAGCAGAGTAGCATATCGACAGGCTCACAAATCCAAGCCAAGTTGCACACTACTACCTCTTACTCAAACTGCTTGACAAACTTCAACACCTCCTCACAAAGCACCCCCTGCGGACCCTGCTCCTCCACCCCATGGCTCGCCCCCCCCAAAATCCTCCACTGCAGCTTCCCCTTTGCAGCCTCGGCCCATTTCGGCAAAAGCTCAGTAGGATGGGCGACCTGGTATTTGGCGTCGCCTTCGGCGTAGAGAGCGAGGGCGGGGGTGGTGAGGGCGCCGAAGGAGGAGGAGAGGGAGTGCGTGAAGGGAGGAGTGGGGTCGGAGGGGATGTCGGCGGAAAAGTAGTCGTCGTCGCCTCTAATTCCTATGTTAGCTTTACCCGTAGATAGGGGGATGATACGTACCCGATACCGATAAGAGAATGAAGGCGATAAGCACTCATCAACATCGGTACATCCCCAAACCCTGCCTTGTCACAAAACGCCTTTGGCAAGATATCATCCCCGCGGCCTTCTTTGATCCATTGCTGAGCGAGAGGAAGGGTGTCGTTGTAGTGCTTGTAGTCCTTGCAGAATTCACGGTCGGATACGGAAGCTTGCATGATACCGCCGACGACGTGGATATCGGCCGAGGGGTCCGCGTTGGAGGGGGAGGAGAGGTAGTGCATGACGTTTTGGGAGCCGGTAGAGTGGCCCATGATCACGACTGTCTTGACGCCTATTGACCTCATCAGCTCTGGGGGAAAAGGGGGAGGGAAGGGGAGAAAAAGTACCCTTGGATTTGAGGTGCTTGACGATAGTTTGCATCTCTTCTCGGTCACGGTCCAAGCTTCCTGTGCCATACCCGCCAAAGGCCGAGCTCCAGTGAAACTGGACGCTTTACCCCCTGTCAGCCTCGCATACAAGACACTGAGGGAAAGCACTTGCAGTCTCCACCCCGCGCCCTTGAGGGCCTCACTAAGCGGATAAGTAAAAGCCACCCCCCCAATCCCATTCGTCAGACCGCCAATGAAGAGCACCGCCCTCTCGGAGGCGAGGTCGCCAGAGGTGAAGATGGGGTAGATGAAGTTGTTGCAGGGAAACGTTGTGAGTTCGCCTTGGAGAGACATGATGGTGGTGTTGTGGATGAAAGAGGAGATGCGCGCAATCTGATAACGGGCCGAAGGTGCCACGTGGTATCTCGGAGGTGGACATCGCCGACATACCTCCACCCCCGCGCATCTTGTCTTTCCACAAAATTTCCCCTTCACCCCCAAGTACAAACCACAACAACAAGAAAAGAATGCCGCTCTTCAAATTGACATCGAAAAGGATCCAAAAGAGACAGAGGGAGGACGAGCTGGGTATTACAGAGTTGAAGGCCAAGATGAGGGAAGCGGGGGAGGACGTGCCGGATAGTGAGGATGAGCTGAGTGGGGAGGATTCGGATGAGGAGGATGGATCGGATGATGAGGGGGAGGAGGAGGAGGAGGATGAAGATGAAGATGAGGAGGGAGGCTCTGATGCTGAAGGTGCGTCCACACACCCCAGGAGACTTGATACGCAAGCTGATTTCACCTTTCAGGATCCGAATCTGGTCTCAAAAGGAAACGTTCCGGATCCGAATCATCCCTGGGCTCTGAAGAGGAAGAATACGACGACGAAGAAGACAGTATGCATCTTCCCCACACATTCTGCCGAGTCCATCTGACAAACATTCGTAACAGGACTAGACCTCACCCCCGAAGAAGCCCTCCAAACGCCCATCTACGCTTTCGCCCCTCCCCCTTCTTCCTCGGACGATGAAGACGTGGAAGGCAAAGACAAGGAGGAAAGTGATGAAGAGGTGGATGATAGTAAGATGCAGAAGCTGTGTGCGCTTTGTCCGGGGAAGGTCATGAAGAATGAGCATATGGTGGAGATGCATTTGGCTTCTAATGTAAGTTCTTCCTTCTTCTCCTTGTCCTTTACTTTCCTCTCTGTTGAGAAAGAGCAAGCGCTATCGGTTTCGTATGCTGGAGAGGTTGGAGCAGGTACTGATAAGACTGTCATAGGCGCACAAACGATCTGCTAAGCGGTACGAAGCCCACCTCGACGCGCACAACCCTTCACCCGATACCGACCCCCGCACCATCGCCCTCTCCCTCCTCCCCTCCCACTCTGCACCTGCCCCCAAGGCCGAGAAGACAGAGAAGAAGAAGAAGAAGTCGGTATCGAAGAAAGACCGGCTCACAGCGCGTCTCGCCAAAGCCCAACAATCCGTCTCGACGACGCTGGAGCAACAGCCAGAGAAGTTGGATGCGGAAAAGTTGAAAGAGGTGGTGGAGGGGAAGGGGCTGAATAGGAAGGCGAAGAGGGCGTTGGTGGCGAGGTTGAAGGAGGAGGGGAGGTTGGTTGTGGGTTTGGGGGAGGTGGGGGAGAAGGGGGAGAAGAAGGAGAAGCCGACGGCGAAGAAGGCTAAGAAGGATTAGAGGTGGGGTGTGGGGTGTATGTGTATGAGCAGGCAGGGGTGGGGATCACCATGTAATGTATCACGACTATCACCGACTCATCTCCATCTCAAACCTGTTCAAGAACACCGTTGCCGCGTGTCATAAGGCCACATTGTAGTACGCCGACAGGATAGCCGTGGTCTCGAGGTTGATCTTGTCAGATCCCGGTCCACAGAAGGAATTGAGAAAAACAGATTCTGCATGAATGTTCCACGGAGATACTTCATCACCTTCCTTATGGCAAGCGCACCGCCCTGTAGTCTTCAGCAATCACCACCGACGCCCAAGAGCTACCTCATTCTCCTCTCCTCTCCTACGATACCCAAGACCTCTCAAACAAGAAGACTTAATAACCAACACTCTTGAGATAATCGGCAAGCTTGGTAACGACAACGTTGGCTTCGCCCGCAGAGATGGGGGTGTCGTATTCGGCGACGAGGATGGCTTGGGTTGTGGGGATCACAAAGACGCCTCGTTCCTGTCGCGATCGTAAGCTTTGAGTCTCATCTCTCTCTCGGGGCAAAGGAGGGAGGGGACGTACACCCTTACGACCGATGACTTCATCTTCATTCGCTTGGATGGTCATGAATTTGAAACCGTTGACGATGACACCGCTGCCTACAAAGGCGTCAGCATGTGGCCCATCACATACATCAAAGCTACAAGCTTCGGGAGGAAGAAGAGGAAGATGAAAAGGAGACGGACCTCGGACGCTGTCGGGGTTGGAAAAGTATTGCTGGGTGATGGCGTTTTGCTCTTGCTGAGACAACTGAGAGAAACAAAGTCAGCTCTACGTTGTACAAGGCGGGGGAAACAAGAGAGAAGAGATTGTAGAGGATTGGGGGAGAGCAAGTGCGAGGGGTGTAACGGTCCGGTCAGAAGCATGGGACGCCGCTGTCACTCTCCTTCCCCTCGGGTCTATCCTCTGGCGTTTCGACTAGGTCCCTTTTGATACAGCTCGATCCCTCCCTCCAAGAGTGCCAGACCCCTCAAAGCACAGCAAAGCAACAACTTGAAGAGAAGAATAAGAAGGACGTACATCGTAACCAGCACTAGCAGCCCAGACACCGCCCTGCTTGCCCAAGATGGCGGCTTTTGTGACTTTGCCGGTGGCGAGGAGTTGGTCGTCGACGTAAGCTATGCAGGGGCGTTAGCTGTGTTTCTAGCATATACGGGCTGATTGTAAAAGGGAGAGGCAAGGGTGAGGGAGAGCAGGGGAAGACACCGCCCCCCGACAAGCTTCTTCCGCCTCTTCCACCTGGGTGCTGTGAGGGCTTACCTTGCCAAGACATGACTGCTATTATTCAGTTGGTTGACAAAAGAGAAGAAAGAGGAACAAGTGAAAAGCAGAGTATGGCCTGGATTCGCGGAGAATGACGGTAACGACGGTGGAGGGGGCCGCAAAACGTGCGAGACACGTGGAGAGGGTGGCGGGTTGCTGATCAATGGTCCATCGTCTCTTGTTTCCATGGATGATTGTATACATGAACTTGGATTGTGGACGGCTACTATAGACAATATATCCAGTCACTCGAATCGTCGCACCTAATCCGAAACCAAGACGATACTACTGTATCAAGCAAGGATGGTGTAGATCCCGTCACCGCCGAGGGCTTCGGCAACGTCGATACCGATGTTCGTAAGGACCTTGGCTTGGGACGGCTGGTAGACCTATATGATCGCCTTGTTAGATATGGATTCTTTGAAGTGGGAGGCAGGAAGGGAAAGACTGACGCAATTGACAGTAGCGACATCTACTCCACATCGGTCAGCGCGCGCTCGAGCAGAAGATAGATTGGGTGATGGGGATGAGGAAGGAGGGGTGGGGACGGACCATTAGGGTCATATCGCTTGACAGAACCCAAATTCTCTGCTTGGAAACTGGTTCGGACCCATCTGGGATAGTCGCCTTCTTGTTGATCGCCGTAAAATCGGGGACAGAGATCTTCAAATCTGTCAACCCCCACCCCAAAACATGGGGCATTGTCAGCGACCTTTCTCATTCTGCAGCTTTTTTGGAAAAGAAAGGGGACGGAAAGCACGGGGAGGGGACGTACGCGTCTTGAAACTCTGCCATAGTCATCCCCGCAGGTTTGATCACACGAGCGAGGCCCGGATACTCATCAGCCCTTGGAGCGTTGGTAGCGCGCGGGTGGGGAGAGCCGTTGTTACCCTTGGGTGGGGCCTTGTTGGTCTTCTTGGGTGGGGCTTTGTCCGTTGCGGGGTCGCGAGCTGCGAGGGCGAAGGCGGAGGTGAGGGTGAGGAGGGCGAGGAGGGTGTAGGTTGTGAAGCGCATGATGTGAAGCTCAAGTTGTGGGATAGGCGGAGGTGTAAGGTGGATGATTGTTGATGGAGTGAATAGATGAAAGACGAGAGCGAGATGGGGGTTCTTATACGCCTCGTAGCTCTCGGGCACGGGCATCGTGGGCGAGCATCAGTAGTACCGGATGAGTATGCATTGACCCATATGCTGCCCGGCGGCTTGTGGCTGGTAGCTGTTAATGTAGGTCAAGGGACCCGGGACGCGGTGGGAGGCTGTGCGCAGAGTGATCTTCCATCATCCATCAGCAAGGCGATGGGCGAGGTTTCTTCTGAACGTACGCCTTGGCCTCTTGGCTTGATTGAAATTGACAATAGTCACGAGAAAGATTGAGAGGTGACCATGCGAGGAGACGCCGAAATCAAGACGCGGGCAAATCTCATACACATGACATGACAGAAGAAGCAGAGAAGTGGAAGAGGAAAGATGGCATCGCATGGGGTCGGACATCGTGCTTTCGAAGTATGTAGCATATGGCGCGGACAGTCGGCACTGCATCGCTCTTGGTCTTGGCGAGGATCGACTGTCAGTGACAAGGACCTTGTGCACACAAATAGTGACTCCGAACGTCATGTGTCCAGCGGAGCAGAGAGAGGTGAGAGGTGAGAGACGCTAAATGAGATTGCAAGGACAAAAGCCCCCGAACGTTGACGGCGAGAAGAGAAGGTATAGATCATAGATCAAAGCAATACATACGATTCCCCCTCCCTCGTGATGAAGAGCACAAACAGAGACGCAGAGCACAGCTATTCACCGTCGAGCATGATGGCGAGGAATTCTTCTAGGTTGATCTCGCCGTCTTGGTCGAGGTCGAATTCGTCTATCATTGCTTGTCTATAACCCAAAGTCAGCTCTTATCCCTACCTTATCCTAAAGCACCATGATGTATACCCACAGTTCATCCTCCCCCAGCGTCTCTCCAAGCTCCTTGGCTACCCGCCTAAGGTTTTTGAGGGATATCTTGCCACTTCTGTCGTCGTCGAAAAGTTCAAAGGCGCGGCGGAGTTCGTGTTCGGGATTCCGGGAGAGGATCTTTTCTGTCACTGCGGGAGGTTTAGCGCCTTCTCCTTCAGAAGAAATAGGGGAGAAAGACGGGAGGAGAGGAGAAAGAGACCCACTGATCCTCTCAAAACCCACAAAATCCATCAATCCATCCTCCCCCCCAAACTCCTTCAACAACTTCATAACCTCCCCCTTCTTCACATCAAATCCCAAAGCCCGCATCGCCACTTTGAACTCGTGATAATCGATCGCCCCATCCTTATCCACGTCAAACAGGTCGAAGGCCTCGCGGATCTCGCCGCGCTGGTCTTCTGTCAGTGCGCGGGGGTTCGCGTTGGCGTGGGCGGGATGGGGGAGGGGGTGGGAAGAGGAGGGGAGGTGGGTTGAGGGTTGGGGGCGGCGGGATTTGGGCTTGGTGGTGTAGTGGGACATGGCGCTGATGAGTAGGAGATTTGACGCAAGTTGGACGCGTTGATGATTTCGACGCGTAGATGACAACAGGGGTTACGTAACTGCGCTCGGGCCTCCCGACGTTCCCGCTGCCGAGTACATACGCTATTATTTCTATTCTCTGTTTCAATTGTTGACTGTTTGTTTGTATTCTCTGCATCCTATAAAAACAATCCCCTCCTCGTCCTCCTCAAGGACACCCCCTGGAGCCGCACTCTTACTTGGTCGCACAACTCGCACCGCTCGATTCCACACCATGCTCGCCTCCCGCAACCCCCCACCACCCGGCACCGAACCCCGCCTCTACACCCACATCCCCTCCCCCCGCTCCTCCATCTCCCACTCCGTCGCCCCCTCCCGCACCTCGATGGACTCCGACATCACCCATGTGCCCTTCTCCATGCGCGAAGACGAAGTATTCTACGACCCTGTTGGGAATGGGGAGAAGGTGAGCCGGGGGAGTAGTTTGTTGAGGACGCTTTCGAGGGGGAGAAAGGATAAGGGGGCGAAGGTGGAGAGGAATACTAGTCTTATGAGGGGGAAGGATGGATCGAGTGTGGAGGGGGAGGTGGGGAGGAAGGGGAGTATTGTGAAGAGGTTGAGGAAAAGGTTGTCGTTGAGTAAAGAGAGCTCGGCGTTGGTTTCGCCAAAGAGTCCGGGTGAGAAAGAGTCAGAATCTGGGGATAAGGAAGAGATGATCCTCCTCGACCAAGTTGTACGTCCGCCTCACTTCTACTTCTTGGTGGCGGTATGTTGAATGAAAAGCTGATGACGTTTAGGACGACGAAATGAGCCATCACCCCCAAGCAGAACGTGCTATCCGCCAAAACAGGCCGCTGACCGACGCGTCTTTTACGTCTACATCCCCGCCCAAGCGGGCACCGACGTGGCGCAGGAGTCTTGCTTCCTCGATCCTGGGCCCCACTTCGCACTCGACGCCGCAGCCGATGGCAAGACCGCCCAGCCGCTCTCAATCACCTTTCTCCCGAGACGAGGCCAAGCCGACGCCGGCGCCGAGGGCGAGAGACCCCTTCAGGTCGCCGCCGAGGGGAGAAGAGAGAGAGAGTACGACAAAGCCTTTGAGAGTGGGGTCGAGGAGCGCAGGGAAGAGAGAGATCGGCAAGCTTTCATCCCCTCCCAACCCTACTTGCTCCACCCGCCAAACGCAGACGCCACAACCATTCAAGACAGGCCGCTTCCTCACAGCAGACCAGATCCTCGACCTCCCCCTCCCACCTCACACCCCTCAAGGTCTGCCGAGCCGGTACAGGCCGGGGGGCACGACAATCTTTGATGTTTATCCGGATGAAGAGTTTGATTATCATCCCAACCCGTTTGAGAATGAGGCTACGGCGGGGAGGGGGATTGAGGCTTATTCGTTGTATGATATCTCGCACTATACCGCCGAAAACTCCCTCTCCCAACGCCGCCCTTACCACCACGGCGGGCAAGACCCCTCCGTCGACTGGTCCAACGCCCACGAAATGCTGCTTGACCCCTCGCCCTCAAACTCTGCCCGGTCGAGCTTGAACGATAGCCGGCGCTTTGGGGATGGGGGAGGGTATGGGGTGGGAGAGGGGGATGTAAAGTATGGGAGTGGGAGGAGGGTACCGTTAAAGTATGAGAAGGTGCGGAGGAGTGGGACGGTTAGGAGTACTAAGAGTAATATGAGTAGTGAGTTTTTCTTCTTCTTCTTCTTCATCTTTCCTTGTGTCCTTTCCTCTTTCTTTGTCTTCTTCCGTTGCTTTCTTCGTTGTTTCTTGTGGTGGGAGTGAGCTGATAAGGACGTAGCTTCATCGAAAGGCTCGATCTTGGGGCTTATGGGGCCTATTATGATGTGATGAGACGACTATCCGCTTTCCCTTCGTCAATTCCCTTTCGTTGATTTCCTATCCCCAATACCTTCCGACTATAACTTCCACCAATACCCCTCACTTTCCCCACCCACCCCACTTACCTCTCCTCCTCCGCCCCGATTCCTTACCGACGGACATTACGATGATACCACGTTCGAGATGAATAGCAAGACTGAATGATGGACGGTGGACGCTATATGGTTGATGATGAATAAGGAAGGATGGTTTCATGTTGAACGAAGAAAGGAGGAGGTGGGCTCGTATCATGTTTTGGTTTTCGTTTTTATGATTATGGGCGGGTGTCGTTTGGTGGTCGTTTGAGACGGTTTTATGTTTCGTTTTTGGGTTTGTATATAGGGAGAACTTGGAATATGTATCGCTTTTGGGCATATTGTAGCATGCCCTCAACTATACCCGTTTCTGTTGTTCAATAACGGCGATAGACGAAAATATTACGAGGTACATTAGGATCTGTCGCTGGGCTAGATGGGTACATGTCAGTCATACATACGTAACGATGATAGCTTTATGAGGGAGCCGACGTTGGATGATGGAAGAGAAGAGTCGCGCACTGCTACAAAGACCTCCATCGCCGTTCCAAGATACAGAGAATGACTCGTTGATACTTTAGTACTGATGCCATCTCCTCCCATTGCGATGGCAACGTCAACACCGACATTCTGATACTCGGCAGCGGGGAGCTGGTAGTCCTACCGATCCACGACAGTCAGCAAACACCACTATGGAGCGAGAGGGGGCTCAGCGGGATGAACAAGAGCTTACGCAGTTGACGGTGGCGACGTCTGCGGTTCATCGTGGGTTAGTACATAGACCCTCGGGACCGTTAGAGCCAAAAAGACATGCCTTCGGGGTCGTACCTCTTCTTTTCAGAGGGCACGGAGTCGGCGAAAAATGCGGTACGGACCCAAATAGGCTTGTCTGTCTCCTCGCTGTCTTTGTTGAATCGGGGGGGGCAAAGGTCTTCGAAACTGAGCTTTGAATGAGACAAAGAATGTGGGTACGCGGCCTTGAACCACTCCATGTCCTTGTCCTCGGGCTTGATGACCTGGGCAGAAGGAGGGTGAGACGCAGGGTCGTCGTCTTGTCGAGCAGCTAGAGGGCCCGGGGAGGCGAGGGTGGAAGTAAGGCCAATGGGGCTGAGAAAGACGTAGGTGGTGAAGAGCATGCTGTCGAGTGGGTTTGAGAGTGGTGGTGTGAAGTGAAGCGTTGAGATGCGATGAGGGAACGGCGAGGACTAGAAGAGAGAGGGCCCGAGGGGGCTTTATAGCTGGAGAAAGAGCCAAGCCTCTCTGGTGGTCGGTCATGAGCCGCCCTAAACATGCACTGCATCGTTGTAGCATGTTCTTGGCTGGCTTATAAAGGACATGTGGTCTGAGAGATGCTATGGAGTGTTAGCGCCAAAGGGAGGAGATGACTCGTGAACAAGACGGCTTTGAACAATTGTGTTCGATCGTATTGAGCCGCCTAAAAGTTCGACTAGTGAGTCCGCGTGAATAGAGCCTTCGCTTCTTGACATGCGTGATGTATACAACGAGTACGGCGTATTTGACAGACCGACATGGCGCCGGCGAAGAGTATCTCGGCGTCGGGGACGTGGGGTGATGTCTTGAACGTTGGCGGACGCGTATGAGCAAGACCTCCTCGCGTCACTCAGCTATGACATTAGAGGCTGGGTAGAGTGGGTCTACTAGCCGCGCGCTTGTTGAGAGTTGTGAGTCTTCGGTCAATTCGATCCGAGTGCTGCATGTTGCTTGTATACAGACTGCCAACTCCAACCACCCAACGTTGACTGAAAGAGGAAACTCGGTAATTTCGACATTAAACATCCGCCACTTACGCGATCCCCTCTTTCCAATGCATACAATAACAAATACCAACGCCCTCGAAAAGAGATCTGGTTCCAAAAGAAGACAAGCAATCGTTCCAATTAAGTTCCAAATGATGGCATTTCGTCAGGTCGTGAGGAAGAAGAGGGTCGAAGGATATATAAGCTTCATTCTTTGGTGGCGTTCGGATCCTCAGGGGCGGGTTGAACATTCGCTGAACTGAATTAGTTGGGGCACGTTTCTTTCTGCTCATTGATGCCTTCTTTGCAGCAAAACGCATATTGACGCGAGGCTTCCATAGAGAAAGAGGCCAAGATGAATTGCTGTGCAGCTATGAGCGCGTCGAGCTGTAATGACCACCCACCGTCGATGGCCGAAGCCGCCGAACCAAACACAAACGGCCGGCGGCTGTGTAACCCCGAGAGGTCTCCACCGACGCGCGCGCATATCTCCTCTTCCATCGCCCACTGTTGCACTGAAATTGTGCCTCCACAATCTATACTTCAGACCTATACTCTTCGTTTAACGTGCTTCGGCAACCGGTCCTGCAACTCCTGCTCCATCCTCCCCGCCTCCATCGATAACTGCGCTCGACCTTCATCTTCGGGAGCTCCAAGCCTCGTCCGCAATGTTCGGCTCGCCTCCCGCCCTTCCCCTTTTACCCCCGCCTTCTACCCCGGAAAATCAAATCCACCCTGTAATTGTGGCCCTTCTTTCACCCCAAATGCCGAAGCTCTGCACCATCAGCAAGAATTACGAAGATCCTGAACCCTAGATGAAGCTCTGGTCGATCGGCTCGGATTTAGGCATACTTTTTCGTCGCCACTTCCGTAACCGGTTCACTTCTTCCACCTCTTGCACTTGTTCGTTCCATTCATTGTTTTTTTTTTTTTTGGGGGGGGGGTTTGGTCTTGAACATTATTGCTCGCTGGTCGGCCCTACTATCATAACTACACTACACTCCGCGTCGACCTCCGCTAGACAAGACGACAGTACGCGCTTCTCACTTCCACTTCGACCCGCATTACTCGATCCTCCACTCTCCCGCCACTCCACACTAAGGGCCGTTCAACAAGCACCCCGAGGCCGGTCCTCCCCTTCCCCTTCTTCCGGCTCTCGCCTATCTTCCCCCTCTCCACCACTCCACAATGCCGCCCCTCACCCCTCTCCAAATATCTCAGCTCGAAGAGTACGGCCAAAATCACTTTGGCGAGAATAAAGAACTCGCCTTCGTCCCCATGCTCTTGGGGTTCGCCCTGACATGCTCGTTCTTTGGACTGTTGGTGCTGCAGGTCTTGTTTTGGGTGTGGAGGACGGCGAAGAGGGATTGGTGGGTCATCAAAGTCGTCGTTGTTAGTCCCCCCTTCCTCTGTCGTCGTCGGTCATTTCCTGAGAAGATTAGGAGCTAATACGAGAGGTGTAGGCACATGTATTCATGTCGGCGACGGCATACATGGTGCTTGAGTTCTACTGGATATCGCAGAATTTCGCGACGGGCTTTGGGACGTACTATCGGCTCTACAAGTTTTCACCTATTGCCGATTTCTTCCTCATTACCACTATCATGCAGACGCCTGTTTCTGTGAGTACTCCTCCTGTGATGATGGAGATATACTGACTGGTGTTGGCGATTAGGGCTTCTTCTCTTTGAGAGCGTTTAGATTGACGGGGGGGAATCTTTACTCTGCTATCGTCCCGAACGTCCTCTTGTACGTGCCCCTTCTCCCTCCCATCTTCCACTCTCCTTCTTTCTGAAATGAAAGAATGGACGCTCATGGAAGATACAGATTCATATCATTTGGAAGCTGTATCGCCCTCCGTATCGTCGCCCCCGAATACGCCACCCAAATTGTGTATAGTAACCACCCAGTCACGTTTTCAGTGTTGTTCGTCTGGGTACGTCAATATACGGTTCTGCTTTGCCCTCAAGCTGACATACCCGGATAGGCGGTAACAGCGATGATAGCGGATTTGATCGTAACGTTCACCATCGCATACGCGTTGTTGCAGTCCAAGCTTGGTTTTACGGGCTTTGTGAGGACTGATAAACTTATCAAGAAAGTCATCATGTACATCCTTCCCTCTTCTCCCCATGTCATGATTGGAGGGCTGATGGAAAAGTGTAGTATATCGGTTGAAGCGCAAATGATACCGACACTATCCTCGCTGGCGTTTCTCATCACGTTCGCTACGACGCCTTCGACGGAGATCTCTGCTATCTGGCTGTACGTTCTTCCCCTCCTCATCAACCCACTCTTTTGGGCCATGAAAAAGAAATACCGGCTGATCAATGAGTGCAGGTTTACGCCGTTGATGTACCCGATAGCGTTTATGGCGGTGCTGAATTCGAGGAAGGGATTGGCGAGGCAGTTGGCGCCGAGGTTGGGGCAGGTTGTGAGTTCTTTTCGTACTTCTTCTTTCACCTCCCCCTTCCGCTTTCCATATCCATCCGAGACATCAAGAACGTAGGCTGACACGGCTTAACAGGCCGACTCCTCCCAACCCCCAACGCTACGCACATCCTCTTCCAACCTCACTTACGACCACCCCGGCCTCGAAGGCGTACTACCGCAGCTAGACAGGTCGCCAAAGGAGAGCGGAAGGGTTCAGGCGGGGCAGGTGGCGGCGTTTCCGGCTTGCTTGAAGGTTCCTCGGGAGGGAGAAGGATATGTCAAGGAAGAGAAAGAAGGGAAGGAATGGAAGAGCGAGGAGGGGAGACGAGATGAGAAGGCGGAGCGGGATGAGGAGGAGCGGATAGGGATGGGGCAGAGGTTGAGTAGGCAGAGGTATGATATCATCTCTGCGACGGGGTCGAGAACGGGGACGGTATCGGGCGAGGACTCTGTGGGATCGGTAAATGTCGTACTGGGGGGTGATATTGGCCGGCCATGATTACGCGAGCGAAGGTTGGGTCAGTGACTTGTTGTTTTCATAGCATCGTAACACACATAATATATTATAACCATGATAGGGCTGTAGCTCTTGGTACAGCACATAACGTATGAATCCAGTCGAGAGCGAATGTGACATCTACGCGCTGAGGATCATGGACGCGAATAGATACTGGCATGTCATCTTCAAGCATCGCTCACTGCACCATATGCGCTGCGCATGATCCGATGTGTCTTCCACAGGATACACGCCAGAAAGAGAAGGAGGTGAGTGGAGATGCATGAGACCACAGCCCTCCTCAGCTGCCCAGCAGCGGCTCACGCGCACGACGAGTGCAGTCCTGATTTCGTTTCTTATCTTACCATCGATTATGACGTATAGGCGTCAGATGCTGTTCCTCTTTCTATCCATCTCGCTGCTGCCAAGCTATACCCTGCCGTTCCCCGTCTCTGCGCAGTGATGACCCTTTCGCGATTAATCCGGCCCGCCACCCAGTGAGAAACAACTGAAAATGCGCTGCGGACACAACACAGGGTGCCTCGATGACGTAATGGTACACCGCAAGATCTTCTGCCCTGGCTGTCCGTCCTATTCGGGAGACTTGGCGAAGCATGCGGCGGGCGGTGCACAGAGCAGGAGCAGGCAGCGAAGGGTGTATATAAGGGGGGGATCTTGGACATCTTTCCAGATCACATATTTCTGCAATCCTTTCACGTTTCGACTCGTCGTCGAGTAAGTTCTTTTGACTGCGCTATTTGGTTCTCCGTCACCAAGGACGAACGCTAATATATATCTCCAGCTTCTTCATCTCTTTCTCTACCTTCAAGTGTTTCACCACTTCCATCCTCCTACCGTAACACCACTGTAATATGGCTCTCGGACCCATCCACTGCGGCTCTTTCCTGCTGCTAGCAGCGACCGTTCTCCTGCTAGTGTCGAGTAGTGAGTCTTGCCTTCTCTACCAGCTGTTCAAGCGCTGACTCTTGCATAGTATCGGCCCCAGTAATTCACAACATCTCATTCCTCAACATCAATCAGGGATCTTCATCGGAGGCTACGTTCGGTGTCTTTGGCTATTGCTCAAACATCATCGTGCGTCCCCATCTCTTCCCCTTCACCTCCCTCTCCGCTAACAGCTCTACAGGGGTCAGACTCTTGCAGTGACCGTACACTCGGCTACGACATCGCCGACGTGACCGGCACCCTCACCAACTTTTCCTACGTCAACGACCACCTCGAGTCCCTCACCAAAGCCCTCATCCTCCACCCCATCGCCACCGGCATCGCCTTCCTCTCCTTCCTCATCGCCCTCGCCTCAGACCACATCGGCTTCCTCTTTGCCGCCTTTGTTGCGTTCGTGGCGTTCGTGGTGTCGTTGGCGGCGATGATTATCGACTTTGTGATGTTCGGGGTGGTGAGGCATCAGGTGAACGATAATACGGATGCGTCGGCGAGTTTCGGGACGGCGATCTGGTTGACGCTGGCGGCTACTATCGTTCTCTTCTTCTCTTCCTTTATCGTCTGCTTTAGCTGCTGCACGAACAGGACGAGGAGCAGGCGGGATACCGAGTATGCTCAGCCGCCTATGGCGCAGAACGGGTTCGAGAGGAGGAGATGGTGGAACAGGGGGCAGTATAGGTATTAGTCAGGGGTACAGTTATTTGCATGTTGAGCCTGTAGCGTCTTGATGTATAATATTCTGATTGTATGTTTGGGAATGTCAGTACAAAGATGGGGAAGTGTGTCTGCGTGGAACCAAATAAGAAGCTTGTGAGGCGCAACATTAACCCCAGAGGCACAGGCGCCGGAATATGTACACGGCCAGGTACACATTTTAGTCATTGGGGCGCGTGGTCACATTTGGTTGATGAATGATGCGGAAGTATTACACCGCTGCATTGCCGGTGCATGATCTTCTGTCCATTGCAGTGCACTAGTACTTGTATATCAAGATAGGCGCTGAAGCCTTTGGTGGAAGGGGCACGAGGTGGTGGTAGTCTGCTTCAGTGTGGGTGGTATATTGTCACACGTAGTAAATCCCTGAAGTGGCATTGGCGCTGAGTTGTGTGGATGGTTGAAGGACGCGCGGTGTACAGACTCAATTCATATCTCATTGTTCTACTCTTTCCTTATGCGATAATACCGAAAAGGTCTTTTCCCCTCCAAAATCACCTTTTCCCGTCCTCTCCCCTGCTGCGTCCCAGCAGGCCGTGACATATATAATGTGAAATTCTGGGCAAACTTGACGGAGTCCATTCCCCTCCCGTTGCTGGGGGAGGCCTTGACGTTTGTGGCGTTTGGCGCGGCACTAGGGGCGGTGATAGTCGACTTTATCTTGTTTGGCGAGGTGAAATCGTATGTCACGGGACGTAGCTCTGATCGGTTGGCGAAGCCGGGATATGGAATGGCGACAGGTGGTAGTGCTCGTTGTTCAGTATGATGTTCAAGCGACAGAGTCTCATATATCATCATGTAATCAACTGCAAGGGATTGAGATCGCAGTGCGCATCAGGTGGTGGTGGAGAATTTTATAGGATCTTGAAGATCGATAACACCATCCATGCTCGAATATCTCTGAGATTGGTAGATGAGAGAGTTTGCGACCTACAGGCTCCGGAGGTGATATTTGGTCCTGATGGCGCTCTTGCAGAAGGCGCAGATATTGACGTTGAGGCTTCGGATGTACAAGACACAGACGATCAAGGAGACGTGGAGATCGTTTGGAGAGGTACTTGGGGTGGAATATCGGGAAGCTGCGATGGACGCATGAGGAGCTTAGGGAAAGGGAGCATATCACTTATTAAAGTCGAAGCGATCTCAAGGAGGCTGTGAGGGCTTGCGGTGAAGGCGGGCGATAAGTTGTTTGAGGAGTGAGACTATCCAGTTGCCACTCTCGTCTATATCGTCCTCGTATCGCTATCTTTCCCAGCTTCAGGTTCTTATCGAATAGTATCACTTCAACGTATAGCTTTCTATCGCAGTCAACATGGAGCGGCGTTTCATACCACAACCTTCATTTGGTATTCGATGACGAGATTGTGAATTTAGTCTTTCTAGCTGTTGCAGCAGACAAAGCCCGGGATGTGGCGCCATCATGACCTGGACAGGATACGGCAACCCCCTCCGCCTCGAGCGCATCATCAAGACATACACCCGCTACTACGTCCTAACCCACCAAGCCCACTCATCACCTTTCACCTCCGCCGCCGCGCACGACCTTGTCGACAAGATCAGGATGGGCTACAAAGGGTCGTACTGTGATCGGGAAGAAAGAGTGGGGCGATCTTTGAGGAAGGATATTGAGGGTGGTTGGGGAGGTATGAGAGGTTTTTGGGGATTGGTGCATTTGGAGTTTGGGAGTAGGAGAGAGTTGGAGAAGGCGATGAAGGCGGGGGATAGGCGACATGAGTAGGGCTGGTGTTTGAACATGGGTGCCTTGTATAGCTGTCTTTTCCAGATCATGTCGTCGTTTGTGCTATGCGATAATTTTGTATACATTTGCTCGAAAAAGACCAAATCATGTCCTCTGGCGACACTTCCATTGTTGTTCGTCGCCCCGTCCCCGTTGAGCGAGCATCGTCCTCTCCGTCTCGCATCTGCACTGTCTCTCTCTTGTTACATTACCCCTAAATAGCATTATACCCGCACAGTACTGGAGCGATGAGACATGTATGCGATCTCGCGTTCGAAAGCTGAAACAATCAATTGACGCTCTTTTCGCCACGCCGCCGCCGCCAACGGCAACATCACATTCACATCTCATCACAAAGGGTGGCTTGTTTCCACCGTTCACGGTAGAATACGTATAAAGGTTTATGATTCCATCCAAACTCTCTTTCTCTTTCTCTTACATCCATCTCTCACCCCTCGTCCCCCACCACAAAGCTAAACACAACATCACCACCGATACACAACGCGACATGTCTCCGATCTTCAATGAATGTCCCCCCATTACCAGAACCAACCCCCGCTCATCGAATATAGAGAGTGCGATAGGCGTCCCACCGCTCGAGGCCCTGAATAATGGCATCACCGACGCCGAAAAAGAGATCCAGCGCTTACGAGAACAAGTCCGAGTCGCCGAGTGGGTTGCTGAGAGTGGTGGGCCTTTCCTTTTCTTTCGTTGTATCATCGGTTGAAGAGGAGAGCTGATCGGAATGTAGAGTTGAATCAGACTACGCTTAGGGAGAAGGGGGTTATCATGGCCTGGGTCGGGTACGGTAACCCTCTCCGATGGGAGAGGGTTTCGAAAGTGTACATCAAGATCTACATCTGCACCACTCCCTCCTCCCCTTCTTCCCCTCCTCTCTCTTCTCCCTCTCCCTCCTCATCCCCTTCCGACTTGCACGACTTATCCGACACCGCCGAGCTCCTCCTCTCAATCCTCAAAAAAGGCTACGGCGGATCATACTACGAACGAGAAGATAGAGTCGCACGGAATTTGGCTTGGGACGTTGAAGCGCTGAAGGGGGTGAGAGATCGGTTTAGGGGGTTTGGGTATGTGAGGTTTGAGAGTCGGAGGGAGCTTGTGGAGGCGGTGAGGAGGGCTGAGAAAGATGGGGGGAGGTGTTATGGTTGGGATTGATGGAAGGGGTGGGTAGTATGGCTTTGTTGCTCGTCGTATTGTCGCTTCCGTCCACTTTTCAATGCGAGGTTTTTGTTGTATAGAATCATGTTATGTGATATGTATGCATCGTGGATGTAGCAAAAAGCTAATCTCGGATAACACCGCCCACCATTATGTCCATGGACCCGTATCATGCGATAATTCCAGAACTACAATACACACGCACTACAAATCTCACCAAGAAGTCCTAGCTGGGCCCTGTAGGTATGCTTGTTGCTCATCTGACTGCGCCCCGGGGCGTCGATTGCGAGCTCGATTTGCCCGATCCCCCCTGTTCTTCTCTTCATTCTCTTTCCTCTTCCCCAGCGCTCCAGTTGTCAACCTTATACTCGGGATCGCATAACCCCCATCCGGATTCTGAACTGCCTTGCGACCTCCCCTGGTGGCCTGGTCTAGCGCCACTGCTGCTCTAGCTTCCTCCATCTCCTTTCTCAGCAGTCAGCAGCACGTTCTCTAACTTTGCCTCCTCTACGGCCGTCTCGACCTGCGCAACAGCCACAACTGGGTCCAGCTCCCCCTTTAGAAGTGCAGTGTTGATCCTTCGGAGACCGAGCCGAGAGGGGTTTTCAGGGGAGGGTGGTGCAGGTTGGGAGGCTTGGGGGGGGGGGGGGGGGGGAGTGGAAGGATCATTGACATTGCTGAGGATGATTTCAGCGCTGAGAGGCGAGACCCACCTTTGGCCATGCGGACCTGATCTGCCTCCCGGTGGCAGTCTTCGTCCATGCCCCCTGAATACTGATGCCAGGCCCAAAACATGCCCATATCCATCCGCCTTGCTCGGGGACCTCGCGAGTACTCGTGCGTCTGGTGGTGGTATTCTCAACTTCAGTTGATTGAAAAAGTCTACGTCCAACGACTGAAACTTGCCACTGGGTTTGGCGGGCATAAATATAAATGATGAGCACGCGAATGTTCCGGTCCCAGCAGGCTTCGAAAGTCAACCATACGAGTAATGTGAGACTCGTGCCCATGCATGATGAGCAGAGGATGACGACCGTTATCTGCCGCTGGGCGGGTATGGGTACGAGGGTCGAAAGCCTCCAATAAAACCACTTACTTCTTCAAGATGAACGTGTTGGAGAAAACCAGCCGTCGGTGTTGGCCACTGCAGCTGCTCAACCGCCTTGTCCATCGTAAACCATGTTTCCATGCGTTTTGGCCGTTGGTAGATAATTAACAGGTGTTACGGGAGCGGAGGGTTGAGGTCGTGCGGATGCGGCCCGCGGGTGATGGCGGAGATGTGGTCGCTAGTGGGAGGGGGGGGTGGGGAATTCTGTGCATTCTTTGGGTGGTAACTGTACTTCCCAGCGACCCTGCGCACAAGGCGCTTGGCCCCCCAGGTCGCAACCGCACTCGTCCATCTTGTACAAGTAGGTACACGAATCACGTTGGGGCGATAGACTTTGCTGTCGTACCATTTCTTGGAGCGATAGATGCATCAGGAATGCTTCTGGACCGGCCAAATGACTCTCAAGTTGAAGAATGAAGAAAGGCAGCACAGTTCTCGCTCGTATTCGTATCTTGGCGGCCAGCTTCGGTGTAGTGGTAGAATTTCGAATTTTCGAGTTCAAGTCGGCGCGATTCTCTTGCCCGGGGGGATGGCCATGGAGAGCTTGCCCGAGTTCTCTTATTTTCGTCGGGGTCAGTATACGGCATACGTGTCAATTTTGTCGACCAACTGAGTGCTTCACTTGAATGACAGAGAGCTTGCGCTTGCGAGGGTTGTTGGTGGCATGTGCATGTCGGTCGGTGGGGCGTGTCTTTTGTGGTACCCGTATCGATCATTGAGAGTGGAAGGAGCCACCTTGAATCGAATGGCCCACCTTGTAGCAGCTCTATTTGGCTATTTGGGATGCGCTCGCTTGTATTGGACTGCCGAGTTGAGTGCATCGGCCACTGTCGAGGTACGTGGAATGACCGAGATTGCCGCGGATACGAGTAACGAACCTCCTTGCTGAAGTAAGAATAGAGAGACGCAGTGACACTTTTGGCTCCAGGTTGAATGACGCGAACGGCCGTTTGCTCGCGTAGACTGCTTTGACGAAAGAGTCGTGCGTTGTTACAGTTGTCGAACTTGAATAATGTAAGCAGAACAGAATGTGTGACATTGTGAGATGGGTATCAGAAGCATCTCACGGAATAGATCAGCTATGCTCTGAAGACCAGCAGCATACGAACGCGAGCCATCGCTCAACGTGGAATGCGGAAGGACGCGAGGATGGCAGAAGGGAAAGTGATCGAGTGTCGTACTGGTGAATTACTACAAGGGTGTACGTTCAATCCTTACAGCACTCAGAAACTATATACAGCGGCATGACGTCGCCGTTCAATGATGCGTTGACGAGAACCAAATAGAACCTGAGTATTACGAATGGCCTAATTAGAAACTTTACTAATTCCCGCATCTTGGGTCAGTTCAGATCTTGAGAAATCTTTGATTCGTCTCTTTCTTTCTCTCACCTTCGCTTGCTCTTCCACGTCAACTCTTACATATCGCACACTCGCTCACTGCTGACCCGCATGGGGGCTATACAGCGCTCTATGGTAAGCCGATCATCGGGCGCGATGCAGAGCTGACTCTTGCGTCCAGACACAATGCATCCTCTTTTCCATCCCGTCTCCGGTTTCTCATACTCTGACGTCCAGCTCACCGCTCACACCGCTCCTTCCTCTACCACCACCCGGCCCGCCGCCCGACCCCTCTGCCATGACCCCCTGACGGCGTGCGGACGAGTGAACACGACGACGATGGAAATTCTGTGGTATGCGGGGCCCCCTGTGCCTGGGTGGGTTGCCACAAGAGTGGTAATGCCGCGTAAGGCCGTCCCTGAGCGACTTGGTGTTCGGGTTGTTGTGCGTCGGGGGGTGCCACCGCCACTGTCCTCTCCGCCACAACATCACATCACAACGCGTCGCCTTTCCTTCTCATTTATCACCACACGTCCATCCACGGCAACCCCCGACCGACACACCCGCCCCTCCCACACACCCCCGCCCCCGCCCCGCCACCCTCGCCGAACACTGCGCACGGGGCTCGAGACCCGTCTAGCCGCTGCGACTCTTACTCATCAGCGCCCATCCATCCACCACCCATCCCCCGCATCCAGCATCGCACACCGGCCATGGCCACACCACCAGAATCACTCCCGTCACCATCCCTCTCCTCGTCTTCCCATTCGCATCTGGGTTCGCTTTATCAATCCACCCGCGCTTCTTCTTCCGCATCTGGCTCCCAGCCTGCCGCTCAAAGGCACCCCAACTACACCAACGGCGACGGGCAGTACAATTCCATGTCCTTCCTTCCGTCCACCGTCTCGCCGCCACCGAACCCTCCCCCGTATATCCCTCCGCCACAGCACGCCATGCCCCCAGACCCTATACACCTCGCCACTGGCGCGGGATACACCCAGCCCCAGCCATGGCCTAATTGCCCCCCAGGCCCAGCCGGGTGGAGAGCAGCGGCGCCGCCGGCGGGGTATGGAGGGTATCGGAGTTCAGTCCCGAATGGGCGGCATTTGCCTACCAACCCCGAGTTTCCCGGACAGAGAGGATTCGCAACGAGGCCTGGCAGCGCGCATGGTGAGAGTAGGGAACGGAGAAGAGACCGACGGGATCGGGATAGGGACGATGAGCGAGAGATTGAAGAGGAAGTGATTAGCACGATCTTTGTTGTTGGCTTTCCGGATGACATGTCGGTGAGTATATCTCTGTGTTTGGCTTGGGTCGTGCTGATACGGCGTAGGAACGTGAATTCCAAAACATCTTTGCATTCGCCCCCGGCTTTGAAGCAGCTACCCTCAAATTCCCCTCTGGCTCCGCCCGACGTGAACCTGCCGCCGCCGCTCTTCTCGCCGAGCTCACGCAGCTCGCGGCGCATCAGAACGCTCAAGCAGCTGCTGGCAGTGGCGAGTACAACGAGTACCTTGCGGCACAGCTGGAAGAAGAGATTTCGTCTCTGACTTTGGCGACTGCTTCGACATCACAATCGACGACTCCTTCCGCGCCCATGTCCCTCACCCCCTCCGTCCCTTCAAACCCTACCCTCGGTCCCAACCCCCATCCCACGCGACGCCAGACCATCGGCTTTGCCCGGTTCAAATCCCGCCTCGACGCTCTTGCTGCCAAAGACCACCTCCAAGGCAAGAAGATTGATGCGCTCACGGGGGCAGTGTTGAAGGCGGAGATGGCAAAGAAGAATCTGCATACGAAAAAGACGACGAGTGGGGAAGAGCTTGTGGGGATGTTGTTGAGAGGCAAGCTTGGAGGGTTGCTCGGATCTGGGGCGGGACAAGGGCAGCCGCCGGGTATCGCTGTGCCGACGGCGAGGGAAGCTTGGGATTCGTGGTCGTCTCTTTCCGATAAAGAACCCCGTAACCGGCCCGATGACATCCCTCCCCCATCGCACGCACCGCAACCTTCCTTCTCATCCCAAACGACATTCGTACCGTCTTCCCTGCCTTCTGCGAACCCGACGTCGCCGACGCTGGATGCAAAGTCGCCGACGCAGGGGCAGTACCCGGGGCATGGGGGCGATTCGAAGGCGTTGTTGGCGTTGGCGGAAAAGGCGGATGAGTTGGAGGGGTGGAATATCCATGGTGCTGCTGGCTTGTCTCTTGACCCTTATTCGTCCATCTCCCCTCCTCAACCCGCGCAGGCACAGGGGCAGCAGAGTCAGAGTCAGACGCAAGGAAGGTCACTGGGAAGTACGGGGAGTCAGGGGCCGCAAGGATATGGGTTGGGCGTTATGGGCCCGGGCTTTGGGGGTGGGAGAGAGTATGAGGAAGGTGTTGGGAGGGATGGGCTTGGTGGGCAGGGGTTGAGTGGGCGGGGGGTGAATGGGGCGAACCCGGCGGATCAGAATCCTCCGGTACGTCTCTCTTTCCATCTTCTTCCGATATGAGCTAATTGGATTGCAGATCAATACGCTCTATGTTGGCAACCTTCCTGCCGTCTCGCCTCCCACCCACCCACCTGGATTCCTCGAAGAGTCGCTTCGCGCGCTGTTTAGCAGATGTGCAGGGTTCAAGAGGATGTCGTATAGGCAGAAGATCAATGGGCCGATGTGTTTTGTCGAGTTTGAGGAAGTGGGGTATGCGTCGCAGGCTATCAAAGATCTCTATGGACACAACCTTGTACGTCTTCTTCTTCTCAGGTTTGTAGTATCTTGCTAACATCCTGACAGGGCGGACTTGTCAAGGGCGGCATCCGACTTTCATACTCGAAAAACTCGCTCGGCCAACGCGGCAACAACCACCCCCCTCAACTGAACACCTCTCTCTACTCTGGTATCCCACACAACGTCCCCATCCCCGGTCTCGGCATGACCTCCCCTTCCTCAGCTTCTATCGCCCTCCCGAACGGCTCTGCGTCGGCGGGACCGATGCCGTATGGGCTGCAGCATCAGCAGGCGAGTTTGAGTTTGAGAGACAGGGAGAGGGAGAGGGGAGGGGAGCCTAGTACGGCGCCGTTGGCGGATTTGAGGAGGGAGTCGGCGCCTGCTTCGCATGGGCATTCGAACGCTCATTTCTCGCCGCTGTCTGGGACGTCGCTTTCCCCCACTGCGCAGCCGTTCAACATTGCCCTCCCCCCCACATCCCCTCGTAATCATTATATCACCTCGCCCATCCCGCACCGTATCTCGCCCACCGAATCGGCTTCGTCGTCGTACAACTCCAACCCCACTCCTTCTGGCTCAAATTCGAATTCCAACTCGGCATCGCACTCTGCTAGTGGGGTACCGATTCCATCGACGAGGTCGTCGGGCTCTGCGTTCCAGCCGTTTGGGGGGGCGGGGAGTAGTGGGAGTACGAGTGGGTTTTCGCCAGTTTCGTCGCCGATCCGTACGCCGGGGAGTTTCCAATGGCTCTCTACGTCTGCCAACGCTACGTCCTCCAATGTCAGTTCCGGCCTTGGCTCCGGCCTGGGCTCGGGGCTAGGAGCAGTAGGCAGTCTGGGTGTTGGGAGCCTCGGGAACCTCGGGGTGGGCAGTTTAGGAGGGGGCGGGCTGGGGAGTGGGAGTTTGGGAGGTGGGGGGTATGGGGGGTTTGATTTTGGGGGGAATGCGCCGGTGGGGAGTTTGAATGGGGCTGCTAGTGCTTGGGGGGCGTCTGAGAGGCGCGACTAGCCCTTACTTAGCCTTAGCGTAGCTTGGGCGGAAGGGGTGGGGTAGGGGTGTAATTCTTTCTGAGGACTTTTTTCGGTTTTGGTTTCTCATCGTTGTGCTCTAGGGTTTTCTCGTTTTGGTTGTCTTCTTTTCCTTCTCCCGGTTTGTGCTAGTCTTGCATTGTTTCTCTAGGTTGTGATCTCTCTTTTTCTTGTTCTTTTTGATTTCTACGTCTTGGTGCTCCCCATCCCCTCATCACTGTTTCTACCACCACTTTATCACATACAACTCTCTTCATCGCTTCTCTTCCGGCCTTTTCCCCAACTATTCATCTATTCTTGTCATCCCCTCTATATCACTAGTCATGCTCATTCATTCATCCCGACCTTTCCATAGATCTCTATCGGTTTCCACTCGTTGTCCTCTATTTCTTCTTTCGGGTTTTTTTTCTCTTCTGCCGTTTTTATACCATCTATCAAATCGTGTTCTATTCTTGTCGTTGGCATAATATCATATATAGCATGAATCACAAGTCTGAAGTCTGAACTGACAAGTAAACCACAGCCGAAGCGGAGATCCAAACAGCCCGGCTACGCCATGTCTCTCTGGCTCCACGGCGAAGAAGACTTCATCTCCGAAGCAGGCGCCATGAACGTCTTCCTGCTCAAAGAGGCTAAAGATGGCTGTAAGTCTCCTTCTTCCTGCTCACGTATGACAACGCTGATAGATACGACCAGTCCTCGAATTTGTCACCACCCCCCTCTCGTCCGGTATCGTACTCCCCGGTATCACCCGTGCTTCTCTTATCGAGCTCCTCACCGACCACGCTTCTGGTAAAGTCGATTTCCCGCTGGAGGGGGTGCCGAAGAATATTAGGATTGTGGAAAGGGATATTTCTATGGGGGAGATTGTTGAGGGGTTGAAAGATGGGTCTGTCAAGGGGTACGTTTATCCTTCCTTCCTTCCTTCCTTCTTCCCTTCCTCATTACCCTACTTTTTCGTGTCTTTCGAATCAGAATCAAGCTGATGGATGAATAGCATGTTCGGCTGCGGCACAGGCGTCGTCGTCGTCTCCATCCAACACATCACATACTCCGGCACCCCCCTCACCTGGCTCGGCACAAGCCCTTCCCGACCCGCGCAGAGGGGGAGGATTGCAGATGGAGGGAGGGGGTGGGCGGTTGAGGTGCCGGAGTGGCAGGGGGCTGGTGTGGCGGAGAAGGAGGGGGGCAGGGAGGAAGTTATTGTTGCTTAGGTGGGTAGATGGGTAGATGGGTAGATGACGATATGGGACTGTCATAGAAAAGAGACTTGTAGATACGGATATGGAAAGACTTCTTTGTATGATCTCGTCTTCTATTCTGGTCCCGGCGCGAGGCATAAGACAATAGATCAGTCTTCGTAGCTCCATGTGAAAGGCATACATACGATACTATAGACGAGTAAAGGTTTGTCTGATCCCCTTCGCTGATGAGACTGTTCTAGCGCTTTTTTTCTTGACGTTTCTTGGGGAAGTATACAAGGAGGACGAGACGACAGTGTGGTCTAAAGCGACAACGACAACGACAACGATAACGACAATAATGAGAAGGCCTAGTGAAATCAGTACCGGAGGATAAACAGTACTCTCGTGGCTGCGTCTGCTTGGATGGATAGATGATGAGAGGGGAGATTGGAGATTGACTAAAGCGATAACGACAATGACAACAATCACGATAAACAACAAGGATGGACCGAACGCCCGCAAAAGCCAGCAGGGGAGGATCGACAGCACCCTTGTGGCTGATTCTGCTTAGATGGATAGAGGATGAGAGGGGAGGTCGAGTAGGTAGATGTCAGACTTGGAGATAGGATATGAATAGGTCGTACGAGCTTCTTTTAAATTCTAGTTTTTACCAGACGTATATATGTGACAAAGGATCAGCCTTCGCGGCTCCATATGAAAGGTGTACCACAGACGAGTGGGGGCTTTCTGAGATTATTCGATTCTTCTTGACATTTCTTGTAAAACCATACGAGGACGAACGACAGCAAGGTCTAAAGCGACAACGACAACAACAACGATGACCGAGCCTAGTGAAATCAGCACCGGAAGGTCGACAGAACCCTCGTGGCTGAGTCGTCGCGCCTCAAACGAGGAGGAGTCTAGTGACGGATCCTCTCTTCCCTCCGCCCCTAGCTCTCACAGTGATAGTAGTGAGAGTACGGGGAGCGATACTGGAGTTGGGGAGCGTGGTTGTAGCCCGGCGAGACGATTAGAGTCGTATGATGACGATGATGATGAGGAGGAGGACGGCTCGTCTTTCGATCAACGCTCTTCTTCGGGGAGTGAAAGGCCGTCTTTTAGGGCAAACGTTTTGGCCACCGAAGGCAGTGTGTTGAGAGATGATTTCCTGAAACGCGTCCAATGGTATCAATCTGAGAAACAGCTCGGGACGTCTGTACGTGGAACTGCTCTAATCGATGATCCGTCCGGATCAGAAGAAGATACACTATCGAGACAGGAGTTGTGGACAGTAGCGGAGAATTGGACGAGAAGCGTCAAAAGCAAAGATGACTCGTCTGTCAACTTTGGTACCGATCAGTCGGGAGTGAGCGTGAGCGATGTGAATGAGGATGTGTTGGCGGCGGCGACGTATGGGGTGTTGGTGGATTGGGAGATGAGGGAAGGTGGGGGCAGCTTGTCAATGGGGGAGGCGGAGAAGGAGGAGGAGGGCGGGGGTGGGGGGACGGAGTTTAGGGCGAAGGGGAAGAGTTGGGAGTTGATGAGTGGGGCGTCGGGGGCGTCGTTGTCGACGTCGTCTACAGTGTGGTAGTGCTTTGTCTTATCAGAAGCATATGGGGTGGTCTCGTCTTGTGGATTTGGTGCGAGGGGCCTGCTGTTTTCTCCGAAAGAGCGTCTGATCGTGTTGTGGGAGAGAGGACGCTTGTAGCATTTCTCGACCGGCCAATGCTCGTATCGTCTCTGTGAGGCAGGAAAGTCCAGTACAAGCTTGTATTGAATGCTGTCGTTGTACAGTAGATGCTAGAAAGGATCCGTCCTTGGAATATTGCAAGAAAGGAAAGCCCGTCGACGAGAGGATGAGGGTTCCCACCGAAGAATGTATCTCTTCATCCTTCTTCTTCGCGACGTTTACATATCTCACCAATAACTATAGAATCATTCGACAGCGAGAATGTCTAGCACGACGACACTCACCATTCCTACTAAAACGTCATCCATTGGAGAGTCAATGGTCCCTTCTTGGCTCAGACTACACGCCCCCCAATCTATCGGATCCTCCGAATCCTCGGCCCCAAGCTCGCGCCATGAGAGTCTTAGGAAGGATGCTTCTAGCTGGCGTACAAGGCGTGACTGGGGCACGGGGAGACGGTTGGGGTCGTCTAAGGATGTCGACCGACGCACCTCGAGCACCTCCAGTGCAGCTCGAAAGAAAAGTACGCCAAGCAGTGTGGCGACGAAGAAGCGTACGCTCAAAGACCGATTCCTCGACCACGTCAGCTTTTATGCCTCCGAGAAAGAGCACGGTAGATCTGTCTATACATCAGCACTGGGCGATGACGCATCTTGGGGCGAGAAGAGGACTTTCAAGGAGGACCTATGGACAGCAGCGGAGAACTGGACCAAACGCGTCAAGGCCAAAGCGAACCCGCGTGTCAGATTTGTGCGTGATCAGTCGAGGGTGAGCGTGAAAGATATCGATGAGGATGTGATGACGGCTGCGACGTATCGACTGCTGTTGGCTAGGGAAATGAAGACTGGAGGTGGTAGTCTATATATGGGGGAACTTGAGAAGGAAGATGGGACGACTGAATTCAGAGCGAAGGGAGCGCATTGGAAGTTGACGAGCAGGGCGCCGACAGCATCGCGGCTGACGTCGTCGTCGTTTACAGATTCATAATCAGACATTGACTTACATGTGTTTGAGGAAGCATAGTTTCTAGCATCTACTATCATTGTCGGCGTATGGATATATTATTCTCGTATGGGAAATTGCAGTGTGAGGAAGAGGGATTGTGGATCCTTTTTGACGATCGGTCGGAGTTCGCGTCATCAAAGGTAGCAGCATGACTCGGCATCGTGTAATCCCAGAATGAGTGGCCCATAACTAGGTTGAATCTCTCCAAAAGTCATTGAATTGAACCAACTATTCACACATATATCACACTCAAACATGTCTTACTTGAGCGACGACATCATTAGTCACTTGTCTTCACTGGCATCTGATTATGCGCGCTCGGCGAGCTCGCGTCGCTCTTCGAATCACGGGCGAGGATCAGCTGGTCCTTCTCGGAGAAGTCGTAATCGATCATCAATAGGAAGTCACAGTGGAAGCGGTACATCCGAGCGGCATAAGAAGAAGAACATGCGTCTGGCAAAGATCTTCACAAAGAAACACGATAAGACTGAGGCGACGTTTGACGACGTTACCCTCGCTTTCTACGACGCAGGCCGTAGTTTGATGGACACTCGCAAGACCGTCAAGGCATTGGAAATAGAAAGAGCGACTTTGCTTCACAGTATGGCAGCCGTCACAGGCCTGGAATACAAGTCGCTCCGGAGCGATTTCCTCGAGACGAGAAAGGAAGAAGGTTTTGTCAGAGGAGATAACAAGATCTCAAATGCAGAGCTGCTGGGAGAGTGGATGAATAGCTCGGCAGAGGAAAGAAGTACTTGGGATCATCAACCTTGGGAGAATATGCGCTCTCGGCTGGAGCTAGAGGGACAACAGACCAGCCGAGCGAGTGAGATTGTGCAAGCGGACAACGACATATTGAGGAGCGCCTTGGATGCCATCACCACCTACCGGGACCGCAGCGCACACATGTCATACAACAGACAGGATAAAGCCCTCCGTAGGGTCTCGCAGATCCAAGGGCATATGACCTCCCAACGAGGAGAAGCGAGTGGATCTGCGTCATCCTCGGCGGGGGAAAGCGCAGACAATTCCGGATCTCCTTCGTGGTGGAGCAATCTGCCTTGAGAAAAAACGAAGGCTACGTAGGCAGTGGGTGTTTTGAGAAGGCTGGATCTATCGTCGTCTCGGTATATGCTAGTAGACTGAAAGCACGACGGCCATGTCGCATCAGAACAGTCACGCTACTCGCTCTCTCATTTCACTTTGACAGTCTCAACATTTGGTTTGTTTCATGCTTTGACTTAGCACTGGCTCTCTCGCACCCGTACAGGGGGTCAATTCGCATGCACGGGAGGTCCAGCAATGTTCAGCAGTCAGCAGTCAGTCGCGTCGAAATGAAATAACGCGTTTTACGCGTCGAGGTGCCTTGGAAGGGATCGACGCCACCGAAGCCCTGAGAAGGTTGTTAACCTTTTTTCTTGCTTCCGTCCTCTTCCTCTTTCCCGGAAACACGTCCAAATGTCCCTGAGAATGGCTGGAACAAGGTTTTTCCCCTCTGACGCGACGATCCACTCGACGAAATCCTGCAGATGCAATTAAGTCACGCTCATCTTTTGCTTTTGCTTCTTGTTTCTCGTTCGCACTCTACTTACTCCTCTCAACCTTTGATAGGAATATTCTTGTTCGTTGACCGAACCTAGCTTTGATAGCTCCACCGCCCCACCGACAAACTCGACCAGTTGACAACTATACATATATCCACCACAGCTTTGATAGCTTCTACTCGCCATGTCCTCCCCCATTCACAGCTTCCTCTTCTCCCCTCCCCCTTCCCCACCATCCCGTGGCTCCGACCAAGACCACAACCACGGCTTGACCTCCCTCAAATCTCTCCTTCTCCCAGTCGAATTCATCCCCCGCTCTTCGTCTGAGAAGGGGCGCTCGCCGAGAACGCCTTCCCAGAGCCGGCTGGGGTTCGAGACCTTGTCTTTGCCCTCGCCGAGAGGGCTGTCGACCGACTCGGAGGCTACGCCCAAAGCTCGACGCCGCTCTGTCGCTTCCACCACGATCACCCACCAACCCATCAATGTCCCCTCTTCCCCCCAGGTCCCCTTCCCTTCCACCATCCCGAAACCTTTCCTCCGCATCCTTTTCCTCGCCTGCGTCGTCCTCTCCTCCGCTCTCATCATGTACGAGTTCCCGGCAATGAGGCCGCACGGTATCGCGAGGGGAATAGCATCGGAGGGAGGGAGGGGCTTTGTGGAGCTCATGGACCCGCTTGGCGAAGAGGCCTACTACCAGCCTCCCCAGACTCAGGGCGCTAGGATGCTTTGGGGGAGGAAGAGTGTGAGGGAGGAGAGTGTTGTCATGGAGCAGCTCGCGCAAGAGGTTGTCGCTGTCGGTGAGTAACCTCGTGACCCCCGACTGACGTATATGCTAAATGCTCCATAGCCGCGCACCCTAAGGCTACCCGTCCTGCTCTGCGCGCCCGCCCCCTTCCTGAATCCCACAAACTTCTTGCGCTCCAGTCGTACATCCTCTCGTCTGCGTACAACGTCGTTCCTTCTTCCGTCGACCCTTCTCTTCCGCTGGATGCGAACACCATCTTGGGTATCGGCTCGCACAAACTTGGCGCTTTGGGAGGTGAGAGGGAGACTGCGTGGTTGAAGGATGTCGAGGGAGAGTGGGCGGATGAGGTTGTGATCTGGTACGGTGGTGATGGGTGAGTCTTTCGCGGGTGTTCGTGTAGAGATTCCGAGCTAATGGAATGTGTAGCGCAAGTCAATACCCCCACTCGGTCCTTGACATTATCGAATCCACCCACAACTCCAACCGTCACCCCACCTTTATCCCCGTCCACGCTCGATCCGACCGCGAGACTATCCTCGCGATTTTCGCCCGTCTCGGTTTACCCCTTGCCCAATCCCCTATTATCATGATCGACAACAAGCCTATCGTTGGAGATCTCGAGACTTTGGAGGAGATGAAGCTCTCGGGTGAGCTTGGGAGGAGATTGACGAGCGTAGGGTGGAAGCACGTTGAGAAGAAGGTCGGGTCGAAGCCGAAGATGGCTGTTATCAAGAAGCAGCCGCCTACGGATCAGGAGGAGGCCGAGGAGGCTTTGGTTGAGGCTTAGAAGGGCGGTATAGTAGTATAGAGGCTGTGTTCGTACGGTACTCTAGTCAGATGTAACGAAGCGCTGGTCGCATCTCAGTTAGTCTTAAGCCGCCTGTTTTTAGAGATTTATAATCCCCATCTTTATATACATATCCCCAATTGACGCCTATGAATCCTAGATGATCTCCTGCAGCAACTGGCCAAGATATGAGCAGCATTGCAACCGGATAGGAAGGAAGCAAAAGTGCCACACTGGTTAATTTGACGCGTTAATAATTGACCTTACGCGTTTCGACATGAGCTTTGCGATTTCGCGCTCCCCTCGTCTGTTTTCTGTTTTCTCCCGCCTATATCCCTACAATCTCTTATTTCTCCCCTCACCTTCTCGAGAACAAACGTACGCCATGTCGACTGTGACGTTCGAGAACAGTGAGTACTGGAAGGGCGAGGTCAAGCGGCGGCAGAAGCTTACGGCGTCGTACAGTCTATCATGGCGATTCGAGCCAGCTGGGCAGTAAGTCATATTGTCCCTCTGAATGTGATATGGTAGAGCTCGGAAGCTGACGTCTACTGATAGAGCTGAGATTCAACCCGGTCGGCTTCGGATGGAAGGCGTATCAGAGCGAGGACAATAATCCCGAGACGTACACTGGTACCGACATTAGGCATGCTACCTTCTTCCGGTAAGTTTCTTCCTACATTTCCATGAGATAAAAGGCTCATTGGTATCGTCGCAGTGTCGCTCGATCATACCAGCTCCGGCTTACGATGCGAAACGCTGAGAGGCCCCGTATAACTTATGATGGATTCCCTCACGGCGTAAGTGTCTGTGGTCTTTTCACGCTCGACTCGTTCTGACCATCGCTACAGGAACTCGACAAGCTCAAGCGAACGCTGCAAGAGTACTTTGACATCAACATCGAGACGAAAGACATCAGTTTGAAGGGCTGGAATTGGGGGGAGGCTCAAGTCCAAGGTGCGTCGTCTCTACTTTCTGTTTGCTTCGTAATTGACCTCCGTCCCAGGGAACGACCTCGCCTTCCAAGTACAAGGCAAGACCGCCTTCGACATCCCCCTCTCCCAAGTCGCCAACTCCAACATCGCCGGCAAAAACGAAGTTGCTCTCGAATTCAACCCCTCCTCCAATTACAGCTTTGACGCCAAAGACCTCTCCAAACGCCCTCCCGACGAGCTCGTCGAAATGCGCTTCTACATCCCGGGCAAGAGTATGAAGAAGGTTGGAAGTGATGCTGGGAGTGGGGGTGAGGAGACGGATTTGGACGACGAGGGCAATGAGGTCAGCGCGGCGGATGCTTTCCACAACTTGGTCAAGGACAAGGCGGATATTGGCGCTGTCGTCGGGGAGACCATTGTGGTGTTTGAGGACTGTCTTATCTTGACTCCTCGGTACGTTCCCTCTCGCCGTTCGCTGTTGCTTGTCTAACGTCTTGATAGTGGTCGATTCTCCATTGAAGTCTACCAAGACTCTCTCCGCCTCGTCGGCAAATCCACCGACCATCGTGTACCTTTCACCTCTATCCACCGTATCTTCCTCCTTCCCAAGCTTGATGACTTGCACATCCAACTCGTCATTGGCCTCGACCCTCCCATCCGTCAAGGTGCTACTCGATACCCCTTTCTTGTCGTTCAGTGGCCGAAGGACGAGGTCGTCAATGCCGAGCTCAACCTTACCGAGTACGTATATTTCGTCGCCTTGTCTACTCTGCGCTGACCCCGTCATAGCGAACAATCTGCGGCATACCCTGATCTCGAAAAGTCGTATGACGCTACCACCTTCCAAGTCGTGTCTCGTGTTCTCAAGTCTTTGACCGGCAAAAAGGTCACGCCACCCGGCAGTATGCGAAAGTACGTCTTCCTCTCGTCCCCAGCTTTGAAAGACGCTGATCATCTACTAGCGCCCAAGGCCTCAACGGTATCCGCGCGAACGTCAAGGCTACGCAAGGCGAGCTTTATTTCCTCGAGAAGGGTCTCATCTTCATTTCCAAACAACCCATTTTGCTCGACTTTTCAAAAGTGGAAAGCATTTCCTTCTCTCGGTACGTTGCCAATCCGGCTCTCCCTCCCTTATATTGTGGCTTTGGCTAATGATATGTGCAGAGTCGGTGGTGGTGTCGCTTCGGCCCGAACTTTCGACATGCGAGTCGTTTCCAAAACCGGTACCGCCGACCACGTCTTCTCTGCCATCAACAAGCAAGAAGTCGGCTCCATCAGCGCCTTCCTTCAAGGAAAGAACATTCGACTCAAGAACGAGATGGAAGAGGCTACTATCGATATTGAGGGCGGCTTTAGTGATGACGACGAGGAGATGGACAGCGCGAGCGAGGATGAGAGGCCAAGCAAGGCGAACAAGGCAAACAAGGCGAGCAAGGAGAAGGCGAAGGCCGTGAAGAATTCGGCACCGGCGGATGATGATGACGACGAGTCAGGTACGTCTCTTCTTCCACTTTCCACCCGTCTCGACATGGAGGCTCGGCCGCTGACACAACTCATAGAGGACGAAGATTTCGCGGGCGACTCCTCTTCCGACGGCGGCTCAACTTCCGGCTCTGACGACGACGACGATGATTCGGGTATGGCTTCCGATGCCAGTGACCCCATGATGGAGGAACTGCGCAAGAAGCAACAGGCGAAGAAGCCGAAGAAGAAGGCGGAGGAGAGTGGGAGTGATAGCGAGAAGCCGGCGAAGAAGAAGGCGAAGAAGAATGAGGATGACGAGTGAGGGAGGTGACGGGGGCTCTGTGTGTTCTGCTATATGTATGATTGTACTGCATGCCTTGTTACACACTGGTCCATACAACCTACGCGACCAACTGCAGTTGAATCAACAAAGCCCCCAGGGACTACCTCCACTTTTGCCTCCACCTTGGATAATTGCCGACGGCCAATCCGACGACCGACGTTTCCTTTACATCTATCATACTCTTACCACCCAAGCTCGTTCTCTTCCTCCCTCATACAACATGGCTTCGAGGATATCACCCATGCTGTCTGCCTTACGGTCCTCGACCACTATGGCTCGTCCATTCGCTAGGAGAGCCGCAGCCCCCCTCGTTGCGACGGCTGTCGGTGGGGGGATAGTCTACCTTTCTGTCGCTGCTCTCGGTGAGCCGGCCACCGGCCATGAGAACATAAATACTGATATCATTTGCTAGAGCCTTGGAAGTACCAGAACCCCTTCCTTATACATGCCGACTCAGCAGCCCAACCAGATTTCCGAGTCGATCCAAAATCTCAGCTTCCCTTCCGTGGTTCGCATCTTCCCTTTTTTGTTGCGTATAGCAAGACTGACTCTATCACAGTCGATCCCGAAACCTCTATTGAGTTCCCCATCACTCTCAGCACCACCACACCCACTCCCGCGCTTACGCTCGTCGGTCTTGGTGTACGGAAAGTGTCGTTCTTGAGGATCAAGGTGTATAGCGCCGGGTTCTATGTGCAAGAGGGCGCTACTAGATGTCTACACTATATCCCAGGGTGGTCTGTGAGTAGTCATACTTTATCTTCAGCTTGAGCTAACCTTGTGTAGTCTTTCACGGCGCAACATCTCTTGACCCCCCCTACTCCTTCAGCTGATCCTCTACTGTCCCCTCAATTGTCTGGCGAGGCTCTGATGGCGAATCTGTTGGATCAGAAAGTAGGATGCGCTGTTAGAATCGGTACGTTTCTCTCAGTCTACTAGTGGGTAATGTGTCTAATCGGTTTGCACTACAGTGCCGAATAGAAACACGGACTTTGGCGTACGTCTCTCAGTCGCCCTCCCTACCCCTCTCGATTATGGCTCGGTGCTGACGAGTGCTAGCACTTGCGCGATGCTTTCGTGAGGTCGCTGAATGCCAGGCAGAAGGCCATGCGCCAAGAAGGCGCCCTCAGTGAAGCTGAAGAAGAGGTGAGTTATATTCGCTGTCTACCTACCTCGCCTTCTTCGCCCTTCGCACGTCGCTCTTCTTTGCGATCTTGCTTGATCGCTTGTCTCTTCTGCATCATTTCCCGGCGTCTCTTCTCTATCATGCCTCCTTCCCATTCCCCACTCTCTCAAAATGTTGTGGACAAGCTGACACGTCTTCAGCGTCTCACCACCTCGATCCAATCTTTCAAAGCCTTCTTCCCGTCCTCCGTCGTACCGAAAGGCAAATCCCTTGTTCTCTTACGTCCAGCTGAGGGAGGCATCGTTGTCGAGTACGAGGTGGGTTGGCTGTTATCTGGAGCTTGAGGAGTACTGATACGGCGTGATATAGGGATCTATCCTTGGCAGACTGGATGACCCTTGGGTGGGCAAACAGTTGATGTTGACGTACTTTGCGGATAACGGTGTTGTTTCAGAGAAGGTACGCCATCATCTTTCCAAAACATCCTCGCTGTCGAGTCTAGACTGATATGGTGTAGCTCAAGGAAGATGTCGCACATGGGCTTGAAGGGTTTGTGCAGCGGAACAGGCCTCCTCCTCAATAGATAGCTGCATACACACCTACTCGTACGGTACAATAGCTATGCAGTCACCATCACTCACCTATACCACTCTCTGCCATGGTCCCCTCATGCTCCCCTGTACAGTGCGCCGTACACACCCTCGTACAATCCGCCATACACTCCCCCCCTACACTTGCCAAATACTCCCCTCTACAGTCTGTAAGTGTAGCGTGCTAGGCGCCTGCACGCCCCAGGGACTCTTTTAGCTTTACTTGCCTCCGTCTTCATTACCGTCACTCGTTCTCGTTCTCGTTCTCTTCCTCTCTTCTAGTAAGGATGTCGGAGGGCGCATAAGGGTGGGGGGCTGGTCTGTGGGGGGCTAGATGATAGTCAGCATTTGAGTGAATAAGGGGCGGGAGAAAGGCTGGGGAGTGATAAGAAGACGAGCAGAAAAGAGAAGAGATGATCGGCAATGTCATAATCCCCCTTCGTCATTGGTCACTCTCTGGATCAAGCGTCAACGTCGCTCCCATCTCATCCCCGGGCACGTATGGACAGATGCCGTCTTCATACCAAAGAAGCGAGGAGGAAAAGAGAGAGAGACGTATGATGTTCCATAGTTTTTCGAGAAGCGCCGAGGAACTTGATCATGGGCTCGTAGTTGGGCGGATGAGCTGAGCCGGGTGCATTGTCGGAGAGTATCGGTGAGGGGTGTGGAGGGAAAGGGATGGTGTAGTGGGGGCGATATAGGTATGCAGAAGCACTGTGCATTATACATATGAGACGAACGGCTTACCTGACCGTCCGTCAACATTCATCGATGAGGGCGGAGAAGCCCGCCTGATGCAGCTCCGCGTTCCACCCAAGTTCCACCTTCTCTCCTCTCAATCTCTTCTTGCCGTTGTTCTACATCTCATCCCCCGCATCCATCTATACTCTCCCACCCCAACCTCGCCCTCTCCCCTCGCCTCTGGCCCCTCCTCGGCTCCCCCTCCCTGCTGGCCCCCCCTCCCCGGCTTCCCCTCCCTCTCTCTCCTCCCGCCTCTTCTCCTAGTTTCCGCCTCTCCGCCCGCCCTCTCAGTGAGTGCATGTCCACCCTCCTCCTAGCCATTGCGACATAATGGTCTGGTCATTGATAGATCACTACAGGCGAAGCCAGATCAGCGGCACACCCGCTTCGAGGTCAACGAGAGCGGGATAGGGTATACCCAGGACCGCATCGAGTTGCGGTCGAAAACCTTCTGTTTCAAGGGCGCTGAAAAACGGGTGGGTTGTCTTTACTGTATAAGATCGTTAGCCCCGGTGCACATCGCTGACATCTTTGACAGTTCTCCGGCGTGTCTCCACCCTCCTCGGCCAAAAGGACGGCAGCCGCTTCCGACGTCGCCCTTGGCCCAAGGCGTTCGTCCGTACCCCATCTGGTGGTGCACTTCCTGTGTCTTTCCATTCTCTCGGCGCGTTGCCGGATACGGCTATCTTGACATGCGGTTTCGGATTGGAAGTGCGTATTCTCTCTTCCTCAACTCATGGATTAAGCTGACGGTTGCTTGACAAGTGCACTTCCTTTGAGAAGTCGCAGGGGGCTGTCGTTTCCGACTCCATTGGCCAGATTTTGCATGGAGGAGGCGGAATACGCACACAAGACTATAGAGGTCGTTGAGATCAGTGATGACGAGGACGGCAGTGAAACTGGAGAGAAAGACAGAATGAGAGTGGCAGAGCTGGGACAAGACCTGAGGTGGGTACATACCTCTGTGATTATGAAATGGATTTCTGCTGACACTCTGGTCTAGCAAAATGAGCAACCACTCTACCAGTCAAGATGGCTCCGACTTTGCCCTTTCTCAACAAAGCTCCCCAAGGCTCTCTGAGTGCTCCCTCGACGTCCCTGATGGTCAAGGCCGATCTTGTCACCCAGGAGGAGATGAGTCGCCTGACCGACTTTTACCCGTATGCCTTCACCGACTTCTTCGGGTCTGGTACGCGGGGTGAAGAGAGTTACATAGTCACTTTGGAAGTTATTGGTGCTATGTAATTAGGCTCTATGTAAGGTGATGTCGGACAGAAGGAAAAAGACAAGACGGCCATACTCGCCAAGTCGATAAAAAACCTTCCTCGCCTCTAGCTACTCCCTCCTCGCTCCCTACATCCACAGCGTCCACGCCCTCGCCTTCACTAACTCAATCCCAATCCGTCCCTGCATTCCCTGCCACACCTCCTGTTCCATCCCCTTCCTCCAACTTCGCATCTCGACCGCCGTCTCCTCGCTCATCAGGCCACCCGCAGAAAGAACAAGGGGGCTGAACGCCCCCCATAGATCCTCGGCTGTTTCTCCACAACCTCCGCGTCCCTCTTGCTCAACCACGCCATGATCCGTCCCTGCACCCAATCCAGCCACTCCATCTCTCTCGGCTTCCCTCCCTGCTCAACGTACATGTGCTTGTCCTCCAGCCCATAAACCTTCAAGTCATAATCGGCGTTCCGAAGCGCGCCTCCTCCTCCTCGCACCCTAAGGTCGTTTCGCCTTCGCCCTTCTTGGGTTGATGGTTCGAGAGAGACGGCGCAGGGGACATCGGGGTAGGCTTTGATGGCGGCTGTGGCGGACCTTGGATTGGACGAGGAGAGGGCGTAGAGTAGACCGATCTTGGGAAGCGCTAGCAAGTCGAGGAGGGCTGCATCTGACGGGTGCTCTCAGTAGGCAGCGGCGCATCGAGAGGCGGCGTCGTAGAAGTGGGGAGTAAGAGCTGGAGGGGGAAGGACACTGGCCAGAATCAGTCAAGATGAACACCAGAAACGAGAACGGATACGCACAGGGACACAGAGCTGGGAGGAGGCGGCGGGGAAGAAGGGAGAGGCGGGAGGGGGAGAGAG